GAAGAAGGCAGCTGCAGAGGTCAATAAGGAGTTTGGTTTGGATGCAAGTGTAGCTGATAACATCATGAAAGCAGCAGATGAGGTACAAAACATTGGATTAACCCTTCAACCTCCAAGAGGGACTAACATCTAATTTCTCCTTACAATGTCACACTTGAATTACACATTAAGGTGACGAGAATAAAAGAAATGATCACCAAGTAAAGAAGTTCCCAATTATTAACAATTTTTCCTTGTCAGTACCTCAGGAAATGTATATAGAGATTAGTATGGAGAATATATATATTGATGTTGGAGAATATATGTATTGATGGTTAATATGGTCGTGGAATCTAAATAATATTGAAAAGGTGAAAACTTCATTCAGTACCCCCTGGGTTTGGGTCTTGGGTGGATAATAGGGTTGAATTCTTGTGCAAGACACGTAGCTGTCACAGTGCCTCTTTTCATCCAGGAATTTAAAACCAGCATCTGTCACCTGTCAGGGGAACTTGCTGAATTGCTGGGAAATAACCTGCAGGAAACTAGGATCCCTCTGATGGGAAGAAAAATGCCTCTGGTTGTATTACTTTTGGATGATATTACAGACAAATTGAGATATGCTCAAGCAGTGTGGCTATCTTATGTTACTCACTCCAACAAAGCTGCAAATTTGTGGAGTTATAATTGATAAATATTAAAGGTATTAATTGGAGCATCTTTGATTCCAGGTGATATCTGGGAAGCTGAAGGACCATTTTCCCTTAGTTGTTTGGCAGACAGGTTCTGGGACACAGTCCAACATGAATGTTAATGAAGTGATCAGTAATCGTGCCATTGAGCTGATGGGTGGCGAGATGGGATCAAAAAAACCTGTCCATCCTAATGATCATGTCAACAAAAGCCAGGTCAGAGGCTTATCTTAGTTTGCTTAATATTAGGGTGGGGAAAAGGAGAGAATCCTCATATAGAATGATGTCAAAGTGCAAAGTTTTCACAAATCATGAGGGGCTACATATCTTTCTCAATGATGTGATTCATCTGGTGGCTTACCCTTCAGAATGTTCCCATGATTTCAATTAACTTTGCAATGGGAGGGGGGAGGGGGGGGGGGAGGAGAGAGAGAGAGAGAGAGAGAGAGAGGAGAGAAAGGCAGGGATCCGGGTGGCCTTATGATCGTTGACTGTGTTGTGTCTCCATATTTTTTTCATGATCACTGTAACCAATAAAAATAGCTCCTTTATGTTTTAATAACAATATTTTTCTCTCTGATTACAGAGCTCTAATGACACATTTCCAACGGCAATGCATATAGCAGCAGCAATGGAGGTGCATGAACGTCTCTTACCAGGTCTAAGAAAGCTTCATGGTGCACTTCAGGCTAAGAGCACAGATTTCAAGGATCTTGTTAAGATTGGTAGAACACATACACAGGTGAATTGTCTGAATTGAGTCACATGCTAATTACCTTTTACAGCTCAGTGGAAATCCTCAGGAGTTTGATGCTTTCTCTTTCTTTGTTTTCCTCTGTTAACCCCCTTCACTCCCAAGATCTGATTATTAATTCTCCCCTCCAGCTGCTACACATTTCTCTGTGAACTATTTACAAGAATTTGGTGTAAGATCAAAGCAATGAATTCTACCTGATAAGTTTGAGTATCATCATAACTTTTTTTCTGAACAATTTACAGATATTGGAGGAAGAAGCTACGTGTTAATCACTTTTAAAAATCATGAACATTATCAACTTCTCATGAAAAGAATCCCAATGAAATTTATCCCATAGCCCTGGTCAATATACAGTGAGTTGCATAGCATATGAACAATGCGTTGATTATCAGTGGAGGATTTGATTAATCATCACCTTTTACATGTTTTCATTTTTACAGGATGCCACGCCCATAACTTTAGGCCAAGAGTTCAGCGGTTATGTTAAACAGATAGAGTATGGTATTGCAAGGGTGGAGGGCACCCTTATAAGAGTGTATGAGCTGGCTATTGGTGGAACGGCTGTGGGCACTGGACTGAACACAAGAATAGGATTTGCTGAAAAGATGTCAGCTAAGATTGCAGAGTACACTAAGCTACCAATCACAAGGTGTGAAATGGACTGTTAATTTGGAATAAACATATTACTCTATGTACTGCTCTATGATATATTATTTGGCATGTTGCTTCTTGTAGTTATGAATTTTTTAAATTTATTTTATTGCTTTGCACCTTATTTTTAGGAGATGATGTAATTTCAGGACAAACAATGTTAATTAGTGGGCCATCATTTTTTGCAAAACCAGTTTTTTCTTTACTTTACTTTAATCTTGAACACCAACAAGACTTTATGCGATTATTTAAATTATTATCTTCTTTGTTTCCTTTAGTGCACCAAACAAATTTGAAGCCCTTGCAGCTCACGATGCCATGGTAGAGCTTCATGGAGCACTCAATGTGATCGCTTGTAGTTTGATGAAGATTGCAAATGATATCAGGTTTTTAGGCTCAGGTCCTCGCTGTGGATTGGGTGAGCTGACGCTTCCTGAGAATGAACCTGGGAGCAGTATCATGCCAGGTAACGATACAATTCATAACACTAAAGTACTGAACTGTTTCACTCGTACAGAATCACACAGGGTTCACTGAATCCTGAGCAGGTATGATAAAACAGTTCGGCAGTGGTGGCTCTCTATTGGTTACAGAAAAACCCTTAACATTACTCTTACCCTGCTTCATGTACAGTGTACATGTATCAGTTTATATTAATGCTCTTCCCCCTAGAGGCCAATTGAAAATGTTTTGCTTACCCGAGGTGGTGCTTAGAGCACTTTCCTATTGTGTGTTGTTAACCGCATCCAAGGTAATCACAACAGCCAATCAGAAGAAAGGAAAACACCCTTAAGAACCAATGAAAATTCAAAGTGAAAACAAGCAAATTTCCTAAACATAAGAAAGTGGGTGTGGCCAATTTATAATTGGTTCAAGTTTTGCATCTAATTGGTTGAGTGGCACAAGTTTTCTAGCCCAATTACTAAGGGAAGTTAATCTAAAACCAATATAATCCTTACTTGCATTTGACACTCCATCAAAAATTGAGTAAGGAATATAATGATAACTTGTTTACAAGTTTCCTGTTTTGTTCAATTAGGCAAGGTTAACCCAACCCAATGTGAAGCCATCACCATGGTCGCAGCTCAAGTCATTGGCAACCAAACAGCTGTGTCAGTTGGTGGAAGTAATGGTCATTTTGAATTGAACGTCTTCAAGCCAATGATAATCAGAAATGTTCTGCAGTCAACACGGCTTATTGGAGATGCATGTGTAGCCTTTACAGATAACTGCATTGTGGGAATTCAAGCTAATGTGGATAGAATCAACCAGTTGCGTGATGAGTCACTCATGTTAGTGACAGCATTGAACCCTCATATTGGTTATGACAATGCTGCTAAGATTGCAAAGAAAGCTCACAAAGAAGGTACAACTTTGAAGGAAGCTGCTATAAGCCTGGGATTGTTAACAGAAGAACAGTTTGCTCAGTGGGTGAGACCAGAAGACATGTTAGGACCAAAGTGAAAAATATTTAACATTGGTGGGACACGAGTTGAAGCAAAATGAAAAACCTCAAGTTTTCAACTCACATTTTCCAACTTTTACTAGGTTTTAAGATAATTTAACAATTTGTGCAAGTTATCAAGTTTACAACTGAGCTAATTTCAAAGCATTTGCCTTGAAACTTCTCTTGCAATCCAGATGCAGTATTGGTAGTCCATTTAATTTAAAGACAATACATATAGATGTACATGTACATGTTGTTCTTGAAATTAAATGCCCACTATTCCAGTGCGGTGAAATTACGCAAAGGGGTGATTTTCAAAATTAAAGTACCTTGCTGAGTGTTGCACAAAAAGAACACCTACCAGAAACGTATTTGTATGTATGTTTAATTAGGCCAAGCTGTGTTGTGGATTTGGGTTGTATTTTTAATGTTATTCAGCAATTTGTGAAATACAGCAGCTGTGACTTGGTGGTTAGGCAAGAAAGTAAAGTTGCTGTTTCATCAACCAAGTTTTTCATCTGTTTACAAAAACAACATTACAAATTAAAAATACATTTACTTTTCCAGTCCCTTCTCACTTGTACTTCAGAGTATTTTTATCATTCAACCTTGTTTTTAACTCTTTTACTCCCATGAGTGACCAAGACAGAATTTCTCCTTACAACATCATTACAATATCAACCAGATAAGTGACAAGAATAACAAAAAATATCAAATTGGGGATAATTAGTTGATCAAATACTAAATTCTCTGAACTAACACTATAAGAATTGTATTGTTGACAGTAAGGAGAATAAAAAATTTGATCAGGGGGTTAAAGCATGTTACTACAGAGTATTCCAAACAGGGTGTCATTATATGGAATGGAGGCCTTCATCAGGGTATAAATTCATGGTGGTAGGTCCATAATTATGTGGTATTATTCACAATCAATCCCTCACCCAACCACATGGATCCAATCTAAATGGACTTTCCCACCAATAGCGTAACTCCATTTTCAGCAAGTAAACACACACACAACCCACAATTCCTTCAATCGCTCTGACAAAGGGCTAACACTCAAAACATCAGCTTTTCAACTCTTTACAGTGTCCAATTTACCCTTTCAACTCAGTTGATAATACTAAATTACCCTGTTCTACTCTCCCATCAACACAACACCACAGTTTCTTTAGAAACTTACCCCCTTTATTCATTTGACTTTCTGTTTGCTTAGAATACCATCACACAAATATAACAACTGAGTGCTAAGGATTGTACTTTGTATAAAAGATTAGTTTGTTCTTTGAACTGAGTTAGCTCCAAAAGATTACAGTACCATGTCTGTACTCTACTAGGAGCTAAGGTACAAGCATACATTTTGCATTTCAGGATTGCAACACGGGATCATGGGTGCACAAGACCCTCCTGAAAGTGACATTCACATATCAGTGATTGATGTCTCTTCCTCAGCTCACAGGAAAGTTAGTTTTTCTTGCCCACCAAGAAATTATCTCTATAAATTTTCTCCCTGCTCTGTTACTGGTCATTACTGGCATCATCTGAAAGCACATTGTATAGCACTCTGATGCTCAAGGTGCAGTTTGAACAACATACAATGTTGTGTCCATTTTCCAAATCACTGTCACTTATCACATACTCTCCACTGCAGCGACACACACTTGAATAACTCTCTGTATCTGAAACAAAGTAAAATAATTTTCACTTGGCAGGTGCATTGCATGCACTTTGTTGCAACTACAATCAGTGGCATTTTTAGAATATTAAATTATGCATCAAATGACTACACCCAATGGGTTATTTACACAAGGTTCAACCCAAACCAAGGTTTTACGCAACCAGTGGGTCTTGGGCTTTAAGAGGGTTGATTTTATTAAATAGATGTCCCTCCATTGTCAGCTTTCAGCCCTCTCGATGCCGTTCATAAAAATAAATTTTCAAATAAAAGGTTCAGCTAAGCTGAGGATTGTCCAGGATGCAGTTTTGTTAATCAACGGCTAGGCTTTGTCTATAAATAAATAATCAGTCCAATGAGATGTAAAATATACAGAATAGGGTACTAAAGACACTTACAAAGAAAACACTCCTGTAACAGTATTTTGATCTATTTATCCTGTCTGCCTTTCCCCCACCCCCTCTCTCCTTAAAATTCTACACTCTTAACCCTTTAACTCCATGAGTGACTAAGGCAGAATTTCTCCTTACATTATCAGTACAAAATCAAGAAGACAAGTGATGAGAACTAAGAAAAGTATCAATTAGGGGATTATTAGTAGATCCAATACTAAATTCTCAGAAGTAACATTTGAAGAATTGTATAGCAGACAGTAAGGAGAAATAATAATGAGATCTTGGGAGTTAAAGGGTTAAACATTGCTTCATGATGAAACACTGAAGATCATCCAGAGTAGTAAACTTCCTACTGGTAACCACTCACATAGCTTTTTTATATCCAAGTGAATGTCCGAGTTTGGCTCAAGTTGTTTCTTTAAAAATTACCTTCATGATATTCCATGTCATCCAAATCTACTTCATCACTTACTGGCCAATCTTGTGACAAACCCTGTTCTATAAAATTAATATAATGAACAAATAAGTATAATCCAAATCTAATGCTCAAAATATATTTTGAATAAAAATGTCCTTGCTTCTGGTAATGAAATAATCTAGGAACTGAATATGAGAGTTTTCTTCCCAGTTATGAACACTTCTTAATCAGTAGTGAAAATAAAGCTTGAAAATTCAGACCTGTACTGGAATTGAATTCATGACCTCTGCGATACCAGTGCAGTGTCATACCACTGAGCTAACAAGCCAATTGGGAGCTAGTCATTTTTTTGGTTTGTAATTATCCTAAGGACTGCCAGAATATTGGCAGATTAGGGCAGTCCACCGAGGAGTTTTATAAGGCAGGTGTGAACTACTCTACCCTGGGCCCCCCTAATTGGGGGAGGTGAAGGGGAAGAGGGTGTCATAGTATAAGAGGGCTCAGCCACCTTAGGTTATATTTTCTCATGAGAACACACAATTTTTTTTCTGTTTAAGCTTCAAATAACTATCATTATTATATCAGCAGTGTTACACATCTTAATGCTATGAATCCTAATGGCTAAGCATAACCTAAAGGCCATGTCCATAAATTAACCTAATTTCCTAATCAATATCTACCCATATATATACAATATTATTATTATTATTATTATTATTATTATTATTTGGCTTTTTTCATGTTTGATTATTGCCGTTCATTCTTCCTTGTTTTATTGTATCCTTATTCATCACACCTTTGAGTTGCCTGTCACAGTCTGCTCTTGTTTCTTGGTTATTAAGGATTTTCCAAGCCTTGTCAATGGCCAGAAACCTCCTGTAGGCTTCGTCACGATCTTCTTGACTTAATGATTCATCCAATTTATCTGGGTGTACCTTGAAGGACAGGCGTAAGAAGATCAGCTGATCAGACCTTGCTTGTCAAAACAAACCTTGCCAATAATTAACACACACGATTAGTTTCCAAACCTTTAGTACAAGTCTTTGATAAGCTCGTTTAATTTCTTCGTGGCTGGAGTTTTCGGAAACGCCAAGCTCTTGGTAAGGATTACTCAAATCTGTCGAGTTCATTGACTAGTTCTCACTACTGTCCGCCATAGTTACACTTCATTTTACGAGAGAGAATGAACACTAATACCTTTCTAATAGAGGATTTGATTGGCTTATTTTATAAAACTTCTAAAATTTGACAAATCAGAAGTGTCCTTGTATGAAGATTGCGTGCTTACCAATGACTGAAATGAAAATGGCGGCGTTACGATATGTTGGCGTGTGTAGATGCGTAAACCTAGGACGGCGTTTTAAGCCTGTATTGACGACCACTGGTTGTCTGCCTTCAAAGCATGAGGTGCAATAGTTATTATTTATTTAATTCCGCTTAAATTTCATTGGTGACAGACCTGTGTGCGTTATTTTCTGCTCCCAAGTTTGACGTTGCCTAGGGTTAGGGATTGTTAGCGAAATTTCATCAACACTGCTGGAAAGGGCTTCCAAAAAAAGAGTAGAGTGGCCAACTTCGTCCGCGTTCTGTCGAAAACTAACGGAGATGTCTTAGTCTACAAATTTATAAAATCATATGTCTGTATGGTGAATTACACAAACGTACCACTGCCATTAAAACACCTGCTCAAATTAAGTGATTATTGCATTGGTATATGTTCGACATATTATTCTCAGCTGGCAATTTTTTTATGATTCCATGTTGCTCTTGGTAGTACTTCCTGTGGATATTTGTACTAGCTAGTCCATCTCAAACTTGAAACACCACCATCAATCAGTCGTTGACTCATCTTTGATCTATTACTTGTAACTTCCCAGGTATTAGAATTAACTGGTCAAACTTCACTTGTTGGACTTTTTCACCAACACAGGTATGTGATTTAATGAAGTGGAGGAATTTTGAGGCTGGAATTAACACATTTTTACTCCTTTCACCTGTTCACAAATTACCTTTGTTTTAGAAAACAAATTAAAGCAGTTTACGCTCTGTACTTGTGAAATGGGAGACAATCAGTCCGGTGGGGCACATTTAAATTGTGTTGAGATCTTCTTGACTGTAGTCTCAGGGCAGCTAAGATTGATGATAAAAAAATTTTTGATTTTTAAGCCAGAATGTAAGTTTGCTTTCTTTGTTATAGGGGAAAAGGATTCTTGGGTAGTGAAAGGATCTGTGGTGAGACTCTCATTCAATTGTAAATGCAGTCATTATATGCATGTAAATTGTAAGGAATACTTTAATTTTTTTTAAGAAAATGTCATTATCCTCATCGGAAGGCAAGCCTTGTAACTTATGACACTAGTCTGGCCCAATGATGTTCATGTGTCATACTTTGATGCCCAAAATGACTGGTGATAACTGTTTTATTCTCTTTCTTAAAGGTCTTGTATTTCCTTGAAAAACACCAGGAGAATTTAACAATGCATCAAAAGTCTTAAAGCCCCATCTGATGCATCCTTTAGTTGTATTACATTATTAATGGACAGATTATCTCAAAAGTCACTACTATCCACTAACTTCTCTCTCAGGGAACAAGCATCTTCATTCCAAGCAGTTTTCAACTGATTCTGGACATGTGAGTATTTCTCTAGCTACAAAATACATGCTCTCTTAGTTACTTTTAGTAGCTGAAAACTCATCTTTGAACATAAATGTTAGGTTGAGTTTCTACCAGCGTCACAACACTTTAAGATAGTTAAATTATTGTTTTTGTTGTCTCTTTCCAGTACAGTTCAAACCCTAAAAAGAAAACTCTGTACTCACTGATTAACATTAAATACAAGGGAAGTGATGAAGCTGTGTTAAGGAGTTACACTAAGTTTATGACAATGGCTGCAGAACATCTAGACATTGATATCTCTAACAGGTACATACTGCACAGAACAGGTACATACTGTACATAACAGATATTATGTAGGGTAATAAATGTCACAAATATTATGTAGGGCTGTTACAAAGACTTTGCCAATTTCAGATGCCTTAAATTACATACTTATTGCAAAATATCACATTTTCAATGCTCAACTTGATGATCACGCCCCAAGTCATGAAAAAAATGGCTATCAATTCACAAGTCACAAAGACTTTGTGACTCACTTTGGCCGTAAAATTAGCCAAGAAGTTGGCCACAAAACTAGAAGCATACAGAGGTGCCAAATCATGAAAATTTAAAATCTGGATATATATATATATATATATATATATATATATATATATATATATATATATATATATTGTTTTAAATGTCAAAATTTATTCTAATGCAGCTGTACTGTCGTATAAATGTTCATCAGCATGGACAATACCACTTGCGTATATGTTAACCAAAAAACTTGAATAAAACGTGCCCAAAATTGCTTGCAATTGCAAATAAAAACAATCATGGGAATCAAAAAATTACATGTTCACGCATAAGCTTGACACATCTACCTCATAAGTATTACAAGGTAGTCCTTTTTTTTTATTGTTGGCGGTTTATCATTCTTAAGATAAGCAGTATAAGTAGTCACTTAGGTGTAGAGGAAGAGTCCAGTCTGTCTTTCTCTTTGCTTTGCTAGCTAGCTAAATAATTTTGGGCAAAATTTGCATTTCTTGCAGAATTTTGCTACCAATAGCAATTGAAAGGCACACACTTCTGAAATCACCACACATTAACAAGAAGCACAGAGCACAGTACGAGGTTCGGACACATGGGCGCATGTTACAGGTTTGCATTACTTCATTATCAGCAAATGGTATTGTTAGTATACTGTCTTTATCCTGTCACATTTTCTTTCTCTGTCCCTCTGTGTATTCTGATTATTTTAGTTTGTAGGTGTATTGGAAAGTTGGTTCTAGTTTTCTTGCTGCCCTGAACACCTTTTTTTTCTGTTAGCCTTCTCCACACTTGCTTTTAATGATTTGCTAGTGTTATCACACAACATCAAATACGGGGAAAATTGTGTGACAAGGAAATGGTAGTTGTGTTGAGGACCCGATGCAAAGCAGTTGTGATTGTTTTACTGTCGGTCTTACAGGTTAGGAATGTAACCCAAGAAACAGCAGATGTATTCCTTGAGTACATTCAGCGTAACATACCAGAGGGAGTCAGTATGAAAGTAGAACAAACAGAGCTGGAATCAATCTCAGACTACTTTGAGCTGCCTCCTGAAGCACAAGAATTCCTCAAACAACAGGAAAGCAATCAAAGGACAACATAATAATTTTACTTCTGATCACACCTCATACTGAGAGCAATCAACTTTTGCTGAATATTGTGTATAGTTGTGAAGGAAATCAGTTTCAAATATAACAGTAACCTAAAGAGCTGGGTGTCACATATAACTAGCACTTTCTTATAAAATATTTCTACCATTAGTAGGAAGGTTGAAACACTTGTGGCATTACTGTGATGTACTACAACCAAAGATACTGTGGACATTAAAATCAAAATGATATTTAGAGTTGAAGACTGAGAAATGTTGCAATTTTATTTTGATTTCTAAATACAATATGGAATGTATCTTTTGAGTACCTCATATTGAAGGCAAGATTTCAAAAGTTGGGATGCAATCATTTTAGTTAGCTATTATGATGGGGCCAAAAATTACTGTGTGACTTCATTAAAAACAAGCCCTCAGCAGATCTCAAACCCCAAGGCTATTCAATCTGGAGTCCCCAAGGCACTCATCCTTACACCAATTCATCTTTCATAACCATGTGTTCACACTTCCTGAAAACTGTACCTGATTTACTCATAGAGTTGAGAGGGAATTGAAAAAAAAACAAAGCTAACAATGAACAGCAGTAATAAATAATTAGCAGCAGTAATAACTTTTTATTTGTAAATAGCTAGACAAGATTTGCCAAAAATTACATTTTGGTGAAAAGAAGTTGAGATATTGTGGTTTTAACAAGGAAAACAAGGGTAATAGAAAAGATAATAATTTAATAAAATAATTAAAACAAAAGCCAAAGGGAGGAGGTGTGAGGTAAATGTGCTATGGGAAGGGGGGGACAACCCCTTGCCCCCTACCATTTTCCTATTCAGTTAATGCCTGCTATGCAGGGTGATGACAATATTAGTATCTGTGCTACTGAAATTCAGGGGATGAGGTTTTAGCCAGGAACATCTTTTTCTGGTGCAGTTCATGTTATGTTATCACAACTTGTGGTATGGCATCTCAGCTCTCCATAGCTCTTCTAACACACTGTCTTCACTTGGAAAGCGAGTTGTGAATGACTTGATCATCCCAGCAGGGCTTGCTTCAAATTCTGTTAAACTAACATCATTGTCTCCTAAAGAGATAAATTGATAAATTTTGTTGGGTTTTTTTTTCTCATTTTTGGGTTGCTTTTCTATACTTGATTCATATACTTCCTAGAAACTACTGCAGTGACACAATAACATTGTGTTTTTTGGGAGATTTCTTTTTGTCATTATTTTGACATTTCTCTAGGAAACACAAAAAAATGGACTGAATACTTCAAAGAAACCTTGATAGGCAACTCTGAGTATGAGCACCACTTGAGAATTTGGTAGAGTGACTCTGAGTGCACCTGCATAAATAAGCTTTCATCTCCTTGTACCCCTTTGATTATTTTTGTAAGGAAAAGAAAAGTCCTTCAGGGCATAACACTTGGTGTAACTGATTGAGCACATTTTTATCATGAGCCCATCCTTATTATAAGCTCCTCTCGACAAATACTATCAAGCTTACCTGTAATGCTTGTATGGCATTGAACAAACATCCTTCGTGGAGTCTTGCGAGCAAGAACCGTCTGACGCAGTGCTAAATATTCCTCATCTACGGCTGAGTATTGATCATACAAAGCTTTGCCAGCATCATAATCTGCTGTTGACTTGTACACCTATGAGGAGAAAGAATTTGATCAAAAGAAGATAAAAGCAGAGACCAATACAATAGAGTTTCATCTTTCTATGGGTAAAATGAGATTTTATATCAGAGATGATGATAAGATGACAACAAATTGACCAAGACTGGGTCTCCACTTAAGACTTATCAACCCAAATTCTAGCCCCCTGGTCATAGGGTAACCACCACATCCCCCTCTAAGCATTCTATAGTGTCTCCTTTGAAATAAAAATACTCAGGAGGAAAATTGTTTTCACAGAAAAGCACAATGGCAAACCTGTAGTTTTCTGAGGAAGTTTCCAATAGCTGGCCTTCCCACAGATTCAATCTTTGTTCTATCCAGTGTCACCAACACATCTGGTTTACCATCTGACCCTGTGATACTGGTCACTTGTACTAAATTTTCACCTGCTTCAAGGAGAACTTGTAGAATGACATATCGTGCTTGCATGTGAGCCTACAATAACAACAAAATATTTAGTTGTACTAGGAGACTTATAGTGGACCTTTTTCTACACTATTGTTGATGACACAATATTTTAGCTAGATTAAAGAATGCACTACCAAAAAATTCCATAAATCTTTATGGCTGACTCTTAGGAGTGGGACACACTTGCCAATCCTAAATGACAGTAGAAGTGAATTAGCTTTGGGGCATCACTGTTGTCCACTATTTTTAACTCATGCTGTAAACTTGTTGTGAAATGTTTCCCCGCAAAAATTGATTTCCTAGATTTATTATGAATTTAATTGTGTATTAAGTGAGTTGTAATTTTATTACCGTTAAAGTACAGAGTTAATGTTACAATTAGAAGTAGCATGTAATTGGGAGCGGTGTGGAATAGGGTTATCAAATCAGTTCTGCGAGCAGTGATGTAGGAAATTAGGTATTTGCAGGGTGTTTAAGCACATACGAACTTAGCTGCATGATTGTCAAGTAAAGCCATGATTAATAGGAAATTAGTGTCCATGAATCGTTGTAGAATGTGAGTGAATCTTAAATCCCACATGGAATTATGTATCTGGGTGTGGATTTCCTTAGCTAATATATGTAACATTTTTGTAACCCAAGGTTTAGATTGTAATAGAGTAGACAGATTGCAGAACAGAACTTGTAATGCTGAATTGTTGTCAATAAAGCCTGAATCAAGAGAAAGTATACGGTCCAAGATTACTGAACCAGCGTGTGCAGAATTCTCAGCAACGCAAGTGGGAAATTCTGCAAAAAAACTTGCTTGTGTTGCTAATGCCAAGTAACAACAAGTACTAAAAAGTATAGGGGCAAGCACACCACCCAGATTTCATCTTTGATTTTTTACAGTGCAAGATGTGAGCAATTTTTAAAAGCCAATCACCGTAATCATCTGAAAACATAACCATCAGTGACATTTGCAGAGATGACCACATGGAATAGACGATTGTGTGGTCTGGTCAAAGCAAATTTCTCTAACAGCATGCACCATACTTCCTGTTTACATTTTAAAGCTGCTGTTTAATTCTAACATACCTGCCGCCATTTGTTATTCTCAGGGGTATAAAATTCCAGTCCTAACAGACCTGCACGGACCATATTCAGCCAGTTGATGTAAATTATGTTATCAGCATCAGTGCCTTCATGCCCAAATATTCTGCAGGTACAATAAGTAGAGCCCTATTTTTAAAGCAGTGTGCATTAAAACAGAGATCATGAATAGCCTATTTTTAAATTAATAACTTTTTCACATTGGACTGACAGAATAATTCAAAACATTGTTGAAATGCCTTGTTTCTACCAAATTAAAAGACCATAGAATAACTTGGGCTGTTGAGCCCAATTTATCCCATGGCAGGTAATTTAGTGTTTACAACTGAGTTAAAAATGTAAATTAGCCACTATAAAGGGTAAAAAAGCTGACGTTTCGAGCATTAGCCCTTTGTCAGGGCGATTGAAGGGCTAACGTGAAGGGCTAACGAAGGGCTAACGCTCAAAATATCAGCTTTTTTACCCTTTATGGTGGCCAATTTACATTTTCAACTCAGTTGATAACACTAAATTACCTGCTATACCCTCCCACCGATGCAGCACCACAGTTTCTTTAGAACCTTACCCCTTTATCCCATGGCAGTTGTGTCATAGCTTGTAACCAATCAAAATCAAGAATTGCAATACATAGTTTAAACAGAAGATATGCATGGCACCCACCTCAGTACTTCCTTAGAGGTACAAAGGTAGATTCCCACGCACTCTGCACGGCATTCCTCATAAGATGGACTTAATTCAGCAAACCGTGTGTACCAGGTCTCCCCGTCAGTATACCAGCTGGAGATCTGGAAACCACAATAACACCATTAATGTCTGATAGACCCAAGTGCTTGTGTCACTCAAAATAACAAAGTAACAGTGACAAAGAGAACTTTCCCTTTCACCTTTTCTCCAGTTTCTGTGTGCATCACACTGTCAAGGTCAAAATTATATGTGCCATCATTTTTCTGAGAAAAAAAAAATGATTACATGTGCTACACCAGCAAGTAAACTAAAACCAACTGCATAAAAATGTTTGGACAAGGAAGTACACTATGATTGCCAATATTTCTAAAAACAACTCTGTGTTAAACCAGACAGTTGAAACACTCACCTTAACAAAGAGCTTGCCACTTCCATGGCCCAAGAGTTCATGAAGGCCAACTTGTACCTCAAAGGATGGGGCTTTAAGCTTTGTAAACAGCTCCTACAGTCAAATGAAATAAAAAGATATCAATTAAATGTCATTTCAATGATAATGCTGCATACTGATGACAAGAGAAGAGGTTCAGAGGAACTTCTTCTTAACTATCCAAAGAAAAGTAAAATGTAAATTGAATGAATTTTTACTCAACAGTTTTGAAACTTTTACCAAAGGCAAGCTTGATAACTATGGTTACAAATTCTGTCACAATGGTTACTCTTAGAAAAAAGTGGGACATTGCATAAGGCAACTCACTTGATCCTCATCACTAAGGAAAGTGACCTTCTTGTCAACTGAATGAGCCGCCAGTACATTTCCCAAAGATACATTTTTAAAGCCTTCTTCTTGACGAATTTCATCATCTAAAAAGAGAAAAAAAAAAACAGAACAGCAGCGATTCATATGAATCTCATCTAACCATACATCCTCCATTTTTGGGTTAATGACTTTGTTTATTCTCCCTACTTGCATGAAGGAATTCATATTGATCTACTTGAGAGAACTAAGAATTTGATCTGGACTTACAATTAGGAATGTTAATTCCAGCTGGTATACCACTGCTTCCAAAGCCCAGCACATCAAGAGAAGTAAAGTCTGGTCTTAAAAACTTGTCCTTCTCATACGCAGGAGGCCATGGCAGCTCAGGAAGCAACTTCTCAGCTTTGGACACTAGTGATGCAAACTTGGCACTCATCTCTTTGTTAACAACTGACACAAACCCTGCAAATGATGATTAAATCAAATCAGCTTTTTGAGTCTGTATTAATGATACTGACATTAATTGTAATCTTGGTATGGAAACCATTGTAAGCCACAGGACAAGAGACATCTCTCTGGATATTTTAAGGTATTTCATTTAGTACTAAATAAAATAGTACATTTAGATGCGTATTTGTTGTGTCCAGTAGCAGTAGGTATGAGGGTATTGTATGTGGTTTATTAAGATTGAAGATACACAAAGTAATTTGGTATTATCAACTGAGTTGATTATGTAAATTGGCCATCATTAAGAGTTTGAAAGATGGCGTTCCAAGCCTTAGCCCTTCATCTCAAGTATTAGCCTTTCTGACAATGGCCAACTTATATTAACAACTCAGTTAATAATACCAAATTACCTAGTTATAATCTCCCACCAACGCAGAGTCACAGTTTCTTTAGAAACTTAACCTCTTTATTCATTTGAAGATACACAATCAAGTTCACTGATAAGCAGGTGGATACAATGGGTAGCCAGGCAGCTATAGGCTGGTTATTTACAAGATGGGTAAAAAAAAACAATTACCATAAAACAAAATTATGTCTTCAATTACCTTCATACTCTGCTCGAACACCTGAAGGGTCTCTGTATGTCTCAATAAATCCTATGTAACTAAAACAATATTTATTATTAAGCAACATACTTAAACATGAACATTTCTACTATAGCTTTAATACCTCATTTACTGACCTCTGTGAAAACAGACAGTAGAAAAATTCTGACCCCTACAATTAGGCCATCACACCCTCCCCTTTCCAAATTTTGGCTGTTTTGGCTCTGACATAAAAGAGGGCCTTCAGATTTTTAGTATCATTTTCCTTTCAATTTTTAAATCCATTGAGTTTGTCTAATCACCAAAAAGCCTTTATAAAGTTGTCACACACATGCCAGCTCAAATTCTCTGACACTTAGTAAAGACATAGCTAATTTCTTCTAAACAACCAATGCCAGCAATAAGGAGACTTCCCTTAAGAAATTCATCACAAAATACTATATTTGCCTACGTTTCAACAATGGGTCCCTTATCTCTGATCCAGAACCTAGAGCCATCCTTATGAGCCTGAATGGAGCCTGTGTTGAAGCTGTGTATGTAGCTTTTTATCATGGACAGTTCATTGTTATTAGCACTAAATTCCTAGAAGTAAATGCAAGGTATTGAACATATATTCATGCCATATCATCATTATCCATTAAATGTTCTTGCTTGACAATAACTGGTCAAAACAGTCCCATGACTGACTTTGCTCCACATATAACAAGGGAATATTGGAGTATTATTTATTGGCAAGGCAGATTGTTGTCACATTTAATCAGCCTTTTCTACTCCTCAATTTAACTAAGAGGTTCCATTATACCAATCATCTGTTCAGACAACATGACATTTAAGATACAACAAGAACAACAAACATCACAATATGAAAAGAAAAACATTCATTGCTGAATTAATCAAGTGAGAATTGTTCCAAAAGAAATTCTTCCATTTTACCTTAGCTTTCTCTAGATTTTTGACAACTCTTTTCAGTAGACCAGAATAATCTCCTCTCTCCACCCTGAAGGTGCAGCCTTTGAATTCATGAGAACCCAAAACTGTTACCACTTTGTCTTCTTCTCCATCTGCTCCAGGATATGGCTCTGCTTTTAACAAAAGAATCACACAAAAAATTTCATGATGCACAAAGACATATGTACTGCATCAGGAATTTTTAGCAGAGTATTCTACAACAGGAATATATTTAATTAAGCACAATCATGTTTCACCACCAAATAAAATTTTTTATATCCTTTGGGGGAGAGAGAGAGAAGAGATCACAAACCCCACAGGACGCTTGCTAGGTCTTGGGACCTTGGCATCAATTGTAAATGACCAGGAAGTGCTCTTCACCAGCAAAAGACAAACTAAATCAAGTGCAATGGTTGCAAAACAAGACATATTTCTTTGTTTCATGTTTTTGTTAGCATCCTATACTTGAACTCACCAGTTTTTGCCACTGAAGCTATGCGAAGAATGTATGTCACATGACCATCTTTCTCCTCCTTAAATAATCTTGTGTTATAGGTTTCTATGTCCTGTGGGATAATATCAATTGCAAAAATAATAAAACATGGTATCACAATGATGAAGTACAGGTCACATTTTCATACATATATAATGTTACATATAATCATGAAAAACTTCACTGTTGTTGTAGAAAAGTATCTTTTATGTATTGAGTAAGGAATACAATTTCAAGAAAATCAAATAATGGTTATTAAAGATGGAAGAATAAAGTGAAGAGATAGTGATGGAAATAACATCATTTTCCATAGCAATTAACATGATGAGCACAGAATTAGGAGGAATTGTTTGCAATAAAGATGACAAACAGGTAAGAACAGTTCTAATGTCATACACATTAAAACCTAGAGCATCTCAGTACCCTCAACTAAATATCCAGAACAGATGTAATCAATCTGCGCTTTTGTCTTTAGTTATACTCTTTAGCATACTCTCAAACAGTTAATGAATGACATGAAACTTTTACCTGAAAGAATTCCTACAAAACATTTCTTGAGACATCCCATTCCTCTTATCATAAAATCATTAGGTAACTTGAAATTGCACTAACCTTTTCTTTCATAAACTCTTGCGCCAATTCAGCATCAGCCTTTGCACAATTACTGGAATAATATGTGGAAAGACCCTGGTAAAAGGGAAATTAAGGTATAATTAGTGTTAATCACAAGTATTTCACTTTTAACAAAAGAATTAACAACACGTTAAACCAAGCACAACAAAAAGGTAACAAGAGGGTCTCATGAGTTTAGCAGTTCTTTGACATGAGAGAGCTTGTACTGGGATCCCCAAGACTAATCAACTTCATGTGTAGAGGAGTATCATTTCTCCTTCTTTGCAAAATGCTTATTCCTTGCAGGTACAATTCCTATCAATTTCTCAGGCAGGTCTTCCCAACAATAACTGCAGCATGGTAAATATTTATACTCCTAGTTCAAGACAGGCACTGTGATAGTGAAACAATTCATATAATTAGCCAAGAATGCAATTCAGTGACCTGACCAGAGCTGGAACCTAGCACTCTGCCAGTTCAAGATTTCAAAGCTTATACAGGCCACGATCATTACATCACAGCATCTTTCACCAGAAGGCAAAAAAATTAAGACAGTTGTTGCAAAACTGCAAGATTTGATCGAAACATATCACTTACCTGCTCACCAAGGCCAAGTTGCCGACATTTGGGGGTAAGTGAATACATCTTATCTCCACAGTCACCCCACAGTTGCTCCACCCTTTTTGCATTTTTCTTGTAAGCTTTACTTGAGAAAACTACACTTTCCAATTTTTCCTACAGAATCACAAACAGAACAAAAAAAACAACAGAAAAACAAAACCAGGTCAAATTGAACCATAAGTTTTTCTTTAACTCTACACAGGAAAATTTCATAAAAGACTCAAGAAGCAGTACATTAATAGGCCAATAAAGATACCTTTGGTAAATCAGGAACAAACTTTGTGTCGCCAAATGATTTGTAGTTGCCAACATTACCATAGAATGCTGCAGCATAAATCAGAAAATTCTGCAAAACCAATGAGAAATTAAAGACATTAAAAATTACTTTGCAGGTTACTTCCAATAGCAATGGTACTTAACTCTTTACACCCTAATATCAGTATGCATATTCTCCATACTGTTCATCATACATTTCTTAAGGTGCTGACAAGGAGAATTTGTTCAAAAATCAAGAGCTTCTTTGGTTGGTGATCATTTCCTTTATTCTCATGACCTTCAGTGTGATTTAGGGGAGATATTGCTGGGAGAAATTAGATGTTAGTCACTATTAGGGGTGAAAGGGTTAAAAAGCTCTAAAGATGACCTTCAGTGGGGACAAAAATATTTGTGTGAAGTAACTGCTTTCTGTCGTGGAAAAAGAATTACACCAAAAGGACATTGAAAAAATCCTTTTCCCCAACCCTGCATCAGTCTCCTCTCAGCAAAACTGAAACCAACAGCACCTCTCTGAGAGTCTTTCTAGGATTTAATTCAACATTGCAAGAGGGGAGCAAGGGATATTTGGCTGAGCTGTTTTCAAATACATCCAAAGACCAAAGAATTTTATTGAACATTTGACTGTTTATCAGTTTACCCTTCAGTCTTTCTATGGTAGGCTGGTTGAAATAGCTGGTACTTAAAATTACTCTAGGCTTTATATCTTAACTGTTACAATTTGTATTATAGGTAAATTTATCTAAGGCTACCCTCCAATATTTCATCAATTTAGTTAGGACAGTAGAGACATATGCTTAAAACTTAATAAAGTTGAATATTAATTTTCATCCTTTCACCCCAGATCTCATTAGTTAATCTCCTTACTGCCACACAATACTATTATGATGTTAGTTAGGAGAATTTGGAATCAGATCAACTAATAATCCCCTAATTCATATTTTTCCTTATTCCCATCACTTGTCTGCTTGATGTTGTTAATATTGGTAATTTTAAGGAGAAATTGTGTCTCGGTCACTCATTGGAGTTAAACGTTAATTAAGTTATTATTAATTCTTAATTCAATTTTCGATGGATTGGTAGAATTAACACCTGTATTTACTCCTGACCATATGTATTACCTCAAAGTCTTCCTTGGAGAAGCCATTTTCGGATTTTAAAACTCTTGCTTGGAGCTCCTCGACAGATTCTGCTTGGAACAATTCTTGTAAAAGAAGGAAGATTCCAGGAGATTCCGGCGACGTTTGGAGCAAACAAATGAGAGCGCCCTCCCATGAGGCACAACACAGGTAATGAGCGTAGAGCTTTTCTTTCTCTGTGAGCCCAGAAAAAGCTGTTCTACAATTAAGAAGATTTACATCAACTTCCTTTGAAATGGTGTACTGGGACATATCCACCTCGCCGGCCATGTTGGTTGAAGAGAAAGAGCTGATGCGAGCTCTTATTAGTCAGCGGTGTCCTATAATAGGAGATATTCAAGATGGTGGACATCAATGAACAACAGCATTTCCCAGAAGTTGTCTTCGTTTTTAGCGGAAAGCGGAAATCAGGAAAAGATTTTGTCGCTGAAAAACTAAAAGAAACATTGGGGCACAATAGATGCGATATTATCAGGCTTTCTGGACCCCTGAAATACGAATATGCCCGACAACATGGACTTGAATTTGATCGCTTGCTTGATTCAACAACTTACAAGGAATTGTACCGTCAAGATATGATCCGCTGGGGAGAAGAGAAGAGAAGGGCGGATCCCACATACTTCTGCAAACTAGCGACAAAAATGGTATCCTCTACAATTCGTGAGGGGAGTCAAACAGTTCAAAAGCCCGTGTGGGTAATATCCGATGCTCGAAGAAAATCAGATGTACATTATTTTAAAACAAGTTACGAAAAAGTCGTACATGTTCGGATTGCTGCTTCAGAGGACGTCAGGAAGTCAAGAGGTTGGATGTTTACAGCAGGGATTGACGATGCTGAGTCTGAATGTGGCCTAGATGATGAAACATTCGATTTCGTAATTCACAACGATGGTCACGATCACGAGCAACTAAACAATGAAATTAATTATTTGCTTAAGTATGCTTGTTAATTCTTCTACTTTCATTGAACGAGCATACTTTGGTTAATGGACAGTTTTAAAATAATACAGTCGTCATAATAATTTATCAATTTAGAAACAAAAGATCAAGTCCTCAGAAATGGACACTGGGAATGATAAAAATTAAAAAGTTTCTTTTTTATACATTACTACAGAAAATCAGATGACAGAAAAGAAAACAGTGAAGACGGAAGTTGGAATTAGAACTGCTGAACTGGAGAATCATTGTTCAGAAATCAAATGGCTGCTCTTAAAATAGCCAATAATGCCCTTCCCCCTCATTATCGCTGACTGTGTGTAAGTCATAACCAATCAAAGTTGATCTTGGACTCAAAAAAAAAATCCTGGGTTGACCTTGTAACAAGTCATGTCATAGCCAAGTTCATAACTTATCCACACTAGGGGAGCAAATGCAGGACTCCTAATAAGATACTGAAATCCCATGGGGATAGACAGGACCTTAATTTGTTGTTGTGATAGAGATAACTGGGATAGAGATGAACAGTTCTTTTAAACCATTAATCTACTTTAAAAGAATGGTCCAGGTTATTGGGTAGGCAAGCTATCTATGGGACTGGGGCAGTCAAGCAAGTGGTTGAACTTATAAAGGTTCATTTTCCCTGTGGCCCACAAACATGTTCTCAACTCTTGTAGCTCTCACTTGAGCACTTAAGGGGCAGGTTTGGTGATTAGTCCAAAATGCAAATCTTCTGATGTCTGTTACACTGTCAGATCAAAATTTCTTTCTTTATTTTCTAAGACACACATCATTAATAATATTTACTGAGTTAACGGGAAAAAAAATGACTAGTATGATGCTCAGAGCTCAGTAAACCCCAATAAATTGTGTTCCATTAGTTTTCCTTCCAAATGTCATTTATTTTCTAGTTCACCAGTTAACTGGTAATAGGAAACCTACCTAAATGTTAGAATTATTATAAGGAGAATGTTCAAGATAGTATTATTAGTATACATTTATATAAAAAAATATTAATTATAAAAGAAGATAGTTACTTACATTTGTAAAAAAAAATTATAAAGAAATTTAATTGAGAAAAATATTCAGAAAGAGAATCTCTTATTGGAGAGATGTTAACCTCCAACACCATACCAATAAGTGCCAGCTCTTTGATAACCCGAGCTATAATTGAGCAGAAACATAAAATGAAAATATTCCTCACTCTAAATTGTCACACTGTTTGGGTCATTTTAAATAATCACTCTAGACTATGACCCCTTTGAGTCCTAATAAAAAGAAAAATCACTCTCAGCTGAAACCCTTTCACTCCAGAGATTGATATACTTACATACATATACTTTATTTTCACTTAAAATTCACAGTGTAGCTGTAGAGCTAATATCTTTGAGAAAATAAGCTAAAATAAAATAAAATATGCCATATTACAATTCCAATATTATTTATAAACTATACACAACATTATGCATGCAGAGGGAAATATAACTAGTAGATATAGTTGTATATCTACTATATGTAGATATAGTTATTCTCTGCATTGTCTGCCATACATTTTGGCTCTGAGAATTTGTTGTTAAATCGAATATTGCTAACTGATATTTCTTCTCACTTCACTTTTCTCACAGAAAACGTACTGAAATTGAAAACAAAAATTTATTTTCCCATCAGTCCTTGGAAATATGCCTTATAGTGCACCTACCATAGCTACGAAATGTTCCACTTTTTCAAGATGCTTGAAGATAAATAAATAAATAGCACCTTATTTTGCAAGTGTCACTGTGATAATGCACGCTTTCAAATAGTTTTTTCTAGGCCAACCAAATCTGCGCTAACTTCCCAAAGCTTTTTAGCTGCTCTATCATCTTTTCCCTGATCAGCTGGTTCCTTAGGCTTGCAGTCACTGTAGTACAGTCCAGACTCAACGTCATCTGCTACAGCGCAATAAATTGTTGTTTGTGCTCCCTGAAGAGAAGTCTTGAAAAACAACCACGCAAGCGGAGCCAGAGTCAAAGACGCGATTTTGGACTTCGCAAAAGTTGTATGACGAGCTAATTCGGTTTTCACAACACCAGGGTGTACAGCAGTGACTAAAATATCGGTATCTTCCAGGCGTTTGCTCAATTCGCGAGTGAACAAGACATTAGCAAGTTTACTCTGTGAGTAGGCGAAACTTGGGCTGTACTCTTGTTCGCTTTGCAAATCATCAAAGCGAATCTTCCCTCTCACGTGCGCTAGAGAACTGACATTAATGATGCGACTTGGTTGAGATCTTTCCAGCATGTCTAACAGAAGATTTGTCAGAAGGAAGTGGCCCAAGTGATTGACGCCGAGTTGCATCTCAAAGCCATCTTCTGTTTTCCAATATGGACAACGCATGATGCCTGCATTATTGATAAGGATGTCTAGTCGATCTTCAGTTTGGTGGAATTCCTCCGCGAATGTTCTCACTGACTTAAGCGACGCAAGATCGAGCATTTTCACGAATACCTTGTCATTTCCTGTTGTTTTTCGTATTTCTTTAGCAGCAGTGTTTGCCTTCTCGAGGTCTCGGCAAGCTAGGATTACACGGGCGCCCCTTCGGGCGAGATCTAAGGCTGTTTCTCGCCCGATTCCTGTGTTTGCCCCTGTGACGATTACTGTCTTACCATTTAGTTTCTCTTTACAATTACAAACTCCTCCAGCGAAGTAATTTCTCAGCAGGAAAATGCCACCAGCACCAGCAGCTACAGTTGACAGAGGTCCTGCTAACTTCCAGATGCCCGCCATGCTAAGTTGCATTTTATCCTGACTGATATAAAGCGTCCTTGGAGTTTGACCGCTGCTAATAATGCCTGTAGACTCTACCCTTTTCCCGTGGAACCCTCGCGGTCGCATGCCTTCCACAGGCCCTCAAGTTACTTGGTTGTCATAAGTGATTTGTTTATATTTAACATTTTTAACAAAAAATTTTAATTTTTTACTCCGAAGATAAATGTTTTATCTATTGAAAGTCGTTTCTTGAAGCAGTCCTTACGTATGTGGGCTTTGTTATGAGTCTTTCAGAACTGTAAAGGATTTCAGGAATATTGTTTCGGTCTATCTGAAAGTAACTTCCATTGGCAGACGTGCAGAGTTCGTCTGCTGGCCTTAGACCTACTTACATTAAATATTTTTTTGTGCTCTCACAGTCAAAGAGTTTTGATTATATTGGGAGCATCAAGTACGTTGCTATTCATTCTTGAGATCCACCTACTTACAACTGTAAGTCACTGAACTGTAGCAGAGAACAGCCGATTGAAGAAGAGGAACACTCTTCATCTACCTTTCATCTACACACGTCCCAACGAAATCTATAGAAATTTCTCGATGTCTATAATAATATTTGTGTCAGTAGGAAGGCTTGTGTGATTAGTTTTACTTTCTTATGAGCTGTTTTAAATACAGCGGACAAAAGTAAATTATAGCAGTCTTTTAATTTATTTCTTTTTCTCGAGGCTACAACCTACATTTTCTCTAAAAAAATGCGCTGTAAATAAAGTTGTTAAAATGAACTACATAATTATCCCTAAACAGCAAAAGATGGTGCTCTTGAGAGCACCATTTGACCAAAGTAAAAGCAAATCAAATTATAAAAACGAGAAACGGTAAGAATTATGATCGACGATGATATTAACAAAATTAGCATAAGAACCATTTCAAAGTCAGTGTTTATCAACTTACTAACTTCCATAAAAACAGCTGCCACTTACTGTGTTGATAACAATTCGGCTTAGGAGAATAAGAGCATTTTCAATCGGAAATCTTGATAAGAATTGCAGAAACTGACAATTTCGACGAATGACAAAAAAGCAAAAATTTAAGAAGCTGAAAAATTAGGATATAGAATGATGTAAATTTTAAAGGAAATGAAATAAAATATTAAAAAATTCCCATCCTTTGAGATTCAAATCTCAGCCAGATCAGAAATCGCTGTAAGAGCGGTAATTGATGATAAAAAAACACTTAACATCATTTTCCAAAACTTTCCATTAACTGAAACACCATGGAAAACATATTAATTTTGGTTTGTGTCCTAGGGTTAATCATAACCTGTCAGAGCATTTTAGATTTAAGTGTTTAGACTTCTCAAAACAATTTTGTCACGGTCTGTCAAATGATTGGTCAGATGATATTCAATCATCCGGGCTTGTTTTATTTCAGAGTCTTTTGACCAATCAGTGGTTATCTCTCAGACCTTTTACCTGAGCACTACCGGAATAAAGCAAGCAAATGCCTCTCGGAACTAATTTGCTTCAAGCTGAAACTATAAAGTTGATTTCTGGGGTTGTCTCGTTGTATAATGAGTGTTAAAACGTTAAAAGGATAAATAGAAATCGGTGAGTTTGAAAAATTGAGACTTCAAGAGGACAGTTTTGTTCTATCATCATTACTAAAGCGAAAATCTCGTCGCACCAGCAGTTGTAACGATAGCGACATTCCACATTCGCTGCGACTGGAAAGACTTACATTTTAAAATTATCCGTCCTAACGTAAAACAGCTGCATATTATCTCATTTAAAATCTGAGGTAAGGAGTATTTCTTCAACGATCGATTATCGTGTTTCGGTTATCGCAATTTTACAGTGCTTTTGATCCGCAGAATACATCAAAGTCAGTTGAACTTGCAGAGCACAAGATGGTATTTGGTGGTCCATTGGAATGCCGAAATTCGACGGCACCTCCAACGCTTTCTTTCTTCTCATCTGCTGTTTCTTCACTACTTATGCTGATAACAGTTCCAGGGAATCTTCTCATTTGTTTAGCAGTTGCTAAAGATCCTTACAAGACACTCAGATCACCCTTCAATCTTTTTCTGTTGAACATTTCAGCAGCGGATCTTGTGGTGGGTTTACTCGTTCTGCCATTGTCCATAGTGTTTCACTTTCTGGAAGGAATAGGTATCATGTTCGCTCCACTGATCAAATCTTTGCATCTTTCCTTCTTCATTTCATGTTCAGCTTCTGTATTGGGCATCGCAGCTTTGAGTTTGGATCGTTATATTTGTGTTACATCTCCCATGAAATACCGCTTGAAGCTGAAATCTTTGCAAGTTAAGAGGGCATCGCTAATCATTTGGCTGATATCTGTGGTTTGTCCCATCACGTATCTGTATGTTGACTTTATAATATACACCTTTGTGTTCGCCAATGGAACTCTTCTTTTTACACTCCTGGTTTTAGCCTTTGTAAACCACAAGATTCACCGCAGTCTCCAAATTCAACGAAAACAGCTTCAAGCTCTCGCGGACGGCAAGGATTTTCAGACGACAGTAGCCAAGCGCGATGCAAGAGTTACAAAAACATTCCTGTTCTTTCTTGCCTCATTCATAGTCTTAACTGTTCCTCCCTTGTCGTTCAGTTATGTGTTAAACTTCTGCTCAACGTGCAGCTGCAAAACAATCCACATTCTAAGAGATCTTCAGTTCCTCTCGATATTATTTCCCAGTTCGGTAAATCCTTTTATTTACGCTATAAGGCTGCCAAACTTCAAAAGAGCCATTGCAGTGATATGTTCCACAATCTCAAAATACCAATTTTTCTCAACGAACCCTGGACAACCAATGTGTGAATCTATCTCCAGTGAAGTGCTCGATAGACAGTTTAGAACGATTTCCAAATCCTCACTCGAACAGCCAGAACCAGTGGGCCTGATCAATGCTGATTCATCTGGAAGGGAAAAAGACGCAAAAATTGACGGAACAAAAAACGCTGAGCCATGGAGCAACAGTGACACAGTTTTCTATGAGGATCATTTTAACGAAAATAAGTTGCACTCGGAAAGAGATTTTTATGGGAGGAGTCAATCTCCATGCCAAGACAGAATTAGTATCTCACAGTTCTACAAGGTTACAACAGTTGTATGAGACCGCATACCTGATATAAAGCAAATTAGAAGATGATGATAATGCTAACGATGATCGAGATGGCAGAATTGATTAATGTCTGTAAACATACGGCAGAGAGATATTATCGTTAGGAACAACTTAGAACCAAGGAAATATATATATATATACATATATGACGATTTAAAGAAAAATAAGCTAATCCGTGAAAAGAGTAATATTTAAATGGTTCTAAAATTGCGTAACTACGATAGATGCAGTAAAAAAACAACAACAACAAAATAAACTGTCTTATTACAAAGTCTTAAATCCCGTGAATGGCAACCAGCTCATTAGCCTGTTCCACGCGTTCAGTTTGTAAAACGACGCGCAGGAGCAGCGGTGGAGTAAAAAAACGAGTGAGGCCTAGGTCGGGTCGACGCAGTCCAAACTTCCACCGTTTTTACACTCCACCGCCACTACCGCGGAGTCGTCGACGAGCCAGCAAACTTGTTGACCTGCACGTCGGCCGACAGTCGAGCAGAACTCGATTGATTGTAGGGCGACGCGTTGAACAACATCGCGTTAAACAGCGTAAAAGGCTATTTACATTGAGAACTTCATATCTCTTGAAGAGTTGGCTACGAATGGCTAAATCGCACTTTCTTGTCTATGTTTGCCTGCAAACTTCTCCTTTATGGTGCATTTATTGAGGTAACTTGGCAAAAGCTTGCCGTAAGTGCAAATGATGAATGCAGGTACAGCGCAAAAAACTGTAGTTGGTCGAACTTGGACTGCAGCGGCGTGCGGGAAGGTAATGGCGACAGAGCGGAAACTAGGAACTAGCTTCAACATCGCTTGGCCAGGCCACCAAGCAGAAATATGGCGGCTTGCGTTAACTTGCTGCGGTGCTTAAAATGTCAGAGTAGTTTTAAGGTGAGTCCACAAAAATCTATTCATTTAATCAAAGAAATTAAACTGCATCATAAGAAATATTTCTATTCAGACTGCTAAACTTCAGGATACAATGCCACTTGCATCTCATTATATACACACCGTGAACTTGTAATACTGTAGAATGCTGTATTGAAATTTGTTTTTTCTGCATGTTGTTGTCCATGTATTTGTTTATAAAAGATTTGCTGTTTCTTTCTGTTTTCATTTGTCATGTCCCCAGATGTCCTTTGCAGCAAAGTGTGCGCTCAGGAATTTTACAGGTCATCATTTTGGCTCTGTTTCCAGGTGAGTGTGAGAAAACTACGTGATGAATGAGAAAGAAAAAAATTCACCTTCAGAAATTTCTATCCATAATTTAATCAAATGAATATTACTCCTCATTTACGCAATATTTCCGTTTGTCATCTATACGATGGTAAGTTTTGGCTCTTCCTTGGGTGTTCCTCAAAGTAGTGTAAGTTCACACATAAATTTTTTTCTCTGAGATGCTTATCATGCACTTCAGATTCTTTGTATTTCATAAATGAACTGCCATAGAAAGAGATAGTACTGCAAAAATGCAGGCCTGCATATTGGTCATATTGCATGCAACTACAGCATGGTCTGCATGCACTAGATCTTGTGAAGTTATACTCTGCAGGTTACATTCTTGGTGCAAAAAGCCTGTAAATTTTGCATATGATATAAAACAAAGAGGTAAAAAGTGCTGATGAAGATAATAGTGCTACAACAAAGAAAAACTTCACAGATTTTTTTCAGGGAAACCCTAATTCTTTGGCCAAAAGTGTAATTACGTGTGTATTTTTTTGTTTTTACAGATTAGTACTTTTCTCAACAAGGCCCTTGTCAGCCTATTGGCATAAATCAGGTGAGCAAGTGAGACAAGATTTTTGTCTCAGTCAATAATAAATTAAAACACTTTTCCTTACACACATTTAGCATGCACCTTGTGATATCAATGTCTTAATCATTTTGGCCAGGCAGTTGAGCATATTTTCCAGCAATGCCACATACATGCATGCAAACTCCATGTTTACAAGACCTTTAAACACAAATTACATTATTCAACTTGCTTTTTGTCATGGACAGGAACATAAATGTAAAGTATCCCAGATATGATGAATATGATCATTGTTCTGTACAAGAGTACAATGGGATACAGTTTTCCTTAATATTAAAATGTCATTTGTTAGATGTACCATTCAGGCCACTATTACACAGAAAACCAAAGAACAGGTGTGATTTTGCAAGCAAAGCTGACAGTGAGGTATTTTGATTGTTTTTGTTTTATCCCGAGGCATTATTTTTGCAAAAAAATATTGTCATACATGATCATCGGTCCAGTGCTCCAAAGAGGAAGCAAATCTAAGACTCTTTGATTATCTACCCTTTATACTTAGTACTCTAAGAACTCAGAGGGATTATTTTGAGGAAAACGTAACAGTTTTGGTTTTTCCTTAAAGATGTGTTCAGATCATAATCATGTACATTCCTTGTGAGGTGCTAGTTTCTGCAGTTGTGAATGAACAATTGAAGTTCCATGCCTGTTAAGCTTTTTCTCACACCTTATTTTCTTAGAAAAATCCCATGATAAATTAATTGTTTGATGCCTAGATTGTTTAAAACTGCAGCCCAAATCGGCCTTCTTTTAAATACACAACTCTTTGTATTTTGTTATTTTTCGATATTGTTGGTGGTCAAGTAAAGTTGTTTCCTTGTGAAATTAGCTTGTGTATTTGTGACTGTTTGCAGATTGAGGAAAACCCATTTGCCTATAACCATTTGCTGATCAAGCTGGAAGGGTTGGACGATGGTGTTCTGGACCATTACTGCCAGTTTGTAACCAGTGCTTCCAAAATGATGAAACTTGAAGTGAAAAAAAAGTAATATATTTATTGGTTTTCATAATTTTAGCTTCAGCTTGCTTTCAAAATGTCAAATGATTATGATATTCAATGTATACCTTTTTATTGTGGCTGATAAAACTTTGAAGCCCTTTTCTAGTTTTCTTTTTAGAGGTACATAAATTCCGGTGCCTCCTGCCTTGTGGTCCATTTATGAATAAATGTGTCTTTTCTTGTTTTAGATTCAACCTTGTAACAGAGACCTTTAGTCAAACACTGGCCTACCCATTAGACAGCTACAAAAAAGATGGCATCACCTATGATTTTAAAAAACATGGCCGCATGATTCAGGTTGGAGTTAAAACTGGCATGTAAATCCTTTTTTAGTCCTTAAAGATGAGACCTATACATATATGGGTTCTCAACCAGTTTTGTGTGGTCAAGATGTCAGAATACTTCACAAGTTTTTGCCAAAAACAAATATTCTGTTTTGTAAATGTGACCAGATTAATTGCCCAACCTTGTTGACCAAACAAGATTGTAATTGATCAAGAAAGGATATGTTATATGGCTGAAAAATTACACCAAAGAAATGCTGAACATATTTACCACACTCAAAACATGGCAGACCAAAACAAGGTTCCTCAAAACAGGCGACTGTTAGGTTGTGCAACCCCATTGCCATAATATCATCTTGAAAACTTTTCTCTAGTAGGAAGAAAGGTTCTTCTTGATATAAAGCTGGCAAATTAGGCTCATCATGCCAGCTCAGATCAATTAGAATTTTTAGCATATTTCAAGACAATTTTCCAATGGTTAGGTTACTCTTTAGAATTCCAAACTGCCTTAAGTAGCAAATTTCATCTTGAACTATATCTGGAGCAAACTTTTCCTTTTAACCTGGAACACCTTTGGAATTATCTCCACTAGTAATAGCTTATTGATTTAAGGTGACCCTGGAAGGGAAGTAAAATGTACATAAAGGAATACTTCATCCACATGTATAATTCTTTGGATGTAGTTTATCAAGATGTTCACTGTTATTCACAGGTTGCAGAGGTTCCATTTGACAAGTTCGACTTCTTTGTTCAGTATCTACAAGATAATGTTCCTCCTGGTGTCACAGTCCACATGGAACTGGTGAGAAAATGAAGGGATGCATGAAAAAGTCCCAAATTTATTCTGAAAGACTGGTAGATTCCTTCATAAGTACCTTGTGTTCCCTTTTGAATGTTCACAATGTTGATTTTTAGGTGTCAACAAGGCATATTGTGAAAACTGGTAAAATTAAGTGTGTTCATGTTCTCTAAAAAATAAAACTAAACATTTTTCCCTTTGAAGGGGAGGCAATCTCCCTCCATAAAATAATTTTGATGTAGGTGAAGGCGACAAATTTATCTTTATACCCAACTAAACATGCTCACTGATTATTCTTGGTAATATGTATTTCAGTAAAGTTTATCCATTTAAAACTTTCTCTTCAACTTCATCAACAGAAAAAGTGGCAAGACTTTGTTTCACCACCTGACCCCCTTCTTCTGGAGCTGGAAAGATTGGAGAGAGAAAAGATTGAAGCACGGAAGGGCAAAACCCCACCAAAATAAATGAAACATTCTCAAATGAAGAGGCAGGTTGAAAACAAAGTCCTAGTTGTAATGAAGTGACTTTGAAAGTCACTTCTTCTATTCAGTCTCTTCAAGATGGTCTCCAAGGAATTTTACACATATGGGCACCTTTTGTGGAAACAAATGATAGTATTCAAAATAAGAGGAAAATAAAGTATCATTACAAGTGAATAAAATCTCATGGTATCCTTGACAATCTGGCCTGCACGAGTGTAGCTTTTCCTCAGCTGTAAGTTTGAGTGGACAATCACCCCCAAGAGGGACCAGCATCTTATTTCCTCTGACAATATTACCCCTCAATAACACTTTTAAGTCAAGAGAATAAAGAAAGTGATCCCTAACCAGAGAAGCTCTTGATTGGTAAACTAATTCTCATTGTCAGCACCTTAGGAAATGTATGGAGAATATACATACTGACCATAGGGTATAAAGGTTAAGAAGAGAACAAGGACTGTTCTTCAACATTCTTGAGAAGCCCACTGATTTTCCTTCAGCTTATTTGTTTGTCTCCAGAGACTCGGTGCCTCCCATAAGCTACCTATCAAGCAAGCTGTAACTTCGCTAGGTCACTTGATAAATATGTCAATTGCTGATATTGCTTTTTGATAGACAACACAGAAGTTGAAGTTTTGACTTTATTAAGTGTCAGCAAAACTCAACAATATCACACACCACCCATGCAAGTTGTATCTTTGGCAAAATGCCACACAGCACTTGACTGAATTCAGCCCAAACTGGAAAACATTACACAAGTAAACATAAATGCTCAAACAAGAGAGGCAAGAAGCTTATAGAGAAGAGAAAATATTAGACAACGGAACTCACTGAAGATTATTGATGGGAACTAAAATAAAAATCATTCCTTTTCTTCTAACTGTTGGCAAGCTATGATAAACACCATTGAAAGTAAACATTTCTTCAGGTTGGAAAACTTACATTATTTAACAGACACTAACAATTGCGTTAAGGTACAATTTACTTTTAATACCACAAAATTAGTTAGCCCAGATGAATAACAATGCAAGTATTTTAGTTTCGGGGAAGAAGCAAGAAATCTTAAGGGAGGGTACTCATTTCAGTGATTACAGTACTTTAAGTTATATAGAAGTCATAACTGAGATGGTGCTGCTAGTCATTCAAGAAACGACTGACAGCTCTCTTTCTCCTGCAAAAGCTCTTCAGCGGTGGCATCCATTTTTTCACGTGAGAAGTCACTAATGGCCAGACCCTTCACTATTTCATATTTATGGTCTGGGGAAATTCTCACTGGGAATGAGTACACAATATCTTTTGGAATTCCATAAGAACCATCTGACACCACGCCCATGGAAACAAACTCCCCCTGTAAAGAAATGTTACAAGAGCTTAACAAAATCAAATCAAATACAAGTAAAGGACTGCTGACATTCAAATGAAATTGTTTCTATCGACAAGGGAAAAATCTTACTCTCCCATTTACAGTTGACCCCCTCTTGATTGTATGTTACTGTTACCCAATTATTATGGCATTCAATCCTAGCCAAAATTCAAGTTTAATGTTCAACATCCAAGTTTTGTTTTCAATATTCAAGATTTGATGTGAACTTCACACTTGACTGACTCAGTCACTCCAAGGGATTTAGAAGTAGTCTACACAAAAACAGAGGATGCCATTGACAGTGTGTTTTGATTGGCTACTCAAACTCCCCCTATCCTATATTGCTCACCCCTGAAAAACTCATGCTGGATTTGTGCCCAAAAATATGGTAACGGTTGCCAGAATAACTGAATTAAAATTATATTTCTGTGCAATATGATCTCTGTCACTGTTTCTGCACATACTTATACAACATTTCACCTCAGTGTTGGTGGTTAGCAATTGATAGTTACCTCCCCCTTTGCAGCTCAATCAATATCCATCACCAGCCACCTCCACTTTGGAGAATAGTTTTTAAATGTTAAATCATTTTGAGAGGGGATCCTATGACCCCTGATGTAAAAGTTACCTCAGCTGTTCCAAACCACCAGTTTCTCATGTGATCACATATTGCCTTGGCAGCTGACATGGCGCTGGATAACTTACGAGCAGCAATGATAGCAGCACCACGCTTTTGCACTGTCTGAAGAGAGAATCCATTTTAGTATTTCTCCCAATCAGTGGCACAAACATGCAGGAGTAATGACGTAAACTTCTGTTTAATACAGCTACTAACTTTGAGTAATTACATTCAGTTGCACAAGCAAGCTTCATTTTGCACAGCATGACAGCTACTTTACCAAATGAGTTGATAAATAATTGTAAATTGGCCACTGCAGAGAGATTCTAAAGCTGAGGTTTCAAGTATCAGCCCTTCATCAGAACCCTTTGTTGTAAGCCTGTTGCTCTGAAGAAGGACTAATCCTTAAAATGTCAACTTTATAAACTCTTTACCCTGGCCAATTTTACAATAGCAACTCAGTTGATAAAACCAAGTTGTCCTGAAAATAAATTAGTCTACCTAGCACCACACCACACCCCAAAACAACAAATGAATGCACCAGCTCACAATGTCAAGGAACTTACTGTAATAAATTCCCCATTCAAAAAACTGTCATCACTGACGGCCTCCCTGATTGATATGCATCCTTGTGGCATATTAACAGTCCCATGATTGACATCTGGGTACTGAGTGGATGAGTGATTTCCCCAGATAATGATGTTTTTTACATCTTCAACTTGAGTGCCCACTCTCATTGCAATCTGCAAAGGCCAAAAAAATTCTTCTTGCAATAAAATATTAATCATTTGTTATAGGAATAGGAGAGGAAGTATTTGCTTTCTTTGTCAAGTTGGATAATTCAGAAGTTTGGAATTTGAGGTACATGCTCAAAAACTAAGCAACATACGGCGTAAAGGACATGTTAATTAGTTTCTATTGTCAAAGATTTTTCAAGGCTTTCATAATAATTGAAAAGTCTCTAATATTGCCTAAAATATGTTTGGTGAAGGGTACTCTCATTGAATTCAGTTACCTTATAAAGATATCACTCAGAAATCAGCACTGGTTGCAGCTTGGAAAACAATTCTTCACTATTTCTTATCTTAATGAGTTGGGATTTTATGTTCCAAACTCATTCCAGCTCTTTTTCAAAACTTCAAGAGTGTAAAAACCCTGATATGACCAAGATCAGAATGGAACGAATACAGAAGTTGTGCCTCCATCTGACTTACAAACCAAGTGATTCAGGATAAATTACTCTCTTACTGATTTCCTATCTCGTTTACCTGTGCCCTCGCTCTGTTCATATCCAGTCGCGTCAAGCATGTAAAATTTTCAGAAGGAATGGACGGAGCATTCATCTTGGCCATCATGCAGTTTGTGTTTGCTGGGTTTCCAACAACCAAAACCTGTGAAATTAAATCCATTAACAAGGAGTTATTAAGCACCATCAAAATATCTATATCATTCACAAATGTTCTCAGAGGGCTTCATTTAGTTTGTTCCTAGAAGAAACTGTCCTGTAATAAGCATGGTCTCAATAAAATTTTTTATTGATGTGAATACTAAGTACCATTACAATTAAGACTTGAGGCTTCAAGTAAAGCCAGTTTGGTTTTAATAAGCCCAGAATTAGGAGAAGACTTTGATCTCAGTTAACGCTTCATCTCCCATGAGTGACCAACACAGAATGTCTTCTCACAATAACAATCCAATATCAAGCTATGAAAACAAAAAAAAAAATATTTGAAGTGAAAGGGAAAACCAAGTGGTGGAGGATTTGGGTTGGGGGCTTATAACCATGAATTGTAATAAAATGATAAACAACAACAATAGAATGGTGGTTTTCACCAGCATAGTACCTTGACAGTTTTCTTGGCGTAATCATTCAGAGCCTTTCCCTGTGCAACAAAGATCTTAGCATTGGCTTTCAGAAGATCTTTTCTCTCCATTCCTTGTTTTCGCGGCATGGCTCCAACGAGAATGGCCACATCAATGTTGGCAAATGCCACACTTGGCTCGGATGTCGCAATTATGTCTGACAGAGATAAATAGAGGATACAATGTACATGTTATGTTCCTTGTATAGCAGATATCATTGTTAACCCTTTCACCCCTTAGACTGACTAGCATCTAATTTCTCCTTACCATATCATCCTTAAATCATACAGTAAGGTCACGAGAGGAATGGAAATGATCAACAAGTACAAGAGCTCTTGATTATTAAGCAAATTCTTCTTGTCAGCATCTTAGGAAATTTATAGAGAACAGTATGGAGAATATGTCTACTGATCTTAGGGTGTAGAGGGTTAACCTGATACAGGTGTGTTGGGATGTGACTCTATTTTGTATATCCACAACTCTACTAAATACACAAAGGATTGTAAAGAATTAAGTCTGAGGTGACTATTCCTGCAACATCAAAATCTCCTTTAATTTCATATGAAAATTCAAGAAAATTTGCAGGGAGAATGTCTCAGTGCATCAGAAGTTTTTGCACAGCCTAACCCTAAGCACCCTTGAAATATAGAATAACAAAAATTCATTCAGGGAGCTGGATGGTAAACTGAGTATTGCTTCATCTCCAAGTCAAAGTCTAATAGACTATTATTTTACAAGATTGAGAGTTTCTCTTGTTTTAACCCTTTAACTCCCACATCAAATTTGTAATTCTCCTTACTTCCAATCATACAATTCTTCTAATGTTAGTTCAGAGAATTTAGTGTTGGATCAACTAATTTTCCCTAATTCTATATTTTTCTCTATTCTCATCACTTAGCTGGTTGATATTGTATTGATATTGTAAGGAGAAATTCTGTCTTGGTCATTCATGGGAGTTAAAGGGTTAAAGGATTCTTACTTTGCAACAATGGAAAGGCACAGTCCTGTAATTCCATCACTACACCTTCCAAGACAGGCATCATAGGAACAATATCCAATAAGTGCACAATCAGTGGCTGAGGAAAAGAATATATCCATTATTTATGGTCTGAAGACACCAAAAACATTGAAGAAATGTTGAGGAACCACAACAAGTGACTTCTATTGGCTCATTTTGTTTAAAAATTGGATTCATTTTCCAAAGCCTAACACTGATCTAGTTAGTGATATCCTTTATTCTTACCTGCTGCGTTCCAAACACATCTCCTTTGCAAATGGAATAAAGAAGGGAATAAGCAATCTGTCCAGCAGCACCAGTGATACAAATACACAAAGCTTCTTTCTCCTAAAAAATAAAAGTAGTTGTGCAAATTTCTCTGGTTCTTGATTGCATTCTCCTAAAAATTATCAATCTCATAAAATTATTTTGTGGACTTCTCACAAATTTTGGCTCTTGCACTCACCTGTGATTTTGAGAAGACAGACAGAGATAAAATGTTGTGATTTCACTTTATCAATAGTACAATTTTGACATAATTTCCCATGTTTCAACAGGAAAAATTCATTTAAATATGATATCAATTTGTTTAACACTAAGCATGCATAAACTGAAAAACATGCCAACCTTTACAAAAAACCACTTAAGTTTTGGACCTTTCTCATTCCTGTGTCCAACAGGAGTTTGAGCCACAGGATAATTTTTTGTTTGAGCCACAAACATTTCATCATCTATTTAAAAGATTTTTTTTAAGTACCATCTGTCTAGTGTATTTGTCTCTCTAAACTCACAGTCCAAAGGGGAGAAATGTAGCAGTAGATGGGAAAAGGAAAGAACTGATCCAACCATCCTCTTGGAGAGAGGGATCCAAAACACAGTATCACCCCACCCCTCCAAGATCTTCCCATTTTTAAATTTCTTACTTTTAAAACACAATTTGCTTATCCCCAAAATCCCCAAAAACGTGCGACCCCATTCTGGTAATTCTATTAAAAATGCGACTCTGTTCTTTTCACCCAGTAAAAATGCTAGTAGTTAATATAAATAAGCTTGTCTAACATCGAAAATTTGTCCTAAACGCAAGGGTAAGTTTGTCCCATGCAAATTATATTTCAGAACTTGCGAAATGCAAACTACGTGGTCAATGACTCAGAAAGAAGGCCATGTGGTAGATTATTCAGTAATTAAACCTCAGAGCTTTAAGTAAAGTGCTTAATTTTCAGAAAATACATTTAATCTTGAGGGGACGAAGTAAGAAGCAAAGTCCAGAGTTAAGAAGTTATATATTCTAGTCACAGGGGCCGGGCTGCAGATCCGAAAAAATTCCCAGTCTTAAGCATAAGTCAAACTGTCGGATTATGGTAAAACTACGGCCAGTTAAGGCCTAATTAGTTGGAGCAAAGATGAAAAGAGTGCGTAGGGTATTTAAATTTTTGTATACCCACCATCGCGCTTGAGTTCAAATCCACTTCGAATAAAGACGTTAATAATCGAACCAAACGTGCCACGAAACACGATTGCACGAATACTGGTACTAGACACCAAGGAGGGCGAGGGGAACTGTGGGTACTAGGCGTGACTTGTCTGTCACAATAGAATCACATGACAAGGACAAAAACTGCTCCGATCGTTCTTTCCATAACATCAGCATGTGATCCTTATATCTACAGCATATGGTACAAATGAAATATGAATTTTTCGTTATCAAACCTCGCACGTCAACGAAAGCAGAGGAAGTTAATCCGGGGATCGAAGTCACCCAAATTAAATGTTTCGTAATGTGTCACGCAACTTCAAAGCACAACCTTCAAGTTATTTTGGCGAGAGGAGGCTGGGTCGAGACACACCCCAGACACTCCCAAGTCGTCCCACCCGGCATCGTCCATGTCTCTCGCTCCATAGCGAGAGGATTTTTCTCTCTTCCCCGAGAATGATACAGACAGTTACTAATGAAAGAGAACCATGATCGTGTTTCAGCTCTCAGAGCGACAAGTTCGTTCCAAAAAGTCGAAAATTATTTTCTGCTTTTTTATGCCGTTCCTCGTTGGCAAACTCTGATATTATCAAGAACCCAAACCTTGGGGAGGCGGGGAGGGGGAAGTTGTCCTCTACTAAAAAGCTGAGTCAAGCTTTTTTATTTGCATATCAATTTAGATCATTCAAGCACATCTTAGTGCTTAATCAACGGAACGGTCCCCAATATAGGCTTAGTCATGTAGGAACAATGCGATCCTTTAACCCTTGTCTCAAACAAAATTCCTGAACCAAAAATCTTCACACATGAAGAATGCCGATTACATTTGTCGTCTTGAAGGGGTCGAGAGAGGGCTGGCACTAGGCTCCATCTTACCGAGGCCAGGAGCCCATAATGGGCTCCTGCCTAAGCTCAATTATTTTTCGAAGCCTATTCATTTTTTTATTTTCTTCTTCATTCACATATTAACAACCTATTTTACTATACGATGACGATAACATAGTTCAGGAACTCTTTGGAAGTATACTGTTGATATAGTCTACATTGCTTGCAAGTTTTACGTTTGGATAACATACTCAACGACTGACAGGAATAAAACTGTAATCAAACGAAACAATGCCGCATGTATTACGAGGAAAATAGCGATCTTTAACTGCATATGTGAAAGATGCTTTTACTTTCAAGCGGAGTCTACAGTTGTAAGACGGTCTCAATGGGCTATAACCGAAAGCTGTAAAAACGGCAGAAAGAAATAGCCGTTTGGAGTGAAAATTGACAAATTTTAGCCATTAGTCATAAGGAAGATTAACCGGAAAAAAAAGCTTTTTTTAAAACTAACGGGAAGAAATGAACCATTAGTTTTAAGATCCATCGCCCATTGAGGCCCTCTTGTATAATTTTACAAAGGTAATTCTACAATTGAAATTTACGCTTGTGTACGAAGTCGAGATACACGTGTAAATTCCAGCATGGAAATTGTTTTACTAAATTCTTGTAATTACAGGTCGGACTTTACCCGTGTATATCACACATGTAAAAATTAGTCTTTGAAACAACTCCGCAGAAGTTCCTTTTTTAAAAATAGGTGTCTTTATATATATCGACCCAGATCTAAAAATTTTGCTAGTTCTAAGTTATTTCGTTATTTATGCAAGTTTGCCTGGCTTCTAGGCGCGATGCAGGTTTGTAGGTACAAATGATCTAACTGATATATTTAATTTTGTTCTTGAGGAATCATTAAAATATATGCTGATAGTTGGTTTGTTTCTGTGCGCCAGCGTATCATCAGAACAAAGAAATTTAGAAGACCCTTTGAAGATAAAAAGTGGTATAATATTCCGCCCACTTCAGTGTCAAAGAGAATTCAAACGTTACTTTCATACTGTTGAGTAACATTTTGTCCATTTTCTTTCTCTTGACCCGGTACAAGTTCCTCGGGGGGTCGTAATTCGATTGGAAGAGAGGAAATAATGCGACAGGAACCAGCATCGTTTTGGTCTTTTAAGGAGGGATGAAAAACACCGTAATAAAGTAATAAGGAGAGCAGACCAAACAAAAATAAGCCCCACTCTGCTATCAACATCATCACCTTATAAGAATGCTTCCAGTCGCTATAGAAATACCACATCAACACTAAGATGGAGTTTTCGATGAACGTCACCATATAATAAGGGCCTCCCCACTTTCGAGTGTCTTTGCCCGCCAATGGAAAGAAACAAAACACGTTAACGAAAGTAAACGCAAATCTGAGAATTTTGTCGTATACCAATCCTTCTTCGAAGTAATTATTTGGCTGTCCACGTAAAAGCAAGTAGGAGAACAACAAATGGACACAAACGACGGCGAAAACCCAGGCTTGGTAAAGAGAAGCGAAAAGCACCAAAGCCAGGGTACGAGAAGCAACCATAGACAAACGCCAAGCGAAGTGAAAAAGAGAGGCAAAGCTGAAGAGTTCCAATAATTGGCTCTCTTCTCTTCCTAAGCGTAACATTCTGCCATAATTGAGTAGATTAAAGGAGAAGAAACTTAAAGACTTGATGATGTTCACTAAAATAAACCAATCCGCAAAAGATGTCCAGTCCAAATTTGATTTCTGAACCAGGATGTACATCTGTAGGGCAACCTAAAGATAAAAATGATATTTAACAACTGTCCGCCGACGTAGCTGGTGGTGGATATTTACCGAGCCGGGTGCGGCTAAGTAAATATCTACCGCTAGCCACTGACATTGAGGTAAATAATTCTCTCAGTATATATACTAAAACAATGACATCATACCGCAAAAAGAGATGATTTTAATTCATTTATCCCAGCATACCTTGCGCACGTTGCTCGGAGGTGAATAGTAAAGGATATTCGCGGTTTGAGTAGCCAATCAAAGTGCGCCCACATTTCTATCCACTAATGAAAGATGTTTTTCGTCTTTTCACGAGTATGGGACGAAGAAAAAAATTACCATCTGTCTTATTCTATCTTTATCCACTGTTTTAGTCCATACTTATTAGTTTTATTTTTTCACTTTGTTCCTCCAAAAAGTAAGCCGGTCTTTTTCATCAACCGCACATGTTATGATAGCTTTCTTTGATTAAGGGAAACACCTACTGAAACAATTTTCGATTGAATTTTGAAATAGGCCCAATGAATGATTGGTTTTGCTTTATTTCGCTTGGTTTTACTTCGCTTGGTAATTAGTTCAGAAAACTAGCAACAATCTCTGAACCAATGAGATGCGGGACTCAAAACTTGCATTACATGTTTTTCCGCCTATCAGGTTGGCTGCTTGTTTTTACTTTGGGTTCTCAGAGGCTTTCAGGAAAATTGCTTTTGGTTCCTTCGTCGTGATTACTCTCCTTTTAGTCTGGAATTTTAATTCGGTTACTATGACTATTCGTGGTGAATTTGACGCTAGTCTCGTACCCTGGCCTTTCACGGCCAAGCGGTTGTAAGGTCCCTACATTTCAGTTACAATTACATGGTAGGATCTGAGTTCGAGATTTCTTTAACGCCTGTTTCCCATTTCAAGGGAAATCTATTCAAAACTTTCGCGAGGAGTAAAACAACTGCTATTTCAAATTTAACGGATAGAAAACACTACGCAGTTCCTGACCCGGCGCCCCTTGGACGAAGAAAATAACAATTTTCCCCAGTCCCCTAACGGCTTCACCTACCTGGGGTGCTTCTTCGGTAAACGCTTCCACAACGCTCAATGTACTTGTGTCTTCTTGTTGGGATATATACAACCGATACAATTCACGATTGTCTTTATCCGGCCCAGGGATTCTTCTTATGGAACGCACAGTCTTGAATATCTGAAACAATCTTTAGGAAAAACACACTTAAATTAATTCCAAGAGCGTCCGAAAGCGAGGAAACTTCTAACAACAATCAATTTAAGAGTGTTTGTTTTGAAGTCGACAAACAGCAGTTTGAGCAACTCCTATGAGGAAAAAAATAATTTAAAGCGTGTTGGACAAAACAGCTTTAAAAAGTACCATAGCTTTGGTGTAAATTGGGTATTAGTTAACTGCACAGCTTACAAGCTTTGAGATTGTCATTCATACAACAAGCGACCAAGAAAAATAATGACAAAATCATCCACTGCTCAGCATATCATGTAGGTAACGAGTGAATGAAGCCACACCAACAACTAACTTTTGAAGAAAGGCTCATCTCTAAGAACCTCACCCTTACCGCGGGATCTTTACTGTGCTCGGAATCACCCATAGACATGTGGCTCGGAAAAATTTTAACCAAGAAATTTAAAATCTCATTTGAGTTAAACTCTTTACCTAACCTTACCGTAGAAAACGACCGCAAAAGATCAAATGGACAGCATAAAACCAAGGCTTCACTTGTAATTGGAAATGTTCCAGCCACGAACTTTTTCCTTCATTTGTTTGATCGTCACGGTAAAATATGGCTGACAAGACCTCAATAAAAACCAGCGAAAATATGACTACGGCCAGCGTATATGCCGCCCATTTGTGGTGTCCCTCTCTGTAGTGCGTTGCAGCCATTTCGCAGTCCATAACAACATCGACAAGGAACATCAAGGCTGCAAATAAAGGGGTCACCAGGCCAAATCGGCTGCACTGTCCCCTCTGTTGCCAAAATTCCGCTTCAGGATCCACCTCCGTAAAATGGGGTCGACGGTCTGCAACTCGTTTAAAAAGTTCGCAGCAACATGTTTTTGACCTGGCATCGACAGATTCAACCATTTTATTCTCTGCAGAAAAAAATACGAGTCAAGGAATACTCGAGAAGGCCCTCGGCCTCATAGACTAGGCGAGTAAAAGTAACCGATATCATGTTACCAGCACTAACAGTTTTGAAAATTGCGCTATTTTTTCTTAACGTGTGCTTTTCAAATAAGAAACACAAATCATAACCAAATTATAAATTTACTGTTAAAAAAGCATAATATTTCCGTCCTCTGTTAAAACACAACGACTAACATTTTGTTCCTTATAAAGAGAGGAATTGGGACCAACGCAGTCTCTACATCCAGTGCGCCCAGTCCTCTCAACAAGGGGCGACGCAACAATTAGCCTACGTGTAGCCGTACCCTCCCCCCCCCCCCGCCAAGGTGAAACGGAGGCTTCCGTTTCACCTTGGGGGGGGAAGGGAACGGCTACACGTAGGTTAAGCAGCAATAAACGGATCTTAGAGATCAAGCTGGTGATGACTCTTGTGATCTAGTAAAATAAAAATGCTTATGCTAGCAGTGCTACTTTTATAAAAAGTGCAAAAACTATGCTCGTTTTTTTAAATTATGTCAAAAATTATGCCAGTATAATCTATGCAAGCACAGGCGGCCGAAGTTCACGTCTCGAGAGAAAGCAAACTATTAATTCATGAAAGCGTCACGTTAATGACATGTAAATGAGTGGCAGGGTATTCTGCAACTTAGCCATTCCTGTTCTCTCGAGACGTGTGCTTTGGCCGCCTGTGATATAAAGGCCTAACTCCGTGACTGATTGCATTTGATACTGCGAAACTGTATTAATTAAAAACACCAAGCACAGACATTCACTCAACCTTGACAAGTCTTGGGAAATACATCACTGTTCAATTGCACGTGAAACTGAAACTAAGAAAGGTTCGATAATATTGTCATTCAAAAACTCACCAAAAAATTCCTATTTCAATACAGCTTTCAGACCTCGGTGAAACAAATTCCTCCTTGGATTATCTTAAGAATGATTCGAGAAGAAAGTTTAAGTACAGTTTTGGCAAATTTGATCGCTGAAATTTCGATTTCCTGAGTCAATTTGAGATAGTTCAAAGTCTACATGACGAAGTCCAAACACACCGCTCATACTACAGCGTTTAACAATAAAATTTGTTAAGCTTGTACATTCCAGTTATCCTCTGAGTAAAGCACACGATTTCATCCATTTACCAACCTTTAATGAATGGCTCTTCTTTCCACACTAGCAGCGTCAAGCTGTTCTGGCAATTACCAGACTGCTTATAGGCCACCGCACGTGAAATATGATCGCTTTGAAATAGAAAGCTCATTCCTGATGACCGGAAGTGTGGTTAAATTTAGAACTTCTGGGAATTTACCCAAAGTCAACACCCGGAAGCCTCTCCCATTCCTCTTTCGACTAAAAAGAGGAAGTCAGAGCTTAGCCAGATGGTATTCTCGGTTTCCATGAAAATAATTTAATCACAAGACTCTGGAAAGAAAATAAACACAGTTTGATTTGCATAAATTTTACTTTGCCGATAGGTGACAGTTCATCTCGTTTATTTTCGATCTCAGCCTTGAAATTTAATAAACGAAGAGATAGGAATGACGAGAAAAAGATAGCACTTTAGAATCAGCACGTTCCTTGTCACGGCTCTTTGACTCGCGACCGATCGATTTTCATTGCGTGATGTGAAAGGAACGTGACTTATGAAGTCCAACGAACCAAAGACTAATCCGTCAGTGACAGCTATTTACTTTCGAATTTAAAAAAGAAGGTAGATCAATCATACTTGGTCTTGTTCTGCGTGTGCAAACCTGCGTCCATGAGGATTTGATAGCTAAGATTTCAACCCTCGACTGACTGAGGATTTTATGAAAAACAAAAGAAGATGAAAATTGACTAAAACAAGAAGGCAATTTAGAGTTATCAACTGAGTTGATAACACTAAAGTACTTATAGTTTGTTTAGAAACTTACCCCCTTTATTAAGATAAGAAGACTTTTCACTGATGTATTTACTTCAATTTTCGAAAAGGTCCTAAAACAACCTGACAGAAAAAAATTTGTTAAAGGAGACCGGCAACATCTAGTCACCAATCTAATCTATCAGGAGTCCAAACAGGAGTAATGGGCTCCTGAATCTATTTATTTTTAAATGTGACATTGAGGCACTTTTTTGTACTGGCGAGGAGTAGAAGGGGGGTGGGGTGGGGGATGTTTGTGGACCAATACCACTAGGGTGACAAACATAAAATGACCGCCACGAAAAACGTCACAATATTTTTCCAGAGCCTTTTTAAGGTTATCAATATTGATGAAGTGACAAGCAGCTGTAACACAAACAATTTTTATTGCCAGTTTTTTGTTGGTTTTGTATTCGTAGTTCTCAGTGGGCGGTAAAAATGAGTCATTACTTAGGCTCCTGGTCTGTACCACTCCCGAAAAAAACCATATTCTGTTCCCTCACACGTCGTTGACATTACAAGTCGAAGAACTCTGATGCATGGAGCCGTTTTCAGTCACGCTCTGGATCTGCCTCGCTGATCTTTCCGTAGTCAGATAAGATGAAGGATGAAAACAGCGATAGAATAAAACTAGAGAAGCTATTCCGATTGCAAAAGTCGTCCATTCTGCAGTCAGCATTGTTATTCTGAATTTCAGGTTGTAACTGGCCACAAAGTTCCACAGAAGAACTATAGCACTGTTTTCGATAAAAGTCACTATGTAATACGGATAACCCCATTTCCGAGTGTTTTTGCCTTCCAGTGGAAAGAAGCAGAACATATGGACATACGCAATAGCACATCTGAATAATTTCTGTTTAATCGGAGCGCCCTCGAAATATTCGCAATTCTGTCTCCATAGCAGGGCGTATGATAAAATAAAGTGAATTCCAGCAACCACAAACACGAAGCGAGTGAAATGAGAAGCAAACAGAGCGAGAGCTAAGATCCTAGATGTGAGCATAAACAGACGCCACACGAAATACAAAAGCGAACTAAAACTACACCAACTCATCTGCGGACTTTCTTCATCTCCGTCCCTGAGATATCGTGCATAGATCACAAGGTGTAAGGCGAAGAGAGCAAGGGACTTTGGGATACTGAGAACAACAATCAGATCTTCAAACGATCCTAAGTCTACGCTCCCTCGTCGCAGTAAGATGTAAATTTGTAAGGCGACCTATTGGACAAAAATGGGAAGAATTCAGAGATTAGCTGTTGGATGAGGATTTTGAAGTTAAAATATCATAAAACATGTAGCACTTATCAGCTTTTATCTTACTTTGTTTTTAAGATTAGTATACGCTGGAAAAATTTTATCGGATTCGTTTTTTTGAACTTCTCAGGGAGGTGGAAGAGCGCGGACTCATCTCCTGAAGAGAGGCGAGGAAACCCGATGCACGCGCAAGGGGAAAGCCCGAAAGATGTAGAAAAGGGCGAGAGCCACTCTTTTTTCAGGCTGCAACCTAAGGCCTCCGAGAATAGTAGGAATGTCAATAAGTTTTCCCCACTTATTTGCATTGAATGATGATGATACGCAATCCTATGTCTGTCGGAGACTTTGTCAGACACATGTCAGATGATGAGTCAAGAGCTAGAAGCACCGCCTGTAGTGATTTTGGGACATTGATCGGTTTACATGATCAACGCAACCTTTAATGACCTTTTAAATCAGTACTTAGCAACAACCAATCACAATGTAGAGAATATCGTGTAAGAGAGTGATTTCTTACAAATTTTGCAGAGTAGCTTTCTACACACCCGTTGTACACAAGCGAATACGAGAGTAGAATAAAACAGTTTGATTGAGTCTAGTTCGTTAGAATTCTATCCCTAGTAAACGGGGCAAAGTTTAAGGGGCGATCATTTCCCAGAAATTAAACCTTCCCACATCGGGATGACTAAAATCATTGCCCCTTGCAATGTCACCCGCTGAATCAAACGCTACAGTCTCCGTGTCAGGACCATTTGAAAAGTATAAAGGCAGGAGCCAAGTAATGGGCTCCTGATAACGGATCGTATGGAGAATATGCATTCTAATGTTAGTGATGAAAAGGGTCGCAGAAAAATAGGAATGCTTTTTCAGTCACCTGAGGTGCTTCTTCCATAAACGCCTCTAACACACCAAGAGTACTTGCGTCTTGCAGTTGAGCAATGTACAGGCGGTAACGTTCTTTATCATCCGATGTTTGGCCTTTGATGCTTCGTATAAGACGCACGGTTTTAAATATTTGGCAGCATCTGCAAAGATAAAACAACTTTGTAATATTTATGCTTCTAAATGTTTGCAATTGAGCCGAGTGGCCCATTCAGCCGAAGTGTGTTTCATTTCCATTCCCCGATGTGATGACAATCTACCGCAAGGAAGGTCACCGTCAACCCCCCCCCCCCCCCCCGCATTTCGTCAGGCTCCCGAGACAGTGTAATAATTTATATCCCGAAGTTGAGAGAAATATTGTGTGAGTCGAGTGTCTAGTCCAAGAACACAGCACAACGAATCTGTCAGGTCTGTCATCTGCAGTAGCCGATGATAAAAATAAATGAATTTAATAATTTGTGTCTAGCGCTCTGTTAGATAGTAAAGTAACTTGCGTCCAGTTACGCAAGTCACGTCACACAAGATATGGACGAATTTATGTGTGAAAAAGCGTGAAGTTTGAGTTATGGTGTGTTTCTTTCTTTACCCTACTGGATAAATTTTTCGCTCAGGGTTAGGGTTACGGTATATGACTTTCAAAATATTCTCTAAGAACCGGCAGTTGACCTTGCAAAACCAGCTCGTGTCATATGACAATGGATCTATCTCCTGTGTAAAGTGATTATTACACAATTGTATGCGATATTACATCATTCTAAATACTATAAACTTATCCTAAGAAAAGCCTATAGACTTACAGAATGTTGCTTTAAATTTGGGGTTTGTACTAACTGCAGATCGAGTTAAACAGGTAAATATTTGCTTCTATAAAACTAAAACACAGAAGGATGGTCAAGAAACATTACGAGTTAAGGCAGCTATACTGAACTGTTCCTACCTTAAGAGAGTTCCACACAGGATAAAATGACACAAATAATGCCACTTTTTTATTTCCAATCCGTGTTTCTTAAGGATTTCCTTCTTATAACCCTTTTCATCCTCCAAATACCAGTTCGCAGACACTATTTCGATAATGACAACCGAAATTATTACAAAGGCGAGCGTGAGCGAAGCCCAGATGTCGTCACCACGGCGATAATGAGACACCGCCACTCTCACATCCATTGCCGTATCCACTAAAGCCAGAAGCAAAGTTAAAAACGGAAACAAGAGGTTAAACCGCGAGCATTTCCCACGTTCGTACCATCTCCTCGCCTCGGGATCTTTTGGGGGTATGTACGGTCGAGTGTCACTTATCCAGTTTAAAATCCGTCCACATGAACCCGAGAAACATCGACACATGCAATCATGACCTTGCGATGAACAGTCTGTTTCAACCATTTGTCTCCTGCACTGCGAGCTAAATATTAGAAGGAGAGAACGAAAATCGTGTAACTGAAAAGCGAGCGAATGTAGAAAAGAGAAGATTGCATGTTTCATCGATTAGGACTCACCGCAAGGTTGCATGCAACAACAGAGAGCGACCAATGGCCTGAATGAGCGTTTATTACAGATTAAAGCATGCACAAACTCATCGCCAGATTCCATGATCAAATGTTGATTACGTGACTAGAGATATTATTGGAAGATGTGGTCACTAGACAGTTTTTTCATATTAGGCATTGAGAACAAAATAAAAACATTGTTATGTAACTGATCTATATTTGTTACTTTTATCATCATAACATCGTGTTTTGAATCAGGTGATACTGTACTATGTTGTTATTTCATTGAAACACTTTTTAAAGTAGTTGTTGACTCGGAATTTTATCTTTTGTTATTATGCTTTACATTTATGACACAAACTTTTTCGTTATAAAGCAATCTGCTGAATGGCAGTGTTACAGTCTTTTAGCGTAACACCGCACAAAACAATTAAGAAAGCTTAATTAAATAATGAAAGGTGTGAATACGAAATACTACTTTAGTGACGCCATCTGTTACACAAAAGGAAATGAACGCCCTGATCACAAACACTTCCTGTTTTTACCGGAAACCAGTCACACCAAACAAAAGCGACTCGCGCATTAATTATGTCCTACAAAACATACATTTCACTCGCAGAACCAAGTGAGACACAAAGCAAGAACGTTAAAAAGGGCCAAGAGACGCAAAGAAAGCAACGATGGTGGAAAAAAGTATCACATCAGAGAGAACCTATCCTCGATCAGATGGTGCGTATTAAAATTAACATTTGCTATCTAATCCAACAAATATTTCGTTATCGTGCCGCTCCAGCGGAAGAAAGGACACATCATGCTTTCGGATGTGCCGTTTATTCATTTATACGGAACTTAATCGTCAAGTTGTTTTCTTGTTTTATTTTAATGCATTGTGTCAGATTTTGGATAAAGCGAACTGATTTGTGTTGATCAGCCTCTAAATATTTCAATATGGTAACATTCAGTTGCATTGGCAATACGAGAGCAATGCATGACTTTCCTCGCTTTTTAAGAGATGAATTTATTACTTTATGCTTCTTAAACGGAAGTTGGTTGCCAGCTTGACTCTATTTATCGAGCCGCAATAGCCTCTGAGAATTGCTGAGAGCAATCGAATAAGCTTAATTGTTTTCGTTTCAAATATTTAGTAGCGATCAGCGATGAGTGCTGTTTCGCAATATAATTACATTTTCCCTATGTTTCTGTTTTTTGGAAAATCGATACGGAATGAATTGCATCAATCTAACGACTTCTTCAGCGTATAAATTATATTCTATATTTTTGAAAATTGTGGAAACTAGCTAGTGCTCACAATGAATTACTATATTTCTCTCCGCCATATTGAATAATGCTTGGTAACCTGGCTGTTTACTACAGCGTTTAGAAGAATTTAATTTGCCAATTTTTAATTTTAATTTGTTTTGTTTGTTTGTTTTTTGTTTTGGAAGATTCACTAATCTGTGGAGTAAGCAAAATATAAACCATAGCTAAGCCACTCGAAAGTAAACGAAAACTACAAAGAACGAATGTTTAATGACTCGAAACAAAACCGAACAAACGAAAGGGGAATGAAATGGCGAATGGTCAATTGTGTTACGCAAAATGTTCTTTCATTTCGCAGCCTTCGTTTTTTTAGCTTTGTTCGTTTGTTTGTTTGTTTTTTTCGTATGATTTTTTGTCTTTTGCAAAATTATCTTAATTTCTCAACGAAGAAATAAAATCAAAGACATAAATAATCAAAGAGAGCTGCTCGATTGCTGCTCAGAGAGTCATGCCGGTAGAATATTCAAGAACTGTTAAAGCAAGACACGTGCATGGACGCGAGAAACCGTAAATTAAAAGTGACAAAATTTACGAGCCTTCTCTGTTTTCGTTTAAAAAAAAATATAGCAACTGTCATCCAACCCAACACCAAATTTAGTTTTATAACATCATTTCGTGAAATTGTGAGAAAAGAACTTTTCGTCTTGCTCTCAAAATTGCCATTGAAACTCGAGGAACGAACGGCGTCTAAATGCAAAAAGATTTTCCTTAACTAAATCTGGCTGCAAAGCAGATAAGTATGAGCACCAAAGTTTGATTACAGGATTTTGTGGAAATAACCGCAAGCGTAACCGTTCTCTAACATGGATGTATGTCTCTGATTTTACTCCATCGATTTAAACTTACCTTTTCGTTCGCGCTTCGTGATCAAGTGGCCGTTTTAGTCGTGTGCTTCTACAAGAGTCCGGCCAGCATTTGATGAGAGTCATGTTACTGCTGCTGCCTGTAACAACACGACGACTGAAGACAAACTTTGACTCCAGGACGGCCTAAAAAACGGAGTTGAATTGGAAAAAAAAACATTGGAATGGCAAATCCTCATGAAAGAATTCCTTTCAAATTAATGCAGGGTTTATTTCAAAGTATAAGTTGACCACGTGACGAGTATTTTGACGTACCACATGACTAGAGTGTGACGGATCGCATAGACAAAGCTAGTCACGTATTTTCACGTCACTTTAGGCCCCATCGTGAACACAAAAACTCTCCTCGCTTATCACCTAAACTACGAGCAAAAAAAAATCAACGATAGCGCACCACACGGAACTCAGGGAGTTAAACGGACGAAAAGTACTCCCACAGTTCCGCGCGGTGCGCCAACATCTTCTTTTCTTTCACTTATTTTTTCTACTCGCACGACGGACTTCGAGAGGGTTCGAGTTACCGAGGAGTAAATGTTTGACGGAAATCTGGGGTGTCGGTGGCTAGCGGTAGATGTTTACCTCTCCGCCTCGCGGTTTGGTAAATATCCATCACTAGCCACTTCCACTTCGGTAAGTAGTAGTTAATTCGAATTTAACTAAAAATGAATTTGCACGTAAAATTTCACATATCTTATCTGTTACTTTTTCCAGACTCGGACGATTCAGATGATGAGATTATCGAGAAGACGCGAGAGCAGATCCACTCCACAACACAAGGAGAACAAGAAAAAGTAATTAATTTGGACCCCAAAAATTACATGAGTGATTTTCAGAGTTGTTCGGAAAACTCAAGTGTTTCAAATGGCACCACAGCTTTTGGGGGCTTCACGCATCTTCAAGATGAAAGCGATGTCAGAAAAAATGAAAATTTCTTAGTTAACGGTGACTGTGGCGGTGAACGTGACACTGGCGAAGAAGAAGTGTTCGAAAAAGTACGAAGGGGTCGCTTGGATTTTCCAGTCAGGTCAGAAATAGACTCGGCACCGATAGAGCGTGAAAATTGTGACCTCCGCACCTCTGATAAGAATCCTCCACAACATGTAGGCAAGGAAAGCACAGCAAGTAATCAAGGTAAGTTGACTCTTGTTATATTACATTGTCTCTATGAGGTAGAGCTGAGGAATGTTTAACATACCAGATTACTAGGCTCATTGATCTATTCAGCGACTGTTTATCTGACTGACGAACTGATTGATTTACTTCTGAATGACTGGCTGACTGACCAAGCGACCGAGTGGCGGACTGACTGCTTGACTGACCAACCTACTGCTTGATTGATTGACTAACTGACTGACTGACTGAATGACTTAATGACTTAATAACTAAATGACTGAATCAGTGAATGACTGGCTGACTGGCCGACTGGCTAACTGACGGACTGAATGACTGGCTGACTGGCTGACAGGATGGCTGACTGACTAGCTGACTGACTGACCGACTGACTGGCTGGCTGGCTGACCGACTGAATGACTGACAGGATGGCTGACTGGACTAGCTGACTGACTGACCGACTGACTGGCTGGCTGGCTGACAGGATGGCTGACTGACTAGCTGACTGACTGACAGACTGACTGGCTGGCTGGCTGACAGGATGGCTGACTGACTAGCTGACTGACTGACCGACTGACTGGCTGGCTGGCTGACAGGATGGCTGACTGACTAGCTGACTGACTGACCGACTGACTGGCTGGCTGGCTAACTGACAGACTGACTGGCTGGCTGGCTGACAGGATGGCTGACTGACTAGCTGACTGACTGACCGACTGACTGGCCGACTGGCTAACTGACAGACTGACTGGCTGGCTGGCTGACAGGATGGCTGACTGACCGACTGAATGACTGAATGACTGGCTGACTGGCCGACTGGCTAACTGACGGACTGACTGGCTGGCTGGCTGACAGGATGGCTGACTGACTAGCTGACTGACTGACCGACTGACTGGCTGGCTGGCTGACCGACTGAATGACTGAATGACTGGCTGACTGACTAACTGGCTGACTAGATGACTGACTGACTGACTAACTGGCTGGTTGGCTGACTGACCGACTGGCTGACCGACTTGATAGCTGGCTGTCTTTCTGAAACCACCGCCTCAGACCTAAATTACAGTTATAAGTTAAGCTTCGTAAGGTTGTTCTGTCTTTTAATCTTTCATCCCAAGTTTTCAAGCTAATTCTTTATTTAAATTGTCGTTTTGAGTTGGCCTGTTCTCAATCGCCTTGTGCACTTTTTATGTTTTCAGGTCGAATCCTCGCTGAAGACAGAAAGGATAAGATGAATCAGAATCCCTCAAAGGAAAGTAAAAGGAATAAATCATCGTGTAGTCTCAACTGAGTAACTAAACCTGACCAGGTCAACCCGTTAATGTGAGCAACGTGAACGAACCGGACAACATTGAAGGCGTGATGTGATAAACGCGAAGAATAAGCGCGACAAGCGTTTAACTGATGAAGAGCGATTTATCAGGGTGTTAGGGGTACAGTAATAAAACATTGAATTCTTAAAGACAGAAGTACAGCTGGAAGATCACGTATATTCTCTAGAATCCAAATGGCGATGTCAATAAATCGAAATAAGCTACATTTATAAAACGCGAAATCAAATTTAAATTGATGTTAAGGTGAATTGATATTCAAATTTCACGAAATGTCTGGAACGGGGAAATATGAAATCAATTAAAAAGAACATTAAAATATGACCCAACCTTTACATTTTTGATGCTAATCTTGCCTCAAGGATGTCAACTATTTTAGACACTACTGATCTAAAAGACCTGCGGAGAAAACAGTTTTCTGACATATGTTTGTCTGGGAGAATGAGCGACCAGTTTTGGCGCAAACTCAGAAACACCGTACTCTTGGTGCTGACCAAAACGATCGCATTCCCTAAAGCCATGCATTAGACACTGTTTGTTCCTAATGGTAGCCACAGGCCTGTCACGACTAACAGGCGCCAATCTGAGAAACAGGACAAACACGCAGATTGATGGCTGAATAATCCATTGAATAAAAGGATATACCTCAAGTAGTCACAAAAATAACCAAAAGTAAAAACTCAGGGTAGTCCTGTCAGAAGCCTAAGAGTAGACTTCCCTGCTATCAATAGGAGCCCTTATTTTAAATGTATTCTGATCACAAATGCATTAAAAGTATCTATAAAAATATTTACAACATAAAAAAAAATTAATGGGAAAAAGAAAATTAACATGAACAGAAATTATTCTAAACAGTACAGCAACTTCCAGTCACGGTCAAGTCCTATTATTTTCTCACGTCAAGAACTCGATCGGGTTCGGGTTTTCCCGAATTCAGACCGAGCTGCATTTAGCCCGGGAAATATGAGATATGAATTTCAATTTCTATAAACAGACTTGAAGACTATTTATAAACATACGAAAAAGGCGTTTGGTGTACCATGAATAACGTGTCCGACAGAATTAAAGAATGACAGCTCAGTCATTTTTATTTCAGTTTCTGCTGCTCTCAGCGCTAGAACACACTTGTAACGCTTCCGTATCGGCTTTCGGAGACTAATTTTAACCTTCCGTGAATGTATCAGTGCTGAATGGGAAACTTTAAGATAATTAAAGTTTTGCGCTGTCTCGGAACGAGATCTATGAAAGACTGCCACAACTACGAAACGCGTCATTAGTTTTCCTCGGCTGAGAAACAACAATCTTAGGTGCTAACGACGATTTGGTTATCATGGAAGAGATGTTGGATTTTGAACAGAATACCACTTACTCGAACATTCAAAGGAATACCACTTATTTATCAGGTGTAGGTCCTGTTGCACTCAGTTGTAACGACAATAACCCTGGTATGTATGATAATGACTCGTTCTACTCCTTTGAGGGCCACAAGTTTATTAGCCTTTGGTTATTAAGTGCTACCCTCTTTAAATAAAGAGTTTACTTACTTACTTACTTGCTTACTTACATACCTATACTTACTTACTCCAATTACACTTAGTTTAGTCAGGGAGAACCATCAGATTTTTTTTCTTACTTTTGAAAAACGTCGGCTCACCAGCCTTAGCTGCTAACAACAACTTGATCTGAAAACCAAAACAAAAAAAAGATTTATTTATTCTTTGTTGAGCAGTCTGCTTCAAATTAACTCAAAACTGGCCTCATTCGAATGCCTGGAATCTCTGACTACCTCCTTCATCACTTTAATTATCTACATGTTTATCTATTTGTTCCCGAAAAATAATGCATTCTGTGCACTAGCTTGACATGTTAGAAGGACTTTTGAAAGGCAAGTTAATTAGAAACTGAAATTTTCACCCTTTTAAGGCCATCTTCTTTCTCCGTATTCAATATAAATTTACCGCTGTAAGCTGCTACCTTACAGACTTGTTGGCTCTTAATTAATCTGTGGCATCTTTTTCCTTATCGCAGGATTCTTCATGGGTCGGAATGCTTTGATAAATGAAACAACTGGTGATAAAATAATTCCATTTCCAATTATAAAACCACCTGTTTGGGATGGGAACCTCCATGTAAACACCTCACAAGCTCCTGACACAGGTGAATGTTTCATTTTAATCTAAGGCCGGTCGGGCCGTTTATATCCGATACGAAGACGAAGAGATTGATCGAACTGTTAATGTCGCCAACCACGATTACATCTTTCGATGTTTTAAGTTGCATATGATGCGGTGATCAATCGAGCTCTTAATTCTTTAACTCCCAAGATCTGATTGTTGATTCTCCAAACTAGCTGCTACACATTTCCTCATAAATTAATTATAAGAATTTGGTGTTAGATCAAGATAAAAACTTCTACCTGACGAGTTTGGGAATTTTTGTCACCCGTTTGTTGGATTATGTATGGATATTATAGGGAGAAGTTACATGTTAATCATTCTGGGAGTTAAAGGTTAATTATGACCTGAGGTTGAAGGACACCGGTAAACGAAGAGAAAGCGTGTCGCATATCTATTCATTGTTATCGAATGGCTGATTCAACCGTCAACCTGTGAATGTATCTGGTGCCCAGGTGTCCTAGATTCTGTTTGGAAGGTGCCCTAGATTCTGTCTCCCACTTGGCCGTGGGAGAGTCAGGTTCCATCAGATGCGAAACCCGCGTTTTGGACCCGCAATCCTTTTGGTCAGCAACACGTTTGGTGGCAATCCTAAGTAGGTCATGTATGGGGAATTAATACTGTATGTATGTAAAGTATAGGACATAATATGTATTGAGAACATAATAATTCCCCATACATGACATACCGACCGTGGCAATGTAATTGAGCAGGAGTGCGTCTTCGTACTCGTTCTTCGACCACCAATTCCCGACTCACTTGAAATATGGAGTTACTTTTTTGTGAAAGGGGGAAAACCGGAGTGCATATACCTGAAGAAAAACCCGCTGAGTAAAGACCAAAATGAACTCCACATTGGATCCATATTTAATCCCGAATCACAATTTTAAGAACAGTTAAATGATCTAAGCCATTATTTAATTCAATATTTACAGCAAAATTTTAATACCTAAGGGTAGAATTGTTCCGTTTTAGAGCTGGCGGGATCTGAGCTGTGATTAATATGACAAAAACTCTTCTCAGGTGAGAATCTTTTCACATATCATGCTACTGTTGATGACACTGAGTCATTTTCAGCCTCAAAACCACCCGCTTGGACCACAAGTCATGAAGAAAAAATTTCCCGAGATGCATTTGGAGGTGAGGAGTGAATTTCTATGGATAATTTGTCATCTTACTGTTTACGAGGTCCGCATTTGACAGTACTCGTATAATGTTTACAAAATTAGCTTGGTTACAAAAATCTCCTTTTTTTCAATTTGCGTTTTAAGAATTGGACAAATCACTAATATATTTTTTTCTACCTGCTGCGAGGCAAGAGAATGAACAGGGACAATTTTTATCGCCTTCCATAATGAAGAGATCGATTGAAATTCTGCTTGAGTACAATAAATTAATTTATATATAATCAGGTATAAGGGGCGCCATTAATATAATTATAAATATTGATAGACGATGAGAAATCACAGCGGCCGTATTGGTTACCAAAACAATAGCATGGCGGCCATTTTGCTGTGCAGGTCAGTCTGGTGGGATTTGAACTGTTTTCTGAAATGAACAATATCTTTTGCTCAGCACGTGACAGAAAACGTCTCATAGCAGAATTTAACGGTGGCTCATGTTCAGAGTTGCTCTATGTTTCAGGCCTTCAGTGTCTTCAATGTCGACTTTCTTATATTTTGGCACCTTGACACAATGTTTTTGAAATACACTTTGTGAATCACTCTTGGTATTTTTTTGTTATTTTTTTTTATCTAGATTCCAATGAAGGTATTGCTACTTTATTGCATTGTGTTTCACGGGAAAGAATGAAATTTCCAACAAAACCTCCAAAATCACCTGAGAAGGACGCATATCCCCTTGAAAACATCTCATCAACTCAAACTAAAAGTAAGTGGTATTTTATTCACATTTTTCTTTCAATATTTGCAACTTTCCTTATCATTGTTGCTTTCGTATTTTGTTTCGTCTTCTGTGGATCTCTTGGATTACATCAATGTTTTAAAACTGATAAGATCTGAGGATTAGATTTAAATACACGCCCATGACTGATACTTTTCCTTTCTTTCATTTTTCTTTTCTTTACTCACATGAACATTTCCCAATAAGATGTACAATATAAAATATCTTGCATAAAATCGATATGACATTTCTATTTTAAAACCTATATATTTAATTTATTGATGAATCATTGTTTCATTTTATTCCACGGCACACTAGGCTTCAAACCAGAGAGCTCCGAGGGACAATGTAATTCAGATGATCAAGCTACTTCACTGACTCAAGAGATGAAACGTAACTGGCTTTTCTTCTAATCATGACTCAATTAATGATGAGAGAGTCTATGAGTAAAAACTAATCAGTATGAATTACAGCAAGGTTTCTTATTTTAAAAGCCAAATTATACTCGCCTGCGGACGCTATAAAAAGGTAGCAGCAGCCGATTCATACAGAGAGGCCATACTCCTTGTTGCTTCTTGCTTGTTACCTTGCTTAGCTTCAGAAAACCGGGGTGATCTCTAGCTGAAGTGTGATACAAGGCTTGTAGACGTTGTAGGTGGAGTCTGGGCCAGAAGTGAAGGACTTTCAACTTCTCAGTTGAAAAATAAAAATGGCTGGAGATCTCTGGAAAAATAAACAATCAGAAAATCTATCCGTCATACTCTCCAAACATTTTGAGAAATGTGAGACAAACCCCAATCGCATTGATTAAACAAATGAATAAACTAGTTATAGTTCTCACTAGAGCTGCCCCCGCCCTACAGTACCATCATCAATCAAATCAAAAATCGAAATCGAGATTTTTTTTGGTTACAGAAAACACACATTCTCTCTTCTCCATGTGTCAAAGACGCCGATCCTAAAATTCCTCGCGCGCGTGTCTTTTTACTGGCAGCCCATGACCATTTGCGGGAAAAACGTTGATACTGATATTTTTTTCTTTCTACCGAAGAAACACAGGAATCTGTTATCCGAGGTGATAAAATTTTAATCCCGACGTCGGTTTTTCGTGTAATTTATCCGACATAACCGCAAATTCTATCCAGTTTGACTGGATTTTCATCTTCGAGGAAACATTCCTATAGATCTCTTCCAATACTCAGCTGACAAGTTCGAAAGTATATCTATGCCTGAAATGTGTCCCCATGGCATTTGTTTTAACACACGGCGAATTCTCGAGACAGCAGTAATATGACCCACATTTCTAAGAAAAGACAACCCTAAAAACGCTTAAAAACATAACACCAATGATTATTGTTACAGAAAAACGAATTAAGCGGGACATAAAGTTCATTTTAAAAGACTCAAGCGAAGAATTATGTAAAAAAAGCTGTGCATGTATTGACTTGCCGACATGTGACCGACACGTGCTATGTTGTTTACATTAAAAGCTGTATTACGACTTGTAACGACAATCATTCCCTGAAATAGTACTGCAGGAAAAGGAAAAAGAAAGATAGAAAGACATTCACTAGTGTTGTTTTGACATAGGCTGATGAGCAACTCTGCAAGCTTTGCATGACTTGTGGTATTTGGAAGAAATAAAGGAGGTTTCATGATACACATGCTTCCTTTTAAGGTGTTATCGATCAATCACAAAGGAGAATGACTTTTCTGAGAAAGAAGTATATCCCAACAGCTTATTACCATAAAGAGCTGCTGGGGCAACTGAGGTCACACGTCGACTCGCTCAAATCGTGCAGACGGACCCGTAGCTCGCTGAAAATCAGAAAGTTTCTCGCAGAAAAACAATGGAAAATGGCGGAAGTGAGAAGGAAACAAACGAACCACTGAACACTGGCAAAGAAGAGGAGGAAGAAAGTAAGAAAGAATTCGAATCTCATCCAAGGTCGATGAAATTTGGTAAGTTTCACTTGAACCAAATCTCGTTGTCCCCTCTGTTACCGTATAATCTAACCGTCAGAAAAACACTGCAATCCTACAAATTCAACCACTTTATTAAACAACTCGTGATATTCTTAAGAGAGGATGTCAGCATCCATCGAACAAATTTGTAATATTGTGGCAAGTCGCCCAAAATTCGTTTTCACCCCTACTTTCATACTTTGTAGCCCAATATGTTCTAATAATTGTGGTGTAGTTTTTTTTGTGAAAATATATTTCAGTTTTCGAGAAATGATTTTTTTCCTTCGACCGCTCAAATATGCAAATTTTCACCGTAAATATTACCCGAGTTGTGTGATCTCATGTAACGATTCCACTCGACCTCCGGTATTTTTGTCAACATAATCCTTTGTTTTATCGTCTAAACTTAAGGAAATTTTTACAGTAACTTTATAACCATCCTTTTGTCTTTTAAAAGCTTGAAGCTCAGTAAATTCTGTCATATCGGTCATTGTTAAAGCTGTCTTTGTTTTGATGCTACTTTTCGACATTGGCAAAGTATGTCGGACAAAAATATTCACCAAAAATAAATATTTCTTTGTCAGCTTCAACAATGACAGGGGATTAAGTTTAGATGATAAAACAAAGGATTATGTTGACAGAAATACCGTAGGTCTTGTATATTCGTTACCTGAGGTCACACAACTCGGGTAATATTCACGGTGAAAATTTGCATATTTGAGCGGTCGAACGAAAAAATTATTTCTCAAAAACTGAAATATATTTTCACAAAAAAAACTAAACCACAGTTATTATAACATATTGGGCTACAAAATATGAAAGTAGGAGTGAAAGCAAATTTTGGGTGACTTGCCGCTGCTTGTCTGATGCATGCTGACATTAATATTATTATATCTTCCTTACTGCCTACTACAGTCTCTCACTCACAGTTTTCTCCATCGTTTCTTGAAATTAGCAATCTTCCACTGTAGCTCTCTCTCACGGTATAGCTTTCTAAACAGTCGGTTGCTCCCGACAACAAAAACAACAACCCCTACTACATAACTGAGTCCTTGTATACATTCACAAAGTGTTCTGGAACATTCCAGAAGCTTACAAAAGCACAAGCTTTTAATCATATTTTTAATCAGGCTTTTATTAATTATGAAGGCGTCACGCGTTGTCTGACTCGGTGTTAAGTTACAAGAGGAATCGTTGAGAACACGTTATAAGGAATGGTATGGGGAACGAGATATGGATACAAAATGCAGACTAGGTACAAAATGTAGAATTTCTACCTAAAAATTTCATACTTTTGCGCTTAAGATCGGCCAAAACAAAAACAAAATTTATAACATAAAATTATAAGGAAACCGTTGCATAGACTAGAATTACACTTAAAAAGATAACTAAAAGAACGTAGCCCTTGAAGTTTGTTACATAACAACAGAATAAACAGAGAAATTGAGGGAGGAAGGGTGTACCTAAGGTAATGTCACCAAAAGAACTACTTGTCGTCCGTATGAAAAGTCAACTGATCATAAATTCAGTGCGGAAGATGAAAAGTACAAGTTGGTTACACCTTAATCGCCTCACAGAAAGAGGTGTTGAACGCGCTGAATTAAAAATTAAGAATTACTTTCTTGATCGAGAGTTTGACATGAAATTGATCTAAAAACGAATCTGAAAGGAATGAAAAGTGTAAGAAGTAGGAATTTCCAGGAATTCCTGTACGAGATTAACCTTTTCCAGATCAAATTACTCCCATATTCATCAAGCAGATTATCTTCATTGAAATATATCTTAACGCAAGATAATTGAAATACCTCACGCCAAGTTTTAATCACCTTAACACTGAACATCCGCTTTCATGTCAAACTCGCGATAGGGTAATATGCCATAATATTGACGGTTTAACACAAACTTTTGTGAGTTAAATGGACTATCTTCTCTCAGAAAGAAAAGATAACAACTACTCTACTTACAAAGTAAGAACTGCTTACAATATTTTTTAACTGCATGACTTCTGCTTATATGTTATTTCCATTCATATTCCCAACACCAAGGTAATGAATCGCCTATAATGCTCCCAGATAAGATATGTTTTCATTTTATCGTTTGACATTTCTCTTGCTCCTAATTTGATATAAATGTATATAAACACCTAATTGCAATAACGTCATAGAAACAAGCAAAAACAATAAGACTTAAAAAGCCAAAGAGGAATTTTTTAGCATCGCGAAAACTACCCGCTAGCTATACCCGGTAGCCGAACAATTTCCACACACAGTTATTTTCACTGAAAATGTTTTTCAAACCTCTTGACAGTGTCAGAGGTTTGTTAGAAATTACAAGCATTTCCAAACATAAAAAAAAGCATATGCAAAAATAAAAAAAATTAAATAGAAATTTATATCCTAATGTCGTATGCTTATGCTATGGTCTGATTAATTTGAATTCGACTTTGTACTTTTTCTCTCAACTTTTTTTAAAGCGCCGAGAGGAAGGATGCTATTTAAAGAGAGGACGGGGCAGGGCAACAGCAAGAATAGTAAGTGTAGTATCAATTGATGCTATCATTGAACGAAAGTTCTTTGTGTAAAGCATTGAACAAGAGCTCTTCGTCAGTGTAAAGCAAACATCTTTGCTTCACACTGTCTTCTACAACTCTTCTACACTACAACTTTCCCTATCATTGATGTTTTCGTATTTTGCTTCGTCTTCTGTGGATCTCCTGGACTGCATCAACGCTTTAAAACTGATAAGATCTGTGGATCAGATTTAAATAAGCTTAAATACACGCCCATGACTAATTCTTTGCTCGTCGTTTCATTTTTCCATTTTTCCTTTCATTCATTTTTCTTTTCTTTAGGCACACCAACATTTCCTAATAAGATGTACCAAAAAAAAATCTGAATAAAATTGATATGATATTTCTATTTTAAAACCTAGATACTTTATTTTATGATAATTGTAATGAGCTCCTGTTCTTGAATAATTTGTAGAGTTACATTTGAGAGACGCATTTTTTCGTGACAGCAGAATTTAACGGTTGCTCATGTTCAGAGTTGCTCTCTGTTTCAGGCCCTTCAGTGTCGACTTTCTTACATTTTGGCACTTTGCCACAATGTTATGAACAACACTTTGGGAATCACTCCTAGTATTCTTTCTTTTCATATCTAGATTCCAATGAAGGTATTGCTTCCATTTCTCCAAAAGCTGTACGGGGAAGAATGGAATTTCCAACACCACCTCCAAAATCACCTGAGAGGGACGCTAATCCCCTTGAAAAAACCGCATCGACTCAAACTAATAGTAAGTGGTGTTTTCTTCACATTTTCTTTCATTATTTGTAACTCTCCCAATTATTGATGTTTTCGTATTTTCTTTCGTCTTCTGTGGATCTCCTAGGTTACATCAATGCTTTAAAACTGATTAGATCTGAGCATCAGATTTAAACCACGCCCATAACTAATTCTTTGCTCGTCGTTTCATTTTTCCATTTTTCCTTTCATTCATTTTTCTTTTGTTTAATCACAACAACATTTCCCAATAAGATGTACCAAAAAATAAAATCTGCATAAAATTGATATGATATTCTATTTTAAAACCTGGATACTTCATTTATTGATAAAATCTTTGTTCTATTTTATTCCACGGCACACTAAGCTTCAAACCAAAAAGCTCCGAAGGAGCAGTAGCGAGTGTCGAGAGGAAGGATGGAATTTAAAAAGAGGACTGGGCAGGGCAGTAGAACGAATAACAAGTGAAGTATCAGTTGATGCCATGATTGAACGAGAGCTCTTTGCGTAAAGCAATGATGTTATCTAAGTCTTATCAATAGGAAAACGATAGTTTTATCTCTTGAATAATTTGTAGAGTTACATTTGGGAGACGCATTAAAGAAGTGGGTACAACATCAAAATTAACCGCGATTGTGGTCTACGTTCTTTGATTGGTCAACTCGCCTTCTCTCCCAACCAATGGGATAAAAATCTCAGAACCAACCGTGGCTTGGTTACTTGCGTTTTCCCGCGCTTCAGGCCGGCTCCATGCATGTATTTGCTTTGAGTCTCATAGGCACGTTTTGAAATTTCCTTCTTTCTGACCGTTCCTTATTATTACAGTACTTTGGTTTACGAAACTTATGCACTCGAAAGTGAGAGGTCCGTATTGGTTATGTGAAGCCCGTCAACAACATTCCGTTGTGGAGGAAAATTTTCCGGCCTACTGAATTTCTCTTAAAAGTCTGGACTCCTTGTCAGGTATTTGCAAATTTCGTCGTGACAAGTTTTCTCCTTGACATATGTCCATGATAAAAAAAAAATGGCATGGCAATTCTCAGTGAAAGCTTACCATAAAAAAAAGTCATGACGGTTGTCATTGAACGAGGCTGCACTATTTATTAGTAACAAATGGCTCACAAAAACGAGTTTCCTCACAAATAGCGTTTAATAAGGCACATAAATAATTGGAACGTTATATCTACGATAAATAAAGCTTATAAATATTCATTAGAATTACAAGTACACATGTTAGAAAAATAAATCGGTTGCGGAGCGTAAAAAGCAAATCTCAATGAGTGAAAAAACCAGGCACTGTATGTCTTATGCAATTAAACCCAATAGTTTTTAAGTTTATTTTTCCGTCCTGGTTTATCTTACAGCAGTTTTAATTTTTCTTTAAAAATACGAAATGTCGAATATTGTCTTGCTACGATACATTGTATGCCGGGAGGTGGATTGTCTAAAACACTCTATTCACCCTTTCACACTTAAGATCTAAGAGCTAACTCTCCCAACTAATTATGATACATTTTTGGAAGAGAAATTAAGAGAATTTTGCGCGAAATCAAACATCCCAATGTCATAAACGTTTTAATTTCTATCTTCTTTCCTGCCTAATTTTGTACTGAAATTGTAACGATAACTTACAAACTTATTACCGCTGGGAAAATGGGAAGTTTCCAGACATTTATCTAATTTTTACAAACAGAAGAAAAGTGTTTCTACTCTTCGTTTTGGAAAATCAACTAACGATCGTTTCACGTTAAGCAACTGAGAATAATCTTGACAGGATTTCACTAACAAAAAAAGAATAACATTTTTTCGATCTCCTTGGTTCTAAAAAAATAAATTGAAAAAATAGATTTGAGAAAATAAGCCAATATATGATAAAAGGATCTAAAGATACGAAAGAATAGAAATATATTACTAGATTGAACGCTTCGGAAAATTACTATTTTTACAAAAGATTGGTTTGGAATTAAATTTGTCTGGTACAAATGGTCGCCCCTCATATGTACCCTCTACTCATCTACGATATGTAAACTATGCTATAAAAGGTAGTTAGAAACTTTCGAGTATGACAATGGTACAGTTCCTATTTTACACCATGCTTTTAATCTATTTTTTGGAAATTTTTCCCCGCATGAGCCCGAGGAAAAAAATGTTATCTGAAAGATTTGTATATACAGCCAAGACTCAGATTGAAATCGTCGCAAATGTGTACCTAAAAAACGCCGAGTATGATCTCATCTCACTTTTGTATACGCGCCTTGTCTTTTTTTTAAGTTTTTTTTTTATTTTATAAGGAGTAGAAAGTTTCAAAGGTTCTACGACAACTGAAGATGTGTGTAAAATTTTAGTACACCGTACCTAATAAAATCTATTTTTCTATCACTGTAGTAAAGTCTTTTAAACTTTCTTTAATTTCTGTGAGCTTTCGGGCTTTTTTATATCATTTCTGTAAGAAAAACTATATGCCTGACACATCATAACCTACATAAGCGTCTGAGAAATGACAAAATTTTTTTTTTCTGATGTATATCAGAGGGCAGGAATTTCAATCCATGAATCTGATCGGCTAATCGCGCACTCGTAACCGGTCCAGCTTTTTACGGAATTTTTCACGCCATTCCCGACAAAGTGGTAAAAACAAACCAGCAAAAAAATTAAATAGATTATTTAGTGGTCTAAATTGATCTGCATGGAAAAAAAACGGTGCCCTTGGGTCTTGAGTATGGCATTCGGCCGCGGGCCGCACTCAAGACCATCGAGTACAGTTTTTCACCCAAATATATACATTTCCATTGTTTTAGTATTTTACAAATCCATTAAGTTGACAAGATCCTTTCCTAAACTGCACGTCATCTAATGCTATATCTCCCGTGTAGCCTCGACCTCGTGTACCTTCAAACATGATCTGCAATACAAGCAATTCAACATATGGAATCACGGTATATTATTGACTAAGTGAAGGGGCCGCACAGAAACATGGCCTCGAACCCAAACCCCTAGATACGGAGTTTAGCGCGCTACTCGCGCCTTAACCCTTTACGCCCTAACATCAGTATGCATATTCTCCACACTGTTCTTTATACATTTCCTAAGGCGCTGACAAGGAAAATTTGTTTGCCAATCAAAAGGTTCCTTCTCATGACCTTAACGTGTGATTTAAGAGTGATATTGTAGGGGGAAATTACATGCTAGTCACTCTTAGGATTTAAAAGATTAAAATATATTGAAGCTGGCTCAGCGGCGGACATTTCCGTTCTTAAATTCATTCACTGCCATATCAGAAACGAAACTTCGATTGCTTACATCATGATGAATAATGTCGCTTTATAGCTTTATAGGAGACGAAACATTAATCTTCTGTTAAATCTTCTCTTACCCTAAAATGCGAGTCAGATTTCAGTGAAGAGAACCCTTGTTTCCACCGCTTTCCCTGTTCCCCTGATTGGGACCACAGTTTCGTTTTGGTTCCCAACTCAGTGTTTATCAGGTAAACGCTAAGATGGCCCACAGTCCGACCATTCATACTGTACCACCAGCTTATGCACCAGTCCTCCGAGGGATTGAGCGAGTGGCTCATTAGCTGAGACTTGAAACCAAACCGCGCGGGATAAGAAGATTCTAGGTAGAGGTAATAGCCTACGGGGAAACAAATTAAAAATACCAAGAGTTAATGTGCTGTGACAATCGCAAGTTTAAAAACTCCATTTCGTATTTAAAAACTCCATTTCCCGATAAAATAACGGGAAGCCTTGCACAGAGAGCACAGGCAGTCCAAGTCCAAACTTACCATTGCCTGTGCCATGATCTCCTCCTGGTCCTGTGTTCCTACTCGGGGTAGGACCTTTGTGACGATACCACTTAAAAGATGGTGACGTACTCCAGACGTTTGTCCAATTACAATAGTCTTTATCGAAATCACAAGCGTTTGAATCTGCAAAAGAAGGAATTGTGTTAACATGGATATTGTCCATTTAACGAGCATGATTCAAAGAGAGAAATAATTAAAACAATTTTTAAAACGAAAATTTTCAAATAGACTAAGCTTACAATGAGCACTGAATAGGAACACATAGCTAACAATATATAACCCGGAGTCTTGTCTCCAGGCGAGGCCTCGTTTTGGGGAAAAATAATTCCACTCGTGAGGTATTCCCACACGAAATACAACTAATTCCTATAGATCCGTACACGTTGGGTAAAAAATTCACATAAATGTCATCCATGGCATTTTTTCTAGTTTTGTTTTTCGTACCCGTATGTTTTGAAGAAATTAAAAAAGACTGCGTGACCTAGTCCTTCAAAGGCACAACCCTAACCGTTTTTTTACATCTCACAAAATAAAGCTTATTAATTTTCACGTTCTTTGTTTGCGACCTGTTTAAATCGTTTTCATCATTTAGCCATCCCTGTTCCATACAATCTAATATTTTCTTGCCTTTTTCATGTTGCATCTAAATTGGAACTACGCAAAAAATCTGCTCAAGGGTGTAGATCTAAAGGACATAGACAAAAACCTAGCAGAACTTGACTTACTGTCAGGACACGCCTTCATGTTGCACGTGCGCATTTGTGTGTTTGCTCCCACGCACGTTTTCCCGCCATATTTAGGTGCCGGGTCGTTGCATGATCTTGTTCTCTTCCGTTTGCCGTAACCACATGATTTATCACAAGCGCTCCACACACCCCATTGGCCCCAGTTTCCCTTGACAGGCGCTAAAATATTCCGAGAAAAAAGATGGGTTAAAGCATTCTACATTCTTTTAAAGTGGATCTGCAATCATAGTTAGCTAGAGAGTAAACTAAAAGAACCAATTAAGATGCCCTCAATTTTGCAGGGAGAAGACCGTTATTAGTTTGCCAGACCCAACATTCATCGAGAGGAGGATATTGATAACTTGGTCTTACTATAACTTCACTCACCATAACATTCCTCTTTGGTACACTTCCTCCGGTCAGTTTTTATTCCATGAGAATCGGCCCCAGGACAGTGCGACCGGGACGAAAAGCAAACCCGCTGGCGGTACTTCATGCACCTACTGTTACAGGGGGTGTACGCTGACCACTCGCTCCAGCCTACTTTGTCCTTATCTACAAAAAGAACAAGCGTTAATTGAAAAAGATGAATAACATTTGCGCTTCACGAACTCGCTTGCGTAGAATGGCAAAGCTATAAATTAACCATAATGGCGGGACTTTTCACATAAAGTTTGAAGTTTTGATATCTATTGAACGAATAAATTCCGTGTTGTTGACCACATCAGCTTTTGCTGAATTTTTTATCGTGTTTAAATAAATGCTGTTGTTGTTGTTGTTGTTGTTGGGTGTCTGTTCAGTAGTAGATCACAGATGACCTCAAAATGTCGTAAGAAAAAAAAAGTGGCACACGAGGCGCAAATGAGTGCGACAATGACGTTTTTGCCACATTTAAGCGGCAACACGGCAACATAGTGTCTATTTGTTTTATGCGATAAAGAGATCATTAGTAAAAACTAGTAATCAAAATGCTTGTTTTATTCAGCCTGAAAAATCCATTTAATTAACTAATTTGTTAATCTGTAAATCAGAGTAGACACTCACTTTTGCAGTCATATAGGGCGTTTAATTTCTTGATATCCAGATAACTGAAGCCGACTGAGCGTCCCAAAGACATGTAAGGGTTGTTTAGAGCGCGCACGGTTGGTTTACCATTTCTTGAAAACGTTCGTTTACTGTAATGCATCAAGCTATTATAGTCATAATCAAAATCCATACTGTCTACTTTGGAATGTTTGTACTTGTTAAATTGATTTTCCATCCCTAAAAAATAACACATAAAAAAACTTAAAATGTATCAGTAGTGCTGTCGCCTTTCTCTGACATTTTGCGATCTTTGCAGGTCATTGTAAAGTTGAATACCTCACAGGTACGCCACAAATGCTTCAAGGCAACAGATCTAATGTAACACACGAGACAAAAAAACTCGGGTTTAACTCCTCTACTTTCCCGCTCTCTCTCACCACTCTTAGAGTTCCCGGATGTACGAGACCGCTGTCCCGATGTACTACAGTCATGCACTGGATTACTCTGAACTGACCAGACTGGGAGTGTCAAGTCAGCCTTGAGCTAGGATTGACTATGAACAGGTTTCATTACTGAAACGCTTGAAAACACATTAAAGCTCTCTTGGCCCTATTATTCTCATTATCTAATTTGCATTTCTCCATCTGGTTACCACAAATTTCCTAGTCATATTATTCATGCAAATATAGCGCTTTTAAAATCCTTCCACGGTCATGGCGTTCGTCCTCGCGCGATAAGTCTCGCGGAGGATCGTGTGGGAAGCTTCCACTTTTGATGAATACTGTCAAAAGAGGGTGTAGTCATTTGTGGTAATTATCGTGGTAGGTACATTGTTGAAGTTCAAATAACACGTGACTGATGCATCACATACCCTTCTTAATATTCTCCCAGATGATTTCCACGTACTCATCTCGGTCAGGCCTCGACTGCTCGTGCCAAAACCCAATTGCATGCATCAACTCATGCATAATTATTCCTTTGTTGTTACATCTAGCCCCCAGCGACAGACTTTGAGGACCCTTGAACCAGTACAATCGGCCAATGTAAGACCAACATCTGCAAAACACCAATGCATCCACGTCAATTGCAAGAAAAACCTTGTGTTTTTACAGCGCTCTCAGGTGTGTAAATAAAAGCACGTTTCGTTGAAAACGAGAAAAACTTTGAACACTTCTTAATCCACAAAGAATGTATTTTTAGGCGATCAGACAACGAGTTTGTAAAAATTCTGCACATACAACGCTTTTTCTCGCAATACTGCTACTCTACCGAGACAGGACGCTTCTCACTGGAGTTAACACCTCTGGCTTTTGTCTAGTTTTCCTTACGGTTCACAGAAACTCATTTATACTTCTGGAGAGGGAAGGGGGTGGGAGAGAGAGAGGAATTGTGATAGTATAGTGTCTTTCTGCTCAACACGACACATTGGCTGAAAGCGAATCTTTCGACGCGGAATAAAGCGAGCCAACCATTGGCCACTGCGCCTACCACAGGGTTCAAACAGGTAAAAGCAGTTGAACCTCCACTCACCCTTTTCCTTTGCTAAATTTTATCCAGTTCCTCTCGTCTTTCCTCTCTTTAAAAGTGATACAGGTGTATTTGTGAAACTCCTCAATCGCAGACATGATGTTCTTCTTGTATGCGTCTAAAATGTAATAGATATAGACGACATCATACAGATTGGAAAGTAAGGGGGTAAGTTTCGAAAGAAACTGTGATGCTGCGTCGGTGGGAGAGTATAACAGTGTAATTTAGTATTTTCAACTGAGTAGATAACGTGAATTGGCCACAAAAAAGCCGACATTTCTAACGTTAGCCTTTCGTCAAAGTGAATCATGAAGGGCTAACGCTCGAAACGTCAGCTTTCAAACTCTTTATGATGGCCAATTTACGCTATTCACTCAGTTGATAATACTAAATTACCCAACTTGGAAATAGATTGGTACTAATGGTACTAACAGTGAATCCCATCCAAGCTCGGCTCTACAGACGAAGTCAAAATGGCGAGTTCTTGACAAAAAGTAGGAAAAAATAAGAAAATATCAAGACATTTACTGAAAACCAACTAATATTTGCATACACTTTTAAACTTAACTACTGCAATAAAATACAGACTTAACTTGATACTGTTGTTACCATGCAAACGAAACAACTGGGTGCCTTAATATTCCAATATTCCAGAGCGATAAAAGATTTGAGCAAAGATGGCTTCCCTTCGTAACCTTGCCGAGAAATAAACTGCGTATGTTCGGCAGGTTTCACCTACCTAGTCCATTTTCGATCTCATATGGAATAATTCGGTTGGGCCAAATCTTTTTCCTCTGACGCACTGCATTTCTTTTGAAACGTGCCTTCTCGTAAACGTTCCAGTCTCTCTCCGTCAAAACTATATCTCCTTCGTGTCCGATATTGTAGGCTGTAATGAATACATACATATCATTATTAAGGTGCGCACGCAAACTGAGGAGGAGAGAGGGTATTTAATGGATCACTCTTTGCAATTATTTTCCATGTATTTTTCCCTTTACAACGCAAACCACGTGGCCTGGGTTGCACTTAAATTGAGTTTTTTAACAGGAACTTGAGTCACTACTGTAATTTTTTCTTCAGAAAGACGATGTTTTGAAGTTGACGCTTTCTTTTACTTTTGGACACTCAAGAGTGAAATTGGAATAAAACAATCGTGCTTCCATTACATTTTACAAGCGTGCATTCACGGAAGTTTTCTAAACTAATTTTCTGTTGAAGTTCTCAGATCAAGCATGAACCGCTTCCTTCGAAGTAATATGCAAGTACATGATAGATTCTCCATCCCGTTAAATAGAACATCACTGCCGGGTAAAGCACGAAAATCACAAGTAACTTCCTAATCCCACTCGTCGAGTTGTTCGATTATCACAGCCGAGTACTTTTAAGAACCATTCACCCGTGGTTCGTTCCTTTCCGGTGACGCAGTTCACAGTTTGTTACTTCCTTAGTAAAAGAATGTTGGTAGGCACGTACATCTACAGCTGATAAAATAAGTGTTTGTATAAATCTCTGGATTCTTTAAACTTAAAATTATAAAATTCATTGTTATTTAAACAACATGACTGACCAATGAGTTTAACCTTGGGATTCTGAAAAAACGAAGAGCTTAGACGTAGTGAGGTGAGAAACCGATAAAACCGTCGAAGTTGTTTTTGCTAAATATGACGGCTAAGTCTTATTTTTTTTTAATTGCATAAGATAAGATTGCCAACAACTCGATATCCTTTTTTTTGACTAAAAAAATTGTGCTGAACAAGTGTAACCGATAGCTACCACTTTTTCCCGCCAGAAGGACGCGGGTCACGTACACGAAATTCTCATTGTTTTATCAAATTTCTTTTCATGATTTCATGAAACGTGATTGGCTTATTAGTTTCATTGTAAAATAATCTTGAAAAAATTGGTAGATTGGTAGATAGAGAGCAAAATGTTGCCTACGCAGTCCAGTTCTGTTACATAAAAACATAACGAGCAGGATCGTTTCAAACTTGGCAAGCCATTGTAAGCTCCTTTGTCTCTAAGTCAGTGTTCGCGTTGGTCGATACTTCCCGAATAGTCGAGAGTTCCGCGTTGGCAAAATTCATGCCAAAGGGGAGCATTTAACTCACGAAGAGAGTTCCTTTCAGCAGCTGAGACTTAATAAGAAATGCAAAGCTAAGTTTCAATTTACGGTTTCAGACCAAAAGCAGCCGATGACGAATCCTGCAAAAATGGCGCTTTTGCATGAGCTGAGGAAGCCGTGACAGGCCACTCGAAGTCCCGCTGCTCTTTTTTTTCAGCTCCAATGCCTTTCCTTCCAACAAGCGCCCTAAAACTGCTAACAACCCAGCCTACCAAAGAATTCTTGAATTTGACATTCCTTAGTTCAACTTCAGTTCATGTAAACATTTCGAGCCTGTTTTAAAAATATTTCGTGCTTTAGTAAACTTTGCATGATGCGCCCAAGGAACACCACAGCCGAACAGAACACGGTAAACGCAATTAGGATTCTGTTGACGTACAGCTCAGTTTTCACTACCTTCAGTCACGGAATTTCTACAGTTGCAATAGAAGTTAAGTGTTAAACAAAAGTTACCCCTGTCCGGTATCTAAAAAAATATGACGCGATTCTCTTTCTCGAAGTTGTGTCAATAGATACTTCCGGTAAACATTTTGGGTTGTATGGAGATAAAAATCTTACCTCAACTCCCACGTTTGCGGTTTATTTTGACTTGAAGACAAAAGAAGCCAATTTGTTTAGCCTGCCAGTGATGGCTATCTCGAAAGGTCGAAATAGCAAATTTAGGTTTCCACTAATTGGCTACCTGTAATGTCTTTTACGCGCAAAGAAATAGATAATCTTTGACGAGGCATCTTAGGGCATTATAACAGCTGCAGGTAGAGGATAACACGCTTACGTTTGTTTGCTTCGTTAATCCAGTCCATGACAGTAAAATCCTCCCCAAGCTCTTCTGATTGAGAGATAATGGAAGTGTCTGGTAAAAGAAAGAGAAAACAAAACACCATGTTAATAACAGTCCCATGACGCAAAGAGAAACACACACAAGTCCCTTAAGAGCGTGAGTCCTTATCTGCACTTCTAATCATCATGTGGATCATTATAACAAGTTTACTTTCTCTCTATGCCTGCAACGCCCGGCGAAATTATATAAGCATGTTTTGAGGTGAGAACAGAGTATCCAGTCGCACATCAAGGCAATAATTATGGGCTCAGCCACGGGAAGCTCTCCAAAATAAACAACCACCTCAGAAACAATAACAGTGAAGCAAATCAAATATTTTTCGGAAGTTTGCTTCACCTGAAAACCTGTTTGCGCCCAAGGGACTTGTAAACGAAGAACGGCCTGCACCGATGACAAATATAGCTACTCGTAACAGTAAACATTGCCAGGGATCCATCACGTATCTACGAAAAAAATACTATTGTCAGGAGATATGAAGAACATACACCGGTCAGTGCTAGGCGTAACAGTTCACCCTTAAAAAATGTACGAAAACGAAATGAAACGCAAATTACTTTGTGGAAAAAAGCAAACACGGGCAAACCTCTAACGATGATGAAACAAGCCAATACTAGTGTTTAACCCGACCGCCCGTACTCTCTGTTGCATGTGAATAAATGTCCGTGTGCCCTGGTTCATGTACTCTCCAGCGTCAAATCCTGTTTGTCATTCAATCTCATTACTGTTCACATACTTTACGCTATCAAATCCCTCCCTCCTTAAGTCACGTGAAGTCAATAGCGGCACATTTCCAAAATTCGTTTGCACGTCAAAAATATTTCAATAATACTTTGGCTTTTTAACCTCCGCCCATCGGTTTATGTCCATTTTGTCTAATACGTTGCACCAAAGGTTAGAATCTGTCTACAGTTGCTGTCAACAAAATCTTTTCAACGACGGGAGAACGCATCGGGAACATACTCTGAAATATTTGACCGTCATCTTTGGGCTTATCTGATGAAATCATTCTTACAGAGATAAAAAAAATTCCCCTGTACGTAAGTTTAGTACACAACATTTAAAATAACTATTTTCAGAAAAGCTGCTTTCTGCATTTATCTGTTTTTACACCTTAATCTTATCCCCAAAAGAGCATTTAAGCTAAGATCAGCCGGATTGCCTGAAGTAACAGAGTTTGAGAGCTGTGTACCGGAAGAGGAAGAAATCGAGGGCATTGCAGAGTTTTCGAATCTGTAATCTTATATCAAATAGCACGCTCAAAATATATTACTATACATGACCCTTGTGCTGACTTTAACCGCGGTAAGGACCTGGAAAATTCGTCTGTTCTTACGGCCAAGAAAACACTTTAAATCTAAACCAGAGAAAGGTTATTCGCACGTTTTGCCCAGGTGTTTAACAAACTAAGCCAATCAAACAAAGAGGTGGGTATTTATCTGACATAGCCTACAACCTTGCACAAGTTATACTTAATGTGCCCCTTTGATCCGTTTGCTTGAAAATGCGCCAAATACCAAAACATTGCTCACGTGAAAAAAAATTAAGGATGCTATGCATACCGATACTGCAAAAGGTATCAACGTGCGAAAACGAGGTTGTAAAGTTTCTTCGTATCAACTTACATTCGGAAGGAAAATTCTACACCAAAAAGTTCCCTGCATTTCATGAACAGCGCACTACACTCTTTGTCTCGATCAATATTAACTCCGATAGGTCAGTGATGTAATTAACGGCACCAACATCAATTTACTTCATGAGACCCACTCGAAGACATAACGAGGTCGCCTCACCGAATCAAACTTCTCGTACAGGGGAGCCCATATTGACTTTTTTTTCGAGAGCTGTATTGACTGTGTTGTACATTCAATTAATCTATGAAAAATAAAAGAGACTATGTGTTTCACTCTGCAGTGTTCCTTAAATCCAACAAAACGTCTAGTATTAAACAATGCAAGGAAACACTGCAATTTTCGTTCGCCTTCCGAATTTTAATTATTTTGTCTTTAATCATATCATTTCACACGGCAGCGGAATATTCACACACTCAGTATCAAGGCGTTATCGGTTCTACATCATCCAACACTAACAATTGGTGGTGAATTATTTTTGCACTGCTCAAAAATTTGGCTCACAAACAAGCCATTAACAAAATGAAAGTAAAAATTAACTCATTTCCACGGTCTGACAGTTTGTAAAGCGAGTCTGGCTCTTGAAGTCAAAATACGGCTAGAATTAAGAGGTATCTTATCACTCTTGTCACAATGGATACGATGTTATTTACACCCTACTCAACATGTGTAAAGAATACACCTATTATAGTTGCGACCTGTCTCGTCTTGACGAGAAAATACATTGTAGAAAGCTCTCGGTAATAAATTCAGTATGCTGCCTTGATTACCAACAAAATCATTCAGCAGTTTTTTGGAGCGATCTTAGGTAGATTAGGTAAAGTTTTATGTTCATAACAAGATGTACAAGGGGTGATCTTTGATAGACGATCACAGTTCTTCTAAGTGCTTCGTTCGATGACTCTCGATAAGGATTACCGGGCTAAATTTGCAGGAGGTAATATTGAGAGATCAGCTAAACATACCTCCTTTGACTAATTGCTCTATGATATTCCCTAAAATTAATTTAGACGAAAGTTGTGTTTCAGACAATTCAATATGGTTACAAAATGGAAATATTGGATGCTCGTAAGGCCTTGTAAATACTGATAAAACTAAATGCACAGTTTAGAACTGATCAAGAAAGCTTTCATCGCATCTGCATAAACCTTCGAAATTAAAAACTACTCAAGAATATACCTTAGACTCGCGGTTTCATGGTATTTTTTTCAGATTACCTTTGCACGTAGAAATAGCGCGATAAAATCAAAAGATACGATCAACTTGTTTGGGATCTCACGTATTGAAGGGCGCTTTCTTCAACTGCCTTGCCGACGAGGACTACCACTATGAGGCAAGTCGCTAATCGAGACACTTATACTCGCCTCTCAGTTGCAATATGCAGACAAGGCCAACAAGGGTCGCTTGTTTTCACAACTGGTCGGCAATATTTGCTCCCCTGTCTTGTTTTAGGGTGAGGGAATCCCCTTGGGGCATAAAGCATTAGGATCTTAGAAAAACTCTGAATTTGTCCCCTCTCAGCTCAGTAAAAGCTCTTCTGTTTAAATGTTGTTAACAAATATATAATGAGCTCGTAAAAGCCGAGAGAAATCGAGTTGTTGCTGTGACCGGAAGTCAACGTGGTTTAAAATTACGTAATTGGGTTTTCGCTTACCATTGTACAAAATGTCAAACCCCGTTGAGTACCTCTGATTTATGGCGAGAATATATAAATACAAATGTATTTTTAATGAAAAAACATTTGATTTCAAACACATCTAGGCTAACATTTCTTACTCCTCAGGAACTCAAACCAACGCTGAATCGTCTTTTTGAGATTTGACGCCAAATATTTCCCGCCTTAAACATGATTCACTGCAACTCTTTCCACCGCTGCTTCGCGCGCGAGCCATATTTATACATATTAAAATTAAAAGCCGTATCTTTTTTAAAGCTATGCAAATAGCTCGAGTTAAGAAAATTAACACGTACAAGAAACGCCTGTTTAACAGTTGCATGTTCTGGAAAATTGCGTGAAAAGCTTTATCTATAATAGTATTTTTTTTTTCTAAAAGAGGATACTAGATAGCCGCAGTAATTTTACAGAGATAACGACTTGATTATCAAAACAACATATTGGATGACTAACTAGCATTACGTTGTTGTCTTATCACACAACCGGACACTAAAACCGCACAGCTCACAACAGGAAATCACGTTCACAAATATACGTGACCAACGCTTGCAGGCATCCATTGATTCAATTTTTAGCGAAATATCGAGTGAAGCCTTATCATAAAGTGCAATCACGACAGGCGGATGGGTGATAGAGGCCCGCAAGGCAAATCTATTGGAATTGAGGTTTCAAGGTTGTTATGTGGTTAACTGGGGGTTATCAGTTCACACAAAACCAGTCGATCGTTCAATGCACAAAACATTTTAAATAGTAAGGTCCAGGTTTCAAACAATAACTTAATTACAATTAATAAATCTTTACCGGCCCCAGCCTCAGAGTTGAAAACTGGGTTGAAGATTGTTATCATGCCGGAAATATTTAACCGTACAACCGGAAAACCTCCAGTTTGCAGCACGAATTTTTTTCATCGCTTGCTTCCGCCAAACACTGATGAAATTTATTGCCAAAACAAAAAGATAAAACCATAAACAGTCAGGCAATTTCCTTCGAGAGAAAAAAAATCATTGATTGAATTTCTCAAAGAGCTTTTGTGATTGTTGTTCCGTGACGAGAGGTAGGCGACGAAAGAGGACAAAAACAACAGGATCACTGAAAGTTGCACCTTCGAAAAAAAAAAACAATACCAAACAAAAGCTAAGGTTGATATCCAACTGTTTTAGATAATACAGAAATCCTACGTTAAGAATTCGTTACTCCTGCGAAGTCAATCGATTTTAAACCGGTTTAAACCAGAGTTCAGGCTTATTAAATGCATCTGACAATACTTACTAGCACTAGTTAAAAAGATTAACAGGAAGAAAGCAAAAGATACCAAAAGCAACAATGTACAGAATAATTAACTTTAAACGTTTCCCCGTGGGTAGCAACCTTTGAATAGAAATGGCTTTCCACTCTTCAATTGACGAAGGGGAATCTGTTCCACAAATCAGTTCAATATAATTCCCAGAAACTAAATAAAAACAAAGAATGTTATACATCTTACACCAGCTTACCGTCTTGTCAAATTGATACGACGTACCGGCCTCCTAGTGCAGTGGCGATTAAATGATTCAGATCCCTTCTGCTAGTTTCAAAACAAACGATTCTAACTCAACCACTGCAATATCAAGCTGGTCAAGAAGAGTACTTCAACAAAGAGACGTAACTGCGAAACCGAAAAAAACCAATAGCAGCACTGATTACGTCAGTACCGCAGATCGGAACTATTTATTGTTCTTCGATGATTGTGTGTAGGTGAAGCGCAGTAGGGAAGCTCAAAGAATGTTATTGATCAGCGGATTTGACAAACCTCCTCACTTGTATTCAAGTATACTTTGCACCGGAAGCACTCGGTCCAAAAAAGTGGCGCGCATGTAACTTGTAAAAAAAAAATTTGACAAACCAGTCATGTGTGTAAACAAGAAGTACTAAACCGTGTCTTTAGAAAAGAATGGCACGGGAATGAAAGAAAAATAATCGTTAAAGCAATGAAAGGTCGAGAATGAATATAACGTTTCATTTGCATCAGTAATAACCGATTAAAGGCAAGCTAGGTCTACAGCGTAAATATTCATAATGCAGTGTTTGATTTGACGTCGCTGAAGTACATGTAGCCGGCTTTGCCATCAATTTTTTTTTCGGGTGTGTGTTTCTGTTGTGTTTCGTGTTTAGAGAAAGGATTTGGTATAGAACATGTGGCTTGATGGAGGTGAACATTTGACCCTTTCAACACTTGTAATGTCAGAATACATTTCTTCGCAAGTTTCTGAAGCCTATTGAACGAAATATTGCATAATTATGTAATTAGACCAGATTTTGCGAGAAAAAAAAACGGATGTATTTCTGGCGATAATGCGTTTGACAGCTTAAGATGTTACATGGTGAAAGATGTTATACAGATCTCGTACAATGATTTTTATAAAAAAAAATTCTGACGAGTTATTTTCGCGACTGATTTACAAAAGCCATTATAAACCTTGCGGAGGATATTCTTGGCCGTTTTATAATATTAGAACCTTTCGTCTAAAAATAGATGCATGACTTGAGGGGCTTGGAAGATATATTTCAAGCCGTGTTTTCGTGAACAAAAGATCTTTCGTGTTGTTGTCCAAAATCATTCAAAAGCTGAATGAAGTGACAAAAGACGATGAAGTGACCAAAGATAGCTTTCAAACAAGGCGTTCATACTTTTCCCTTGCCCGCTCACTTAACGATAAGAAGCTTTGCTTAAGTGCATCTCAGCTGTCGACTGGTACCGTTAGTGGAGTGAGAGGAATTTTAATAAGGGAAATAACGAATGACAGGGGAATGGTTTCGCATTCATTTCGTGACTGATCATCCGTGTTTGTTCAGTTTCCCTAAAAAACAGGAAATGCTAAAGTCATTTCATCATGGTTCTTGGGACATTCACGCGAGACTTCCTCGTGAAAGTCATAACGACTAATTATATTTTTGACAGTCTTTGAGGTGGTAAGTTTGCCTCTGGAAAACGAATAATCCCATCATTGCATATTCAATTACTCCTTCAGGGTATTTTAAGTGAATCTAAGCCACCACAAAGCTAATGACAAAATTGGATGCTAATCTAGGTCAAAAATAACTCCGTCACATGGGTTTTACCAGAGATTTCTGGTCTCTGATTATCGAGTTCGTCATGACTATTACTGCTGTGTGTATGCAATCTCTTGGTATATCCTATCCTATCCAAAGAAATTCACGAATGATATTTGCATAATGTCCGCAGCCCTCTAAGTTTCTTTACAACGAAAGCTATAAAAAGAATGGCGGGTAAAAAGTGAAGGAGTTTAAAATCTCATCAAACTGTCATTTTGGTTAAGCAGATTTGTGATTTTTAAAGACTGACTTTTTGATCATCTCCTGAAATTGCTTAAGACATCGTACCACATTTTGCCCGAGGGTACCCGAAGGTGTGGCAGTTCACATTTCTTTCTTAGCAGTCGAAGAAGTCTGCGCTATCTTCAAGCGCTGGAAAAAAAAGACACCAGCTATAATTTTTCAGGCAAAGGATGAACTCGATTTTACGAAAAGCTGCGTTTGATAATCTCTTGAGACTCAATAGTATTTTCTGACGCTCCTCCTACGTATATTTATTTCATCACCGCGGTGCGTTTGGCCTTGAAATGGGCCGCGCGCCAACACAGTCAGCATAGCACACAAAATAATCAACTTGGCAAAAAATTACTTGTTGGAGGAACTCCAATCAATGTTGACGTGCGTAACTGCACCACACGTTTTGTGACTGCATAGTTGAATTTCACTCAAACAAATTTGAGTTGTATGGGTGCACCACAAGTGCATACTCACAGCCACTGAACCATATCCGTGTCGCGTGTGAAGTGCATAGACGCCGCCGCTGACAGATGTCTGTAGATTAGTTAATGGACATACCATCAATAAATTGATGGCTAGGGACTCGGAACTAAGTGCTCTAAAGCTGACAGAAACTATGACCAAGGTTGACTGAGTTGTAAAGCTTACACACATCAAAAGAGAACTCTTTCCCTTTAAGACCGTATATTGCAGGAACACAATCAAGGGCTCATAATTTTCATGACCTAAAAGTCGTGCCGCCAGAAGTATGCCGGTATTTAAAAACAAATTGTGTTCAACCGGGAAGCAGTTACATAATTTTTTTTCCCGAATCAGAGATGAATTATTTTCACTAGATAAGAAAGTGGTAAGACTAAAGAGCACTTAGCAAATACCTAAAACAAGAGAAACCATGTTTTTCAAAACAAAATTGACGGTCATACTGAATCACATGCATCAATCGGCACTGTTTGTCAACGGCCAGCCGATCGAAGTAATCGGTTAAACTCTTGGAGGTCCTTCACAATAATGTGATTTATCTTTTAAAAGTTGAAAAGGCACGTCATACCTGCTGGCTTAACTCTTTCAGAACGACCTCTCTGTTGAATACTACACTGGTTCAAAATGATTGCTGAACAGATTTCTTGAGAAGCCACGTGCGCGAAGCGATTGTTTGAGAAAGAGTAAACATCAGAGCTGATTTTGTTCTCTCAAAAAATAACACTGTGCTAGTCTTACCTTATGATAGTCTTTCGATAAAATTGTTGCTCGTGACAGTTAAATACCAGTTGGTGAATTAGCTTGTTGTAACAGCGCAGTGTCAAGGTGTGTAACTCTGTGCGGTAAGAGCGATAATGGTTTAAATATTCACAGCTGATATATTTGGCCACTTGCCTGCCCGAGCTTGTAACAACTCACTGATGCAAATTCATGAGATAACATGGTTGCTCTATTGAATGTTTTGTTCCACTTGTGAAATTATTTTCAAGATGTGCCAAGAATCAAGAACAAATACGTTAATTAAGTACAAGTTATCAACAAATATTCCGCACAATGTCAACAATTAAACATGCAAGCACAACATTGCACGTGGGTGAAAGAAAACATATTGTGACAAATTAGTTTATCTGTGTGGTTTACATACAAAAGCGTAGAAATCCTTTTCTTCGTATACTGAATTCTAGTGGTATTTCCTACCAGCAGTTCAAGCTAACCACCAGCTTTTTTGTTCGTAATTATGGAATTTCCGCTGTTTTTCTATTCATCTGTGATTGATTTAATTGATCAGGTCATCAATAGAAATATCAATACAAATGTTAATATGGCGCCGTTTGTCTCCTGAATTTTCGCTAAGCCGGTGTAATTAATCTCATTACAAACGCGCCAATGAAACCTGTGGTTTCCGTGGTGGAAAAGCTCATTATTCAGTTCTTCAAACACTGTTGAGTCTGTCCTCCGCAAGTTTTTCAGAAAGGAAGCTAGTTTGAAAAGCAAAGAAACTTTTAGTCTTCACAAAGGTTTTCGTCACGCAACACTTCGGTAAGACAAGATCACACCTCTGTGCGAGCTGAAACAACATTACAACTTAGATACAGATAAGTAATTGGTAAGTTAAGACATATGATTCTCATGTGAAATGTGCCTTGCATTCTGAAAAGCTTTTTATTTCTATTGCACTGCATAATTTCTTCCTTCCTACTTTCTGTTCGAGGACGTCTGCTTGTAACTTCTTTTGTGTCTGATCAACTAACCCTTGTGCGTTAGCAGCCATTACTGAGCATGCCAACTATTACTCTAGATTCGCGATGTTACACCGAGCTTTGATTCTATATAAGGACAAACAGTTTGCCAAGAAGGTCCCTCAATTTCAAGCATTGACCAAGAAAGTTCTGTATTGTTGGAATTCATGTCTGACACTGTGACTGTTCTACCCCCCCCCCCCCCTCCGGAATGTGTACGTCGCTACTCGGATAAAACTGTTATAACTGTTACACTTTCAAGCTTCAAGTTCAATTTCCTCCCTTCGTTTGAGAGAAATTGTATTGCTATAGTGGAGGAAGGCCCGAAAGGCAAGCGTTATTTACTGCGATTTTTCAGGTACTGAGTGGATGTAAAGGAACGGTGAGACACACGCTGGAAGGTGAAATGGGAAAGACTTTAATCCTTCTATACCCTGACATCAGTGCGCATATTCTCTATATTATCCTTCCTTCATTTACCGGGACAAGCACTAGCATTGCTGTAGCTGTTCGTACTTTGTCGTAATGCTTCCAGCTGCATGATTTCCGCTGTCCACTTGGTTGAGTCTTCACTAATCATTTCACGCTCATTTCGACAGGACTTTTCTTCATGGTGATCGAGAAAGTAAGGTACGGCAGTCAAAGCGCTCAACATCTCATGCGAATTACACTGCTTGCACCCTCTTACAGTGGACACGTCTAGCTGAAGAGAGGTGTAAGTGCAGTGTGGGTTGATTTGTTCCAAAATTGAATTTATTCCACGAACCGCCCATCTGGATGACAGTTTTCATTGTGCCGTTATCTAACTGGACGGTGTGAACTATCAGTTAAAGTGAAAGTAGAACTCCAAACACGAGATTGTTTAATAAAAGGAAATATGAACAACAAAAGTGAACTATTACTAAATGGAGATTAGTGGTAATGTTTTGATCTCTTATGATGTTCAGAAGAATGTTATATGGAGATATATTTAGCAATGTTTCGTGACGATTGCTACAGAGAATGTGCTAATAAAGGCAAATTTACACATCATCGGGCAAAGAGGAAAATTTAAATATTGATTGTTCGTCTCGCGTAAGTGTAAGTTGTAAACAGACAGTGGAAGCCTATTTGTAATCTCCGAGGCTTGGCCTAATTGAAAAGGGTATCGGCAAAGTTTTCAATTCTCCTCAGAATAGCAAATGACAAACAGTAAGGAAATACATGACGAAATGATAAAAATGAAAATGAAAGTCCATCGGTCAAGACGCTACGTAAGTCCCTTGCGTGCTGATGTCACTCTTTAATTACCTCATTCATTCGAGCGAAGTCCAGTACATGATTAATACAGATTCATTTCGCTGGCGTTACTCTAGTTATCCAGGCCGTTTTAAACCGACAGAAGTGGTCAAAAAACGAGAATGGTAACTTTTTAAATGGATCTTGAAAATCCCAATCGTCCCCAGACCGCTCTGAAGCTAGATGAAAAACAGAAGCAAACCGTACGAGCTCTCAGGCGACAAATTTCTTCTCATTCCACAAGAAGCACGGAAATAGATGGCGACCACTTCGCGAAGTTAAGCGAGGAGGAAATTATTCTCCTTCGCAAGATTGTTGAAACATTCACAAGTAATCAAAGGGATGCTGAACTTACCGGGGATGAAGTCGACGGCAAAGGTAGAAAAGTAGATAGAAACTGGTCGATAGAAAGTTATCTTTCTGGATCTTCTAATCGGGGAAGCGGAACTTTCGTGAATCCTGGTCGCTTTTATGTTCGAGTTACACAAGAAAATGTCAAAGCTGTGGAGCAAGTATGTATCGAAATAGACAACGAGGAATCCAAAAATAAGCCTACCACAAATGGTTATGGGAATTTAAGCGGCAGACATTCATTTGACAACGAAATCGAAAGTAAATACAAATGTTATTATGGATACTCTGTCGCTGTGACGAAGCAAAGTCACGAGGCGATTGTAGTCAGAAATTCTTACGTGACAGGCGCGTTACCGGAAGGCGTCACGAATGGAACGAAATTTAGTTTCACCGATAGACCCTCTTGGAATAAAGCTAGCGGACTTAAACATTTACCACCAAGAGAACGCTTTAAACGAGCGGTACATTTAGTGATGGATAATTTGAAGATGCGGCCTCGAAAAATGGACAAAGACTTCTCGGAGTTATGGCGGAAGCGTGGTAACGCAACATGGCTCGGCATTTTCTTCACAGTGGTGGCGATTGGCGCGTTCTTCGCTGATATTGCCACGGACCTGAAAGTTGCAGCAGACCATTTCAGAGCTGGTAGCAACTGGTGGGGAAGTTTCACGGTTATGTTCGTGCTGCTTCCATCTATTATCATAAACCTGGTATCTTTCTTTTGGTACAAAGAAGATGAAAAGATTGGAAGACGACCAAAAAGTGGCTGGAAAGTGGTCAAATTAACGCATTTCTTTTTAGTAGGGCCCATAGAGAGGTAACAATTGATAATTGTCTGTGAATATTTACAATGTTTTCCGAGATGTACTATTACAGCTTAGTTTTAGACTGAGGGGATGAATCCGTAGTCAAACGTTTCCAAGACGTAAATTCACGAGGAAGTCTGATTGAAGTGATGTTTTGGATTTTATGATAACTAAATTCTTTAGAGGACAAACAACTCTTGTACAACAGATACCTTTTATTAGTTAGTTGACATCTGCATTATTTCCTGTTAACAGCTAAGATAGTATAAATTTTCTGCATGTTTAAACACGATACACTCTTTTTCTATAAGAACGTCTAATTTTGGGGCCAAGGCTGTACGTTCTTATCGCCTTTCCAATTTTTTTCCCTTTTTTTAGGTACTGGAGAATTCTTGTTAAATCGTATCGAATAAAACGGAAGAAAGAAGAACGAGTTGTTGATCACAAGATATTGATAGCAATGAATCTCGACAGTGGCATGCTGCAAATGATTTTAGCCTTTACAGAAGATGCACCTCAGCTTGTTTTACAACTGTATGTCCTTGTCTCGCGTAAAATCCTTAACGCTTTTGAGGCAACAAGTGTCCGAGACTTGTGGACCATCCTATCCATTTGTTTTTCCTTCGTTTCCTACTCCAGAGCAGTTGTTAACTACATCAGCTGCCTCCGTGACTCAAAACGCCATAAAGGCCAGTTACGCTGGTACGGTTACCTATCCATGTGGTTATGGAGAGCTTTCATGATTATTTCTCGAATACTTACGCTCGTTTTCTTCGCAACAGAGTTTAAGCAATGGTTTTTCATTGCTCTTTCTATTCACTTCGTCATTGTCCTGGTGTTTCTTATTCGTCACGAGCTTTATTTTTTTCCAGGGTCCAAATGGAAGCAGCATCTTTTCCGTGCACTCATGTCTTACATTCATTTGTTTTGCTTCTTTTGCCTGGAAGGCGTGCGTACCATACCTTGGGCAAAAAAGTACTACATCTTGACTTTTGTCGAAAATCTGATCTTCTCAGTTCTCTGGTACACAAACGGAACCAGACATTTACCACCTCAAGTAGAGTTGGCAGGGTTTATTTGCATTTACGTGTTTTTCTCTGCAGGACTTTTCATGATGACGGTTTACTATAAGTTTTTGCATCCTCGATTCAATCAGCCTCGATTCTCCTTAGCTGCTCCTTTGGAGTCAGAGCTTGCAGATAAAGATCCCAAACATGGGCCGATCAAAAACCAAGAACAACGCTTTGAACTTTGGATTTAAATAACTAAACGAAGTTAATATTTAAAGAAATTTTGAAGGTTATTCCGCAATCAGTGTAGAGTGGAGAGAAGTGGTGGCCGAACTGTTAGGGTATGTGGCTCCTGCTAGGAAAAGTCAGACTTCGAACTCGGCTGGGGTAATTAGTCCTGTGCTCCTGGGCAAAGCACCTAAATCTCCCTCCACCCAAGAAGTGTACACGAAAACTGGTAGACATTCGGCAAAAGCTCATCGAATTCTGAGGGGTAACCCTGCGAAGGAGTACCATCTTATTAGGGGGGAACTAGCGAAGGTACTTCATGCTTTGAAGTCCGGAAGAAAATTCGGCGTTGTAGACTGTTGGGCTTGTGTGAAACCAAGCATATAGGACACCACATGTCCTCAACATGTCTAAGAATAATCAGAGCAGTAAGCATAACACGTCAAAACTTACTTTATTTTGAAGAAATTTCATTTACTTACTTATTTATTTTCAAGTTCATTTGCACTTGTTTCTGTCATAATTTTTATACCCTTTAATAGAGTCAACTTTAACCTTTCCAATACAATTTATCAGATTTGTTTCACAATCTTTGATTTTATCGAAAGAGCAATGGTCGTCTTCATTTCTAGAGATTACTCTCTTAAGGCAAAGGTTATGTTCTTTGCAACACCTGAAATCACAGAAAATAACCAGTTACCATTTGTCAGTATGTTTTAGAATATCACTATTCAATCCCTGACTCAAACAGCACGATATTGTCTTCCTACTGTTTTGTGTTGTGGTCGAATCCTGTCAGAGTTAATCCGGCGTCTGAAAAATGAAGGGACTAAGAGTACTTACACTTCTCCCAGACAGGATGCCAACCCCTTCCACCCACTAACTAAAGAGTCGCTTCATGTTCCTTCGCACTCCCCTCCCTCCCTTTCCAATAAGCCCAGTTCCGGATGTCCTGGCCCCGATTGTCTAAAGGTTGGATAACGCTATGCACTGGATAAATGGCTATCCAGTAGATAGCGCAGTACATTTTGTAAACTCTTATCTTATCCGGGGGCGGATAAAATTATCCAACCGCTCTACAATAGCCTAGACTTCAAATAGAAAAAACTGATATTTTAAATTCTAGTTACCCATCTAAGGAATCCTTTTCTTTAACAGCGCTGGGGTCTTTGTAACTCCTCATCTCCTTTGTGACGCCACAGAAACAGCCATAGTGATGCAAATCATGATGTTCTTCGAGAAAAGCGTCCCCTAGTTTACAACGCAGTTGTGCCTCAAACGAGTGCACGGGATTCCAAACACGCCTCTGCAAATATTGCTGAAAAATAAATCAACCGTTACGAGATACTGAGTAATTATTGTTTGCATGTCGCTAGTGATAAATTTAACAACTTTAATCATATTTGAAAGTTTATTGACGAATTTGATCAACAGGTGAACTAACATTGAAAAGCGACGGGAAATTATTCGACCTCATCGCCCAGCAAAGACCAACACTAAAGCAGTCGAAATGTTGCGATCCATAATTGATAGCTTGATTCTACTTTTTGATAATACCTCTCTACGTCGAGTGACAAACGGTGACAAAGGCTCTAGTTATCATAAAGGAAGGACCATTATTTATTGCGCGCGCGGGGGGGGGGGGGGGGGGGGGGGGGGGGCGGGGGGGGGGGGGGGGGGGGTTGGAGGTTGAATAAGTATACCTGATACCCCCTCCGTTCCCCCTGAAAACCAAGTGTTCCCGCCAAAACTCCTTCCCCCCCCCCCCCCCAGCGATAAATATGGACAGGGACAGGTCCGTGATGACCGATGAAACATTTACAAGAGAATATAGGCAGTTCATTTTCTCTTGACATTCATCAATTATCATAACCACCTTGAACAAACACATCCTTTACCACAGTTTTAGAACAATTAATCGTTCCTTGATGCGCTTCTTATATTGAAATTCTTCACAGCATGCGTAAACTTCCTTTTTCCAATCTCATTGATTTTCGTTGCAATTTTTTTATGCATTCATTTTTTAGTTCAATAATGTTCAAAATAGGCCGCTCCTGAAGCACTGAATTAAAAAGAAACCTCGGTACAATATTTTACATCATTTTAAATTGAAATGAGTTTCATAACCCAGTTATGTGTCGATGCCAAAATTGTGTTTTAGCAATCAATCAGCTTGCGTAAGCTAAAACCTTTTTTGATGTCTTTTTGTTTGAACTCATTTGAACTTTTTAAAAAGCTGGGAGTGTAAATAAAGTTAAGGAGCAATACAAAATTCATGAAAACTCAAAACTGCACTCAGGGGAAAAGAAAAGTTGAAGAGTCGACAGCGGATACAAACCCCCACCTAAAAATTTTTTTCTAAGGGTGACCGACTCCAGGGAAACAGAATTTCCATAAAAATAAAAACAAATGTTCATGAATATATAGGTTAGCCTGCTTGGATACTCACCATTATGGGCTTATCTTGCTCTCGAGTAAAACAGAACACATGAGGAAGTTGAAAAACTAAGACAATCGAAAGTATAAGCTTCGCTGGGCTTCGCATGTTGAAGCTAATGATGATAACTGCTTACAGACGTGTATTTATAATAAAGCCATCCTATAATTAGCCTGCGTTCTGATTGGTTTACTACAAAACCTTAGGCGTGCTTCGCTATTCAAGCCTACGATCATTGAAGAAATACAAAGGAAGTTGAACTAAAAAGATTCGCCTATGACTCGTGCTTTTCTCTTTTTTCCTTCTTGTCTCTTTCCCAGGAGGGTTGACCAGTTTATTCTACCGTTTTTCCTTCTCCGCATTGTGTACATATCAAGCATATGTGCCTGATCACTCCAGCTGGGAAAAGATGGTTCGGTTTTTTATTCATCTAACAATAGCTAACAAAGAACTCGCAAATGTCTCGCCATTAGTGCAATTCAAAATTTTATCGACTAATCTTTAGGAAAAATATACCAAATGTGGTGTTGTTAACTGAAAAAATTGTGTTCATTTAAGTAATATCTCATTGGTAATAAAGACAATTTTGCCCGTTTTTATGTTCCTATGTTCCTATATCGCACCATTAAACAAGAGCAAAATACCATACTGTCAAAAGCTACAGAACAAAGCATGGCAACGACGTTACTAGCTGTAAAGAACTTATCCGAATGTATTGCCTCGAAAAATATAGCATTTACGGAAAAAGAGCCAAATTTCTCCAGTTATTTCAGTTTTAACGTCAAATATATGTCTTGTTGATACGTCTCGCTCTGTCTAAAATTAATGAGACTTTGTCATGGAAATTAAAATTGACGATGCGGAACTCAACAGTTCTAATTTAGAGTTTGTTTTGTGTGTAATTTTACACATAACCCGCCGACGGTCACGTTTGTACATTTCACATCTAAAATTAACAGATAATGATCATCGTTAAGACCAGCTGTTCATCACAATGAAAAACGCTTTGTTTAATAATTTTAACATGCATTTTAATGAAACTTAACGTGGCTACCAGCCAGTTAGACGCCCTAATCAGAAACTCGTCAGAAACTCTCTAGAATTTCTTTAATTTTTTTTACTAGAATTGAAATTAATCTTCTACAAAGGAGGTAGATAACTTTTGTAATTATTGAAGTCGATGGCAACCACCCCAAATTAAAAAATATGATATTTAAAATGTTAATAATAGCGCAAAGTTCTAAAGTAAATTTGCATTGTCCCACATGTGAGATTACAAAGCTGGTTGAGTGCCAATATGGCATACAGGTTTTAAAAGTTGTTAGGGGATAACTCGCGTCCAATAAAACGCCTGCAGCGGTAACAACTTCAAACAACAGGGAGTAAAAACTGATTCGATGCCGCCTCTGGAAATATCTGAAAACGTTTGGAAATACCTGAAAACTAAACTAAATGCAGTAGAATGTATTCCTGGTGAATTTTAATCAGTTAAAAATTATAGTTTTCTTAGCTTGAATTATGAATGAAAACACTTTCTCTCCGAACACCGACGTCACTCATTGAATAGCTTTTGTGTAAGAACTACCCGCAGATGGCCATATGGGGAATTCTCTCGACATAGAACTTGAATTGTTAGCAAACTTTATTCTCAGAGTTTAACGCTACTCCTTACAAGAGCTTCCTTCAAATCTACAAGAGATAACGACAAACTTTTGAAAAAGTTCTCGTTGTTGAGTTTCAAACAGCCCTAAATGTAACCGCCTCCGACAAAAGTCGTGAATTAAACACATTTTAGACATTAATGAATTATACAACTCCAACTTAAATGTCTGAATGACACTTTTAAAACTAACAAACTGTCACTCAAGAGATCATGCACAATAGATAGTGTTTTGTTACGTTAGTTATAATTTCTCTTAAATGCTCCAAAGTGTGCAGGTGTGTGATATTCATGCTGTAAAAGAATCTCTTAAGCTTCACGTACCTACATCAGCGTACAACATATGCTAAAAAACTGCCAAGGAACAACGAAAAATGACGAAATTATTACTGACAGGGGTTAAAATCATTCTAGAATTTTAATCATTCTTAAGCTTCGATGTAAGTTAACAGAACCTCAGAAAACAAAACTAATTTTGTAACTCATTTCCAACATAATTGAAATTCACTGTACAAATATAACAAATATACGAGTCGTTTTTCGTCAGTTCGTCTCTCTCCCTCTCTGCTTATTTAAAACAGCGCGAAAAGACCTTAAATAATTCTTGTGTTTTTTTGTCTCTTACAAGAATATACTTGTCAGAGTCTTTATCATTATCATTTTATATGTGGCTATTTTAGATAAAACTGTCAAAGAATACAATGGCGGTTGTTATCCTTCGAATGTAAAACAAAAATGGCGGCTGGAATACTAGAATACAGTACTGTGATAACAAAACGATGATTTTTTTTTGTGTTAAAGTCCCAGAATCTAGGCAAGGAACAAATACTTCCATCGGAAATTTTCTTTTTGTTTACATGGGTTGTCACTGTCGCCTTTCCCCGCCACTTGACCAGAGACGGATTGAACGTTGGCGAAAGAGTGGCCTGGGAACAAGGTTAGCTCAAAACTTGGGCGCTCTGCTGAAAATTCAGTGTAGATTGTTATTAAGGTGAATTCATATTGATCAGGAAATATGGGTTGTACAGTTTCCACACGTGAAAACCCGTATCTTCAAGTGCCGGTAAGTTTCCAAAATTCGTTTTTCGTACGAACCGACAGCTGTAGAATCTTGACAAGTTTCTCACTAACCAAAACAAGTACCTCCTGCGGAAACGCTAAGCTTTGATAAGTCCATCAGATTTTCAATCAAAAGATGCATTTTTGTCACGCCAATTGTTTTTTGTTATTATCTTAACCTTTTCGAGATAATAACCTCTACTAAAGAGCGGATATCCTCTCTTGCCTCAACTACACCTGAGAGTCCCTGGGATGTTTTCCTTGGTTACAATCATTAGAACCGAATTGATTTCGTTCCTTCTCTCGAATACTGGCGCTGTTACTAGTCACAGAGGAATGATTAATTTATGATCGAGAGAAGAAGAGTAATTAACAACCAAAGGGTCTAATCTAACACCTTCTACGACAGGTTTGAGAAAAATTTTATCACTGTTTCCAAGATTAAAAATATTGATTTGTTTTTGGAAACAATACAGTTGCAAGAAATAAATAATTAATTTTTGCATGTGATATTAAGACTGGACCTGTCGAAACTCATCTGACAGATGCTCGTCACACCTTATGCACATTAAACAATTTAGCTTGATTTCTCTTTTTCGGACGAGATATGTTTAGTTTGGAATTCGTTCCGTCATCATCATTGGTAACAACAATCACATTGTCGCAAACTTAGCATCAATTAGTTATTCTATTAGTCCTCGATGGCGGTTTAATTCTTTACATGCAACTAATCTGCGGCAATAGGTTAAAAATACACACGTGTTTCAGATATATTTTAATTTGCATGGCGTTGTGGCATCGATGTTTTTTTTCCTCTTTTCAAAGCCAGAGCATGCTTAATGCGAGGTAAGCTGTGATAGAAATAAATACCTTTTCACTGACGCAGATTGCGAGCGGAAGAATGAATTTTTCCACCTATATAGAGTAGTTTCCCAAGACGTTCTTAATTTTAGATCATTTCGTAATTCGATGATATTGACCGTAAAGGGAAAATCATGAAGCATCAACTGCCCCTCCCAGTCATAGATTCAACAATTAATTTTTACAACCTTTTTTTCCTCGATTAGGGAACTTATTTTAATTAAACTGTAGGTTTCGCTTAAGTTATTCACTCAGTTTTATAAACGACCGGGAATCTGAACCAATAAAGTTCGAGAGATGAGAGTGAGATACAAGATTCCCAGCTGAATCAGTTGAATACCTCTGTACGGACAAATTGAAGATGAACTTGAAGTGAGTAAAATGAAACAGGAAACATGCTTACAAACCGAACCCTGCCCCCTGACAATCAGCTGAATAGAAGAACTTGTTAACTGACCCTCAGTGACGCAAGTAAAGTGCTTTGCATGCATCATTTACATTCTTTGCAAACGAGAAGTTCCGCCATCGTGAATATTGCGAACAGTACCTGTTAGTTGCTGCGTCGTTCAGATCAAGATCAGCTTCATCTGCCTCCGTGTCGTCATGGGCTGTACAGTATCTAAAGACAACAAATACCACCATTATGTAAGTTTGGCTTGTTTGATACACTATCAGTAATCACACCCCTATACTGCGTTAAGCCTTGAGCCCCATGAGATATTTAAATGCTGGATTCTTAAATATGTATCAACATTGCAGTACTTTAAAACTTTAAGAGCTGAGCACAGGTTTCTTCGGGAAAAACCAAATCTGCAAAATTTCAACTTTCATCATTTTCCATGCTGCAACTTGCTGAAGCGAAGCGAACTATTACATGTTAAAATTTGTTCTGTATTATCATTGTTTACGCTAATTTGTTGACGTTCCGTTCAGTTGAATCTCTGCCTGTCAACAACTACCGCCTATTCACAGCTGCAAATTAATTTGGCTTCAAAGACTTTTTAAGGAGTGAATGCTCATCAGGCCTTATTTTAAGCTGGTAATTTTTCAACGATCCTATTTGTAAAAGAAATTCCGATTCTTGATAAGCGATGGCGCGACATGGATTTTAGAAAAGAAGATATAGCCGAGTAACATTATTCCATAGATAAAGCTCGTCAGAACGATTCCGAAACAATCATAGTTCCTTCAAATGCCCTTTCCTGCTAATAATTTCTCCATAACGCTTATGCTTCTTCACTGGTCCGATTTCTTCTCTCTGATTTCTTCTCTCTGAAATCCTACAGCGGCGAGTAAGTTTGCTCCAAGATTACCAAGTTTCAACCAGCTAACACATTTCTTGTATGTTTGCCATGTTGCGCCGCATTGATAAAACAAAGTCAGATAAAACTAATATACTGTCAGTGACTAAATTTCACTGCACTACAACGTCGACTTAACTTTCGGAAACTAATTTGTTTTAGTGATATTTTTAGTTATACTTTCAAAATTGTAAAAAAAACAAACAAACAAACAAAAGGAAAAGAAAAAAAAACCGTGAACCCACTTATGTTAATAATGTTGCTTCCTCTTTTTCTCTCTCTCTCATTTCTCGACGAAAGTAAGGCATTGCAAAGTGAAAGAGGAAAGAAAGATGCAACTCGCACCGGGATTGAAAATAACTGAACAGTTTACTTGGTTTTCTACGAAATTTTCTGCGCGATATGTAACTGTCTGTGTCGGCAATTTTTTCCTCTGACACTGTCAAAAAAGAAAATCCGCAGGGGTAAAAAAATCACCAGATGAATGTGCTGGAAGAAAATTAAAAGCTTCACGTGGTCTTGTTCCCAAGACAGTTTTATTTTTAGAACAGTTTGTAATGGAAGAAACTTGATTGTGACGGAAAAACTAGCGAGCAGAACGAGCTGTTCCTATTAATCACTCGGTGAGTTATTGTCTGTCTTAAGGTGCGACAGGAATTAGATATACACAATTTGTTTGAGTTAAAAGAGATGCTTTTCACACTTTAACCTGTGACGTCAATCATCGTGTTTGCTCCTTTACCAACCAACTACTGTGAATTAATTTACAACGAATCATAAAATGCCTAACTGAAAACACTTAGTCTGCTAGATAACCCCAAAGGAAGTAATTTCATTTCCGCTGGTTCAAGGATCTTTTGTGATGTCAAAACAAAAGGAAATAATTTGCGCTAACTCCGCTAAATGTTAGTTGTTTATAAATAGACATCAGTTTTAAAATTACACTTTAGAGACGCGCGTCAAGTTTGTTCACATTTCTACCCAACCTATTCAGAACGTTTGAGGTCACGAGACGAGAAATCAGTCAGACGGAACGATTGCTCGTCAGTCTCACTGCATTCGCTCGCTAAGTTTACAGCGAAGTGGAAGAAATGGGTTGCGCAGCGTCTAAAGGTGACAAATCTGAATCACACGTAAGTCGCTCTTTCGTTGTATTCCAATCGTAAGAAGCCCTAAACCAAATATTATCGCTTGTCCACTGAAGCAGCAAGTTAGAACCGTTTTGGAGTTGCACCGAAACGTCTAAAAACTATCTCTAACAGCTCTTTCGTTCATCGCATAGCACTACAGAAGACTCCAAACACTTCATTCTCGTGTTGAGCTGTTGTTAAAAACTATTCACGTTATTTTGAACATTGGCTTAAGTGTGTCCTTAAACCATCTTCACGTTGGAGTGCCGAGATTCATACATCGTTACTGTACCGTAGCTGTACTTTCGCGATCTTTCGATCTTCAGATCTTTAGAATTGTTCTCATAGTTAAAAAACACACACAAAGCAAAATACGACTCTATGGCTAAGACAAACACTGCTGATCGCTTAGCTCCTGTAAAAAGAGAGAGGAGAACGGACAGACGACAGTAAACAGAAAATGTCACCGATTCGACAATTTGAAATTTTGCTCGTGCTGAGGAAGTGAAGCTGGCGTCTGTCAACAGAGAAGCAGTCGTCTCTAAATAACAGTAGGAAGTTTATTTGGTTGCGATGAAGTTCTGAGAATCAATGGGCTGATTAGAAACTCTCGTGCTGACATTGAAACTACCAAGACAAATAGCCGATCTACCTTACACATATTATATAAAATTATTTTCAACAGAGTTGATTGCGAGTTCTTCAGCTTTTCCTTGAGACTCAAGATATGCTAAATAAACAGCCACATGGAAATATTCAACTAAGTGATTATAAATGAAGATTATGTGTAAGTTTATTTCAATAGTAAAGGGGAAATAACTTTCTTATTTTCTTGTTTTCTGTATATATAACTTTCTAGAGAAATATCTTGTTTTTTCCTGGAAGAAATCACTCTGGACTAGTCATGTTTTGCACTGATTCGTAAAGGCTGGATTTATCTAATTAAGCCAAATTATGCAATATTTTAATGGATTTGGATGAATACGGAGACAATAAAATCAATTAATTTTTACACAACCTGCCAACCCACAAGTTAATTAATATGAATTATTGCATCTCTTATTTTGAAAATTGCAGAGCCTTACTCAAATGCACGATGCTGGCCTTTCTCGGTTCAGTACGTTAGATAGCGTTCTCTGCACCCAAGACATGATTAACGGTTTAAATCCCTTCGCAGCATAAAACAGTAATTTCTTTCCCTGGGGGAATTTTGTTTCTTGTTTTACGATAGAAAAAAGTAGTACTGGTTACAGCAAATGAATAATATCCGTTTTTCTCGCATAACAAGCACTTACTGAATTCCTCCATACAGAAGAACTTAAAAGATATAAGTAAGGTATTGTCTAGAATATCTCCTGGGACACGTAGAAATATCATGTTGAAGCTCATACCTTCGTTACGTAACTAAGCATATTTTGTATTGAACAAATTGTGCAGTGCCGGTAAAAGAAAGTACCGCTGGATAGTCCAATAAAGCTCAAAGATAGTCATTTCAATTCGACATCAACAAATTTGAGTGTTTTTGGAAACATATAAATCACGCACAAGTTTATTCTGCAAAATCTTTAATAGAGAAAAGCGTTTCGACTGAGAGTCACCACACATATAACTATTGAGACAAGAACAGCCGTTCACAATGCAGAATGTAGAAAATCAACTATCTTGAGGGAACTCAAAGTAAAAACTAGCGAACTGCGCCTGACGCGCGAGAAAACGCGCTCTAAGGCCTCTCATTGACTCCTGGGGCATCGACCAGAAGCACATGAGGTAAGAACCGCGGACCGGGGTGTTAGGCAATTGCGCTTTCTCGTTCAACTACCGAAAGAAAACTGATAAAAGAAATTGATGAACAAATAAATGAATAAAACAAAAGTAATGGCTTTGAATGTTGGAGGGTGCAATTGGCTTCAGATTGGCCCCCGATTGCTGTAAATGAGGCGCGGGTTTTCTTGGCCAAACCCAAACAATCGTGGGCCACTTCCGACCAACTGAAAATTGCTCTAAAACAATAACTTAAAGCCTAGCTAAGGTGGCAGTTGGAACTTAAGTTGTGATCAAATGTTTCTTTTCTGTTCGGTCGACTTACAGGGGAGGAATGAGGTCAGCAGTTCGGAACCACCCAACTGGGATAAGGAAGCTGATCGACTGCGTGACGCCATCCAAGGATTGGGCACCGATGAAATTTCCATAGTTAGAGTCTTGGCCAGATTGACCAACAGACAGAGAAGGAAATTGCTGAGAGTGTACAAGGAACGATTTAATGAGGTAAAGAGAAATCAAGGTTTTAATATTTATGCTGAAAATGTTAAACAATTCTGGAGTACAGGAAAAAATGAGGAACGGGGGTCCAGTCAGGGTGTTGGCGTTGAATATGTTGATATCCCTTCCGTCCGCCTTAATGCATTATTAAGCTGATTTGCGGTTTTAGCATATTCAGAAAATTCTGTAGAGAAAGAAAAAAACAAACATGAAGACACTCAAACAAACAAAAGTTTGTAGGCTGCCTACCCTCCGTAAGATAATGCGTTTGAACCACTCACTGATGAAGAGGTTGTTGGAGTATTTTAGTGAAGTTTGCGCTCAGCCAAGCGACTTATCTATAAATTTTATTTGAAAAGAAATTTTATGTTTTCACTGTCAACAGGATTTAGCAACTGTGCTTGAAACAGAGCTGAGGGGGGCAGCTAAGACAGTGGTAGATGCGTTACTGTACACACCTGAGATGTACAATGTCACTTCATTAAAAGAAGCCTTTGAAAGCAAGGATTACGATACGGTTGTGTCCATTATAATATCAAGTAGAAATGACAGTTTAATGGACATGAAGGAAAAGTATTTTGCTGGTGAGTACAACTGTTTTTTTTTTTTTTTTTTTTAATTGAATCCGAAGGTCGTTGACTATGTTCGGTTCAGATCATTTTTATATGATTTGACCTCATGTTCATCAAGTACTTGAACAATGATTGCATTTACCGTCACTTTTGTAAAAAGATTAATTATTTTTCTGACAAATCCTCTCAGCTACTTACCTTTATTGGTCTGCATTATTACTATTACATTCATTATTTTTATCATCGTCGTCATCGTCAACATCGTCTTCTCAAGAGAAACTAATTATCTGTAATAAGAAGATATAATTTTCATACAAATTGAGTAAAATCGTCAAATCTGTTTAACCTCCTTGTACAGAGTTTAACAAGACATTAGAAGATGATTTGTCCAAGATACCAGACAAAGATGTCAGGCATATTGTGATGTCGTTACTTAGTGTCGATCGATCTTCTGCCAAGAAAAGAGCTGATAAGGAAGCGGCAAGAATAAGAGCCACCTTGTTGTTCAATGATGGTGACATTCTGTCTCTGTTGTGCGAAAAAGTTGGCAGAAATCAACTGAGGGAGACACTGGCTGCTTTTCTGGAGTTGCATAGAATCAATATTGGACAATTTATTGAAGAGAAATGTTCAACTCTATCGAAAAAAGCGCAAGACACCTTAAAAGATTGTGGTAAGTACGGAAATAATAATTCGAATAAGAGAAATGGCGTACGACGACGGCACCCGAACTGTTCCGAGTCCACTCACGAGCCGATCGGAAAAGAGCCCGAATATTCAAAAGTTTCTGGCTGTTGCTAACGAAAACACCTGATCATCATACTTGGCTTTCATGCACATGTTTGTGGGTCATGTTTGTACTTGGAGATTGTTGCCTTGTTATCTAGAGTTATGCCCACATCTGAATATCAAATGGCAAAAAAATAGCAAAAATTTAAAACGTTAAAAACTGTGGAAAGTCGGTGCGGGTTGTAGGCTCAAATAACGCCTTTCTCTAGATTACTGTGCGTCGGTCCTCCTGGTTCGGGGAGGAGCGCTGGCTCATTTCCTGAACAGTGAAGTCTTAGATTCCCAAAGTTTCTTCCATGCTTGTAACTTTAACCTGAAACTCATGGAATAGAGTTTACATTGATTGTGTATCATTTGCACTCTCCTGTTACCCTCACAGCTTGATGTCACCGCGACAACAGTATTATCATTAACTTATTTATCTATTTATTAAGGAATCTCATTGTTTGCAGTTTTATTGATTGAAAACCCTCCACAATATTTCGCAAAGGAAATGGCAAAGGCTGACGAGCTCAAGATATTGAGAATGATGGTCTCTAGGTCTGAGGTGAGAGTCTTAATTTGTGTTCAAGGAGAGAATATTTTGAGCTCTAATAGAAGTTTGTTAGATGATAAAAAAGCAAATAATGGTTTAAAAAAATGGCATATGCACATCCTTGATATATCTACGAAAGGACGTCCCCGAATCACAAAGAAAATAGCCTGCTCATATGAAGCTGAATGTTTCAATTTCTTACAGATAGACCTTTATTACATCAAGAAAGAGTTCCTCAGCATCTACTCGAGACAACTCCATGACACCATTGACAAGCAGTGTCGCTTTGATTACGCCAGACTGTTAATAGTGATACTGGAATTACGTGGACAATACACTGAGTCAGCTAAGAAGAGATGATTTATGGCAACGTATCGCATGTTGTATCCCAGATCCCCGAGGTTTCACTTCGTGTAGCCTCACTCAGAATGAAACGAAGGATCTGCATGGTAATAACGCCCTGTAGGACAGAAATCGTCTCTATCCATGGGTAAAAACATATATACCACAGAGAGGCTCGTCTTTTTAAGACATTTTGGATGGCGACATTATAAGTACTAAGAGAAGTTTGGTTGAGGCAGTTAATTGTATTGATATATCATGAAATCTCTCTGCTGAAAATCTCGCATTATGAAGAAAGGAACAAGTGAAAACAAAAGGAACACTGTTGAAAAGAGAATTTCAAAAGACAAGCACAAAATCTAACAATATTATGAGACAAAAAAGATAAATATATAATAAAAAAGTAATTTTTTAACGAGCAGTTTGATCTGTGTCGATTCCTCATACGCGAAATTAAAAGGGGCTATTTAGTTCGGTGAAAGATCCAATATGAAGGAAAGTGGACGAAAAATAACTGAAACAAGTTGACCTCAAACACATATAAGGCGGTTTACAAATTCCACCGCATGGCCTCCACTCACGCGCGCGTGCCAAAAAAAAATTCTCTGGCTACAGATCTAGATAAGAAAAAAATTGGGAGGAAAAAGATTGTCATTCAATAGCCCCGTTTTTGTGACAAGTTTCTATTATTTAATTCAACAATTTCACAAATGCTATGTACAAAGCTTTGGAGACTGACATCCAACAACATTCTTGAAGGGCTATGTTTTAAAAATGTATAACAGTTAACACGACTAAAAGGTAATAAATAGCTGGATAAATATTAAGTACGTGTAATAAATAAATAAATAAATAAATAGACTGAAATCCAACAACATTCTTGAAGGGCTATGTTTTAAAAATGTACAACAGTAAACACGACTGCCAGGAAATAAATAGCTGGATAAATATTAAATACATGTAATAAATAAATAAATAAATAGGAAGTTATCAAATTTTTATCTACATAAGATGTGAAAATCTTCTAAAGCTGTTTTCACACGCTATTCCAAAGTTATAACAGGTTTTGCTAAAGAGTACCACAGGTTTAAATTTACGACCTTAGACACTATCGCCATCATAAAAGTATCATTTTTTCCCTATTGGGCAATTTGACGTTTAGCACTCGTTGTTAGCACACTTAAATTAGTCTACCTGTTTGTCTATTAACGAATTTTAAACACTCTGACCACTCTGTAAGCTTATAGAAAGAGCTATACTCCTTAGTTTGACTCCATTCCATAAAATGTTCCCCAAAGATTATTCCCACAGCTGCTTAATCAAACACGGACACAGAAAAAGGTTTAATACTCGAGAAGTCCCTCTCTGCTGAGCACAAAGTGGTCGTGAACAACCAATGCAATCATCAGGGTTTGGATTTCGCTGTTTACGAAAGATTCCAACTGACCATAAAGAATAAAATAAGTAAACAAAGCTCTCTTCTTCACCAAATTTTCGCGAATCTGAGTCACTGTCATGGTTTCCTTAAGAACAGAAATTACACTTAAGCGTGTATGTGAGTAAGGAAACTATGGCTGTCTGCAAATACATTGCGTGATGACTTGAAGGAGCGCTTCCCTTGGATTGGACTGCAACAGAAAATTTAGAAACTACCTTAACTGACGGATAAAAGTAAACTAAATATGATTTTAAAGTTACCCCAGATTTTTCTTCCTGTCTCCTAAATTAGTATTTGTATGGACTGATAATAAATATGGTCAGCATCTTTGATACAAAACTTTTGCAAGTAAACCAGACAGAGAGATTTATTACGAATTCATTACGATTACAAATCTAAAAGTTACTATTCAATGTGGATGTCTCTGATCATGTCACTTTAAAGACAGTCTAAGAACACTCCTGATCTAAAACATGAAATCAAATTTTTTGGCAATTACATACATACCAACACTGCAAGTTATTGCCACACAATTCCATCTGCGAGCACGGCAAACACTGTAGATTTAGAAACAACAATTGGCAATTAATAACTTCCAGTGTGAATGAGGCCTCTCCTGTCATATTTTCTTTCATACAAATAACTTCAAAATAAATAATGTAATGGGAAAACTGACCAAAGTCAGACAAAAACATGGCCACAGGAGCCAAATGTTATTACTGTTTAAATAATTCAACATGAAACGCCAAAAATTTGGCTAACATATTTCCAGTTACTCCAAGAACTTAATAATAGTCTACATCCAAAAAAATATAAATAAATGAAACAAGATGGGAGAACCAGACAGGATGAGAAAAATATGTAAATTAATTCAAGAAATACAAAACTTGTGCAAAATTACAATGGATTATTTGTTTATTTTACAGCTGTATAGCTCACCACTCTTTGCAGCCTCTGTTTAGGAGTAATAACTCTCCTTCCTCATACAATTTTCCTCTGTAATTGCATTTCCCTGGTTAGACAAAATATGAGATTAGCATCCTGATACCCAAAAAATGTTGCTTATTACCCATAAATGATCACAAGACGCTAGCAACAGTGTCAGTAAGTGTCAATTGAAAGTGTTCTGCAATTGCATTGATTTTGCTTTTATTTTGCTATAAGATTGGTTGCTACTCCCACAATCAGGGCAAAAATTAATATATCACCCATGACTTAATCACTCACAATTTCCCACCCTTAACAAAGTTTGCTTGTTCGTACTTTGAGTTCTCATCCAACACCTTGCATTATTTCCCTTTGCTCTGATTGGCAGATTCCAGCCCCTTTGAAATATCCCCTTTTTTCTGATTGCTCTTCTCCTTTGCAAATCAACCCTTCACATCCTAACATCAATATGCATATTCTCCATACTGTTCTCTAAACATTTCCTAAGGTGCTGACAGGGAGAATTTGTGTAACAATCAAGAGCTTCTTCAGTTGGTGATCACTTCCTTTATCTTCATGACCTTAATGAGTGATTTATAGGTCATAATGTAGGGAGACAGTAAATGCTTGTTACTCTTAGGGGTTACACTTAGGGTTAACTTGATTGTAAAACTTGCATGTTAATTAGAATGCAATTATACAATCCTTTTTGCTCACCTTGTAGACAGTTCACATCAGATGAGCAAATGATTGAGCCATTCTGACACGAACTGTAAAAAATTGAAATCTGTGATTATGCCATTCGTAACTCAATTCAATGGTTGTTTTTATCATTCACCAATTATTTGCAGACTGCAGCTATCAATTTTGACAGTTTGCTTCTGAAATTGCTTTGCTTGAACAGATGCAATGTTTTTGATCTCATCCGTATCTTGAGAGAAGTTGGCTTTGATTAACATCATGAATTTAAGCTTCTCAACTTGTCAGAAAAAAGAAGTGGAATTTTGACACAGGTCTAAAAATAATTGGGTAAGCATAACATTATCACTTTATTTCTTACCAGTTTTGACAGGGTTGAGAAGGAATTGATTCTCCATGCTTGAAATATTTTAAGTCCCTCTTACAGCCTGGAATTTATATATTGAAAAAAAAAAAATTAATTCTTATGATCTTACCTCTAAGTATAATTGTAGTCCTAAAAGTTTCTTTATATCATATGATTATCAATATTCAAGGTTGCAGAAGCCTGAATTTTTTCCTATCATTTTCAATCAGTAATTTACTGACCAAGCTGACTTTGACCATTTTAGTGAACAACAGAAGAAAAAAAAAAGTTAGAATATCATTGTGAGCTTCATGAAATGGCTGGGGATTGAGAATAAAACTTTACACCAAAAAAGAGTTGAAATACAGGGCCAAGTTGTATAAAGGTCAGATAACGCTACCAAACAGATAAATCACTGTCCTGCAGATGAGTGATAGCAAAACATATAGCGTTATCCACCGGATAGAGATTTATCAAGTGGATAGCATTATCCTACCTTCAAACAAATGGGGCCAGGTCTTTTGGACTGTTTTCAGGGAAAAAAAATATCAATAAGTTCTATTTACATGATGATTTGAAGAACAATCCACAGATATGGAGTTACAGGGCCATGCAGTCTTTTCACACCACATCATACCTTAAATTTGTGGGTGAGTCAATTCCTTTCTGTATTGGGCTGAATTCCTTCCAAAATATGTATCAGATTGGGGGAAAGATCAAATTTGAAGAGTAGGTCAAGAGAAAATGGTTTGTGTACAGTCCAGAGTTTTCTTACCTAAATGACAAATATTGCTACTTGAAGTACTGCACTTTATTCTCCCAGCTTCACATGTACAACACTTGTGATCTAGTACAAATGTTTCACCAGAAGTAAAACGTTTTCGGGTAAGAATATCTACACACACTGGAGAAAGTGAAGAAAATATAAAACAGATGATAAGCTACTTCTGTCTGTGACTACAATCAGATCAAGTACTTATCAAAGTTTTAAAGGATAATGTTCTGAAGCAAGGTCCAACTCATTAGGCCAAATGATTGCTCTCATGGCTTATCATTAACTGCTACTGAAGATCACAATTCACGCCTTAGCATAAACTGGGTGTTGCCTGGGAATTCCCGGTTAATGCTTTTTCCCACTTTGCAGTGCCCAAAGCATACATCAAGAGAGAAAATCTTTTTAATTTGATATTTCTTGACATAATATGAACATTTTGCTGGTACAAATGCAGTTAAACGTTGGCATCACTTGTATAGAGACATTCAGTTTCTCTGGCCCCTCCTGCAAACATACAATGCATATTTGCTGACCAATTCTACTAATACATACATCTATCTTAGAAGTGTTCCTAAAGGGATAGGTTTGTTAACTTTGTGGGTCCTTCACCTCAGATGGCCATAATAAAACTACCTGTTCCTACAACTCTTTAACTCCCAGACAGAATATCTCCTTACAATATTAGTACAATATCAAGCATAGAAGTGATGAGAATAAAGTAGGACATCAATTAGGGGACTGTCAGTTGATTCAATACCAAATTCTCCAAATTGACATCATAGGAATTTTACAACAGACAGTTAGGAGAATTAGTAATGAGATCTTGAGAGTTAAAGGGTTAAGAAAAGGTTGTTAGGACACACTTACTCTTGGTGCTGCTGTCAGTTTTGATATCTGCCAACATACACTCTCCTACACAACTACTCCCAGGCAGCGTTGGACAACAAATGTGCCTTCCATAATTGATACAATCATCATCCTTTTTGCAGGGTATTTTACAAGGTGACCACCTATTTTGTGAATTTATGTCACTGCTGTCAAGCTGACAGGTTTGATCTGGAAATATAAAGATAGGTAAAAAGAATTCCAGTTGCAACACATGAGTGCTTTGAATGTTAGACTAAAAGCTTAAACAAATTTCGAGCTGCCACATGTAAAGCTTAGGAAAAGACTACAAAGTTCTTTATTCTGTGAAAAACACCCTCAGATGCAAAGATCTCAATGTATTTGCTCCATATTAGCTTTACTAGAATTCTAGCAGTCTTTTTAAATATTTTTCCAACCCTTCAAGTAAACCAAAGTGAGCGCGACAATATTGAAAGCTTCTGCGCTTAATTTATGCAGCAATTCTCTGGCGCTTTCATTTGGAGTGATTTATTCCGACGAACTTCATCCCGTTGACACAAAGTTTTCTTTAGAAATTTCTTTGTGTAATATTCAGTTATCTGAGTTTCGGCTTGAATAGTTTCCACTGGCCACGGAAAGATCAGTCGTTTTACAAATTAAACATACATGACAAGCTTGTGGCATTTTCATCTATGTGTTAATTACTTCAAGAGCGCAAAACAATGGGAACGGAACAAATACGTTTAGCACAACATGTGCCGCATGCAGCGAAAATATTTCGCGAGACGGCGTCCAAAAATTACACCTTGACATTACAATCCTATAAAAATGCGTTCAAATTCCTTAGAGAAAGTGTAATATGTAAAAATCTCTATACCTCCATGCGCATTTTCGGTGCTTGTGTTTCGCGGGTGAATGGAATTTTGACTCCGCGAATTTACAGCGAGGGTTGAGATCAAAGCGAATAGAACCACATAAACCGCACGTGTTAAAATCCAGTCAACCATTTCACGACTATCCAAAATCAACTCGTGGTGAGAAGAAAAACAAGACGCATCGGCTCAACAAGTGGACAATAGTTATTAACATAATCTCTCGCCTCCGCAACGTTACGCACTCATACAAAACATTGACCGTGACAAGTTGCGAGGGACTGGGACGCCCAAAACATTTAGATGAATGGGTGGCAATTAGATTTCTCTTTTAGTTTATTTTATCTATTTATTACAATCTGTGGTCAAAAAGGCCAAAGGATAATCTGCAAAGGAGTTCGAACCCCATATAAAAACAGATCACCTAAGAACTAATATAAATAAACTAAAGATAATAAATTCAAGAAATGAATTTATGAAAAGGAAAAATACTTAAGAATCACTAATAAATTTCTTAACTCTAGACTTAAAAATATTTACATTATCAGAATAACGATTATCAAAAGGTAACTGATTCCACATGTCAATTATTCAATGGAAAAAACTATACTTCAAGACATTAGTTCTGGCATATTTCTTCTTTAAAGTTAAAAATCCTTAGACCTAGGTGAAAAGTGGTCTGCTTCAGAGTGGAAATCTAAAATTTTACTGACATCAATATTTATGATGCCATTATTTACTTTATATAAGAACGTCACATCAGTCAGTAATCCTCTCTTCTCCAGCGACATGAAGTTTAACTTCTTCAAACAAATGTCATAGGGATCATCGCTCTTTAAGATAACTTTAGTTGCTCTTTTCTGTACCCTTTCCAGCTTATCAATATTTCTTTTTGTTTAGGGAGACCACACCACCAAACTGTTTTCCAGGTTTGAGCAAACCAATGAGCAATAAAGAGTACGCAAGGTCATAGGGTCACCTAGACCTTTACAAGTTCTTTTAATCAAGCCAAGCATTGTGTTTTTAATTTAAGATGCATTTCAAACTACAACTGTTTTTCCTCAACGTAGTCTCAAATGTATCCACCCCAGGATCCTCCAAAATATAATAGATCAGTAAGCCTTACAAATTCACATATACTAAGAAAATTATGAATTGCCAGAATGAAAGGACATTTCAAATCAAAAACTTAACAGTAAGATAAAGATTTGGAATGGTTTTAATACAATGGTGCTATACCATATAAAAACAAGAGTACTTTCTTACTCACAATACATTAACTTTCCCCACTTAGACTCTGCTAGATAAACTTTATTAGGGAAAATTCCATCAGCAACCCAAATTACCTCACTATGTGCTTGGAGTTCAAAAACAAGCAAGTGAAGAAACAAACACAAAAACAAAAGACGTTTTTTCCCAGCCAACAGTGAGTCTCTATCTCCCAGTAGTCCATTTAACAACTGAGTGCTTGGTTGCCAAGCCTTTGAACAGGAGTGAGGCTAAGTTGACCCTGTTATGATACAAACCTTGCTGCCTTTCAAATGCAGCAGGTTTGATAACAAATACTTTGTTATCATGTGAACTAGATATTGGTCTCTATCACAATATGGTCAACTTCAGCCTCACTCCAAATCAAAGGCTTGGCGACTAAGTACACAACTGCAAATTGGCCTATTGTCATAATGTGTTAATGATCAACAATTTGCCCATTACTTGAGTGAAGTCAGAAATTCAAAAGCTGAGAAGTCTAACACACAAGATGCATTCAATTAAAAGTTTAGCTTCTGCATGCACACATGAAACAACAAAATTGGGGATGATAAATCACATGTTAATTTTTTCTTGGTAAGTGTAATTATTAGATATTTCTGGTTAATACCTCACAAACTTCCCTTTTAAATCAAGGTGATGAGATGTTTGTAAGAAAAAGAAAGGCATTTTCTTAAGTTACACTGTAAAACCAGCATTGGTGTGTAGGTGCAATTCTACTTGAATATTATTCCCAAATAATCTGAGAGTTACATTAATTCCAGGCAAAACATGCCAGAAAAATTCACGAAACACAAGTATTCTTGCCCAATCCATCACAAGAACTACATACTTATTTCTACATATGAAAACCAAACTCACACATTATAATATCAACTCTCAAACCATACACACCAGAAATTTAAATACATTTAAAATTTCTTCTTTAAGATTTTGTAAAACTAAAAGCCTAATAATTATCATAATCACAAGGGTTTCAATGATTTCTTTCCATAAATGGCTGCTTATGGTGGAAAAGAGAGCTTAATGACTGGAAAGGGGGCTGTAAGGCAAAACCCAAACATGAGTCTGCTTGCAGGCTAACATACAGCAGCTAGAGGTCTCATAAACAGTGGTAAACCATTAGCAACTGGCTTTTTTGGAAACCCCTGTAATCAGTTGAATGTTACTACTACTTAATAAGAGCTTAAGTTAGATTTCATTCTCATAATCTTTATAACCTTCTTATATGCTACACATTTAAATTAGAAATAAATTTAAATAATTCCTAGCATATCTAGGTAATGACATTTAATGATATATCCTTTCTTAATACCATGAATGAAGGAAAAGTTAATGTCTCTTGACTTCACCTTTACTTTGTTAACCTGACTTGAGGCAAGAAATAAACACATTGGTAAAATAGCCGATAGAAGAGGACGCAAGTGTTGACTTAGGACATTGTGGGGAAGGAAAAATGGGCAAGTTCTCATTTTGGCAGATTTTGAAATCTGTTTATGATCAGAAAAAATTTAGTTCTGTATCATCTCAATAATTGAAATTGTATAGATACTGTATGAAATTCCCCAGGAGATAAAAATAGATCATCTCCCCAGCATGATTCATTGGAACATATTTGCTCTTTTCCACACTACCAACACTGACAAAATGACCAAGATCAAATCTAGTAGAAAATTAGCACCACCTAATACATCATGACATTGCCATGGGAATTATCTTCACATCTGCATGGAATGTTTGTTGATAAAACATCATCCAATTGATTTCTTTCCAATTTTTTTTTATCAAATTTAGCAAAATATCATGAAAATAGCTGAGAGATTCAAAGTTACATATTTACTATCTAATCACTACGCACCTGCTGGAGGACAACCAAAGAAGATTAATCACTATTTATCTTAACAGTTAACAAAAAACCTCTGTTTTATCTACAGATTATCACAAGATGTGGTGCTAACTAACAAATTGAACCCTTTAGAATACTGATAAAACTTTCTGATGTTGAAGGATACATACACAATACATGAGACTCTTCACAATTTTACGTTTATCTAAGGCGATGATTCTGGACTTAAATGTTCAATCCTCTCCTATTTCTGAACTGTTTTTTCTAAAAAGGAAATGTTCTCCAGTGACATTATGTCTGTATTAGTATCCTTTTCTCACTTTATGCTTGTCATGAGCCAAACATTTCTTGAGAAGCGTAAACCATGTACAGGAATCCATCTTCATCCTTCTCTTCCTTGTAAACTTCTGCCATTGTCATAGACATGCTTGCTAAACTTTTGTTGTTTACAATGAGGTAGAAAGCTTGTGTTGATGATAATGACATGCGATTCCTAAAGAAAAAAAAAGAAAACAACAATAAGTTACAATTAAAAATAGTTGGATGGAAAAGAAACTTTGCAATTACTCTTTAAGACACATGAGTTATAGTTATTAATTTAAACTTTGATCTCTAGTGACTAGCATCTAACTTCTCCCTACAAGATCACCCCTGAATCAAACATTAATGTCACAAGAATAAAGGAAATGATCACCAATTAAATAAGCTCTTGATTGTTACACAAATCCACCTTGATAGCACCCTTGGGAACGTAAGGAGAACAGAGTGAAGAATTTGCATACTGTAGGGTGAATGGTTCCAGCAAAATTGTATATCAAGCTGGCAATTAGCTCAGTGATTGCTTTTTCCTCTTTTGGCTTAGCCATGTAGATAACTTGTTTATCTATAGTTCTTATTTCATACAGCTTTCCATATCTCTAATGGACTTCACATTAACTACTCAAACAGAGACCGACTCAAAATCAGGACATGTTTTTGCAGCTTGTTCTAAACCAAATTAGTAAGAAAATCATGAAGATGGTTTGTTTCAAATCCATTCACAATGAAAAGCAAAAGATGTATCAAATTCCCCTTTAGTTTTGGGAAGAGTCACTAACCACAGATAAGAAACAAAACTAAAATACTGACATGATGACATACTGGAGAGCTTAAGTACTATTTACAAAAAATTTTTGAATATTTGTCAGGATCAAAGTTAGTATTGCATACATGCAATACCCAACAATTTTTTTCATCATTTCATTCATGTTAAGACTTGAAAGAAAACACAATTATTTACACTCGCTAACGATGCAATTCTTAATAAACGAAAACAAAATAATACGTGTTTGACGACCAAGACAATCCTTGGCAGATAACATACTTAATGTGTTTTGAGAACAAAAGCCTTTCATTTTTAATTTACCAGATTAAACAAGTCTACTGTAATACCTCTATTTAGATTAGAAATTGAAGCATTTCTTCAAAACCTGTAGGTCAACTGATAGAGGTTAGAGGATCATTCCCCAAGTCATTTTCTGAAAAATATCCATTTTAGGAGCAACACTTCATATAAATTTCACATAAGCACCGATACATGCATGAAGTCATAGCATGCTTTTGCTTGGCGTAAGAAGATCCGTATGAATATGTCTCACGTGGAAAGTCGAGTTATCTTCACCGATACTATTTTTATGACCTTACGTGACCTTGTAACTTAATTTCCCAATTCGACCACCGCGAATTTGTGATGCTCTGAGACGTGTCTTGAACTGCTTGGAATCCAATCAATACTAGAATGTTGACTAAAAAGTGCACTTTTCGAGCGCTCTACCAAACGTATGAGCGTTCTTATCTGTCAGCGAAGAGTTATTCGATAGCTTTCTAACTTAACATAAACGACCCTTGTTTAAGAGCTGCGACGTGATGATTATTCAAAACGGACCAGATGAAACAAAGCAAGTTACGTTCGAGCTGAAACAAGCGAGTTGCAAAATAACAAACACGCAGACTATCATACCACAACTTACCTAATGATTGTCACGAATTGGCTCATAGTTAGCTCTTGAGGAACGAGAAATTTTGTCTTATCGAGTAGCGGCAAATCCTTTTCTTTGTGATATCTCTCGACTATAACCTACAACAAAAGGTTACAAATGTGAATCTGCAGTTTTGTTTACCAAGAAACGCGATGGCCAGTTTTACCTAAATCAAAACTCAAATTACTCGCAAAACATTACTCACAGGAATTTTTGACGGGAACTTGGCTCGGATTCCAGCAACTTCATCTCTCCGACTGACTAAAATTAAAAAAGATAGCAGCGTCTGTTAAGGTTTGCATCGCAAGGACTGCAACAAAACATCAACAAAGCCGCGTGTAGGCAAAAAACAAGACAAATCGGTTTACCAAAACTTTTCCGCTGTTTGAATGGCCTTGTGGATTTTACGTCGCTGTCGCTCATTTTACAGCGAAAATAAAAGCCTTTGTGAAACTCCGCGTTCCTGATCAGACCTAACGGAAGATGACTTTTACAGTAATGACGAAATTTCAACGATCAAGGTACTCGTTTCGCAACAGGACTTTCGCTGTCCTGGTTCGATTGATTAATTGACCAATGAAATGGCTTGATAGATCAGCATACAAAAGAAGATGATGCAAGTCCTAACTGGTTCACCATTGGTTGTTTCAGATTCCCGAATGGGCCAGGGAGTAAGGGTTGGGGATGAAATGGGAACAGGAATCGGCCAAATTTAGAGCGGACTTTAAAAGGGGAGGGGAAAGGCGATCCGAAAAGTAAAAAAGTGGACACGATATTATCCTTTCTATTTCGAAACAAGGCCAAAGTAATCTGTTTTCTAACAGGGAAGCTCGAAAAAGCGTAGACGTTATGCAACAGATTTGACAAATATTTGTGTACGTGCATGCAGGGGTGCCCACCCCCGCAGCTTCTCCTTTTTTTTTATTAATTTCCGGGTTTCGTGAGATCAGATTTCTTCGAACAGTGTATCTCAATCTAACCTAACGCAATCGTCGATCTAAGAGACTCACCACAAAAATACAAACTTTGGTGAGCTCGGTTAAAAATGGAAGTTAACGAAATGAAAGGAGAAAGAGCGCTGTTCATATGCTTCAGATACAACGGTGTGGCATAGAAAGACCACGTTCACTGTCTATGAAAAGCAACTCACACATATGAAACACGCACATTCTATAAAGTAAGGGACATTCCTTGTTTCCAGCCTTTTTGAGCAAGAAGCGAGGAATCTCCCAGAAGCTCGAAGCCTATAGAAACATCAGCTACGAAGCCTGCATCATTAAGGAAGGGCTAACATACGGCTGACAGTCTGAGGAACTCTTAGGGGTGATAAATGACTTGAAGAAACTTTACGTGATAAGCCCTTCCTCTCGTGAGCCCTTGACTTCCAAATATCTTAACCCTTTGACCCATAAGAGTGACTAGCATCTAATTTCTCCTTACAATATCACCCCTGAATCATATGTTAATGTCATGAGAATAAAGGAAGAGATCACCAACTAAGGAGGCTCTTGATTGTAAGACAAATTCTCCTTGTTAGCACCTTCGGAAATGTACAGAAAACGGTATGGAAAATATGCTTAGTAATGCTCGGGTGAAAAGGGTCAAGAAAAACGTGTAAAATGTGTAGACGGGTTACGTGACACAATGTCAGTTTAACAAATCGACCACAGCTTTCTATTGTCTACAACCTTAAGACATGACGTCAACAGTATTCAAAACTCAGTGAAACCACATGGCGCAGCCAAGTGATTTTACTAAAATGGCTCTTGACCAAAGAGCACACGCTTTCGTTCACTAGCTCTTGTTGACATTCACGCGAATTTGCGTGTGGGAAACATTTCTCAGGATGGCTGTTATTTGCTTTTCTAAACATCATTTTTTCTTCCTAGGACATTATTTCAAATGGCTCACTGGAAAAAAGAGAAAAGAGAAAAGAGAAAAGACACAAACGAAACCGAGGGAGCTCACTTCGGACAGATAAATTACATCCATAAATGCTACGGTAGGGTCCCGGGTTCCCTTTGTAACCGAGCTGTTGACCCTTTCAGTTCCGAGCCGTTCATTCTTTGTTTATTCCCATATCTTTAAGCCGGGTTTATTTCAATGTGATACAGGAGAAAACCGAAAGAAGCTTCCGGCTTCAAATTAAAACCCCACATTGTTATCATGACCTTTTATCTTCCTATGTTTATATTTTGTGGTTTCCTAAGCACGTTCGAAACGGTTTGGCCTTGAGTCAAGGGAACTGGGTTGGGTACACAGGGTCGAGGCTCACACGGAACCTCTCGTGTTCATTCCCAGCAAGCTGCGCTTGTAAAATGAACAATGTAGAACAAGTTAGAATTATTTCATATGCATCGGTTCACATTTCTCATAAATATTCCTTCAAATAGTATTGTGCAAATCTCTACAAAAATACACCTGAACAAATACCCACATCTCCCATGCTGTCTATCGTTTCTACAGTAAATTGCTAATTATCATAATGACAAAATAAATATTCTGCTCAAAAATCGCCTCCAGAAATTGATGACACATCACCAATCGTGTCTTGATCAATGGAAACATGCGCATCACTGGGTATTGAGCTTTCCTCGTGAGTAACATCATCAATGGAAGGCAATGTCACTTGGATTTTAGTCGGCTTTTGTGGTTCTGTTTCCTTAGCTTCTACATCAGAATTTCTTCCGCTTCCCATTTCTAAACCGTGAACATCAGCTTGCTCGTCACTCTCGTTTTCACGAAGAAGAGCAGATCCATCTTCCCTTCGCTCCTCAACCGAGTAAGTCCGCTGCGAATTTGAAGGCTCACTCTCATGTTCTTCAACCTGAATCACTCTCGGATGAGAACGCTGAAGTTGTGTAAATGGCAAAGCATCAGCAGCACCGAGCGTCCCTGGTAACAAGTCTGACGCGTGAAGAGAGCGATCATCGACGCTCAGCTCTCCGTCGGCAATAGTTCGCACTTCCTCGGTCGTCCGAACGACTTCGTTTACGGGTAATGTTGGGTATTGCCTCTTGTTCGCATTATCTAGCTCGCGGTGAAGGTCTCTCGATACATCGGGGGATTCCCCTACTACTTCACCGGGAGAGAGGTTCCCAGAAGCTAGTAATAAATAAAAACGACCTGGTTAGTGCAATTTTCAGTTTATTTTGTAAAGTAGTACGAGATTGCCAAGCTACTAGTTTACTCTCCAATCTTACCCACTACTCCAACATGCGTTGTTCCACTTTTCTTCTGGTTTGAACGGGGCATGCGCGAACGGTCTCCTAACAACTCCCCTTCACTGGCCATACTACTCTCCGCTGACCTCATGTGGTGTTTAATGCGACTCAACAAAACTACCATTGGATCGTGCGGGAGTTCTCCTTCACTTCGCGAAACGTCAGTAATGGAATCCTAATATAGAAAATAAGGCTTCTTAAATGTTATACCTGACTTTCGCGAATAAGGGAAACAGAAAACAGGTACAAGAAAAAGCTAACACTTTCTTTGGGGTGTAAATTCAAATTTTTTTGGTGGCATCTGCCTACCATCATTAGAGCTTCAATGTTCGTTACTACTTGCACCACGGGCTTCTACGCTGTAGTTTTTCCTAACTATGAACTTAACTTAGTGAGCACAAAAAAGTGGTTCAGTCTCCTAATCAACGGCCTTGCGATCGAAATGGATTACCACGACTTCAAGAGAAGCCTCCCGTTAAGGTTCGTCACACTACCTACGGGCTGATTCAGTTGTTGTTGCCCGCGCGGCTTAGATCTTGTTCGGCTCCGCGTGAGTGAGCTGACTGATGATACAATCCTGAAAGGTCTGCGCATCTGGCTCTCTCTATCATATATCATTTACGCAGTTTTTTCACTTGCGTCAAACCTTGCTTAAAAAATATGAGAGTTGTGCGACAAAGTGTCGAGCTTTCAGCTTTCAGCCAATCCCCCCCCCCCCCCCACTAATCGACTCGTCACAGTCCTTCCTTCTTTACCTCTTGCCGTGAACAATATGACCTGCGATATGTCAAGTTGGTATTGCTCCGTAATATTTGTAAAATCATATTATCTATCAGGTAACCATTACCTCTCTAATGTCCTCTGTATCTCTCAGAGTGCTGACACCGCTGATCTGTTCTTCAGACTCACTGTTACTCCTACTGCTGTTGTCACTGGATCCTTGTCGATGTCGTTTGTCCGCTGGGCCACCTTTTAAGATGCCATTGAGAGCGACCCTAACGAGTTCGTTACGGCTGTCTGCGAGAGGAAAATATCACAGCTTTAACTATAAAAACAGAATGACACACTGACACTTAATTTCAACTCAGCTTTCGAAGAAATGGTGGAGACATGGACAAAAATGAGATGAAATAGTAAAAAGAATCAACAATATTGCCAATTTCGTCTATGTATGTAACTCTGATGAAAAACTGATCCTTTCGACGCTTTGGCAAATTAAAGATGTAAGCAATATCATCCGAGTGTAAGTTAAACACGACTCGAGCCAGCAATTGATTAGTAACTTACTAGCTGTGTAATTAAATCTAGTTCAAGTTCTCACCATCATCGTGTCCCAACCTTGTTGAATCCCAGTCCTCACCCATGGGCAATTTTTTTTCAGCGGCCAGTTGTACAATGGTTGGCGACAGAGCAAACTCTCCCTCGCTATACATTCCAACATGTGCATATGGCTGAATTATCAAACCAGAAGTAAGAAAAGACAACATTAAAACAAACACTTCTTCCAAAAATTTACAGTGAAAATTTCTCCTTACAAAAAATCGAGAAAATTATTAAAGATACCTTATGAGCTTTGAGCGCTTTTGAATTCAGAATCCGGAAGGCGGAAAATTTAAAACCAACAACCAATCAGGGAAAAGGAAAATATCACAAGAAGCCAATGACAACTCAAAGGAAAAACAGGCAAACCGCTTGAAGCGCGGGAAAAACGCGAGTTACCAAGTCGCAATTGGTTTTAGGTTTGAATCCGATTTGTTGACAGGATGGCGCAAGTTTTCTGGACCAATCACAATGCGAAGTAAAGCAAACCCAAGTAACCCCGGATTATCTTCGACATTCAGTTGAAAATTCCTCTGGGAAGTACTTCTCCCTGATTGACTGCTCTCAGTTAGGAAGACTCAGAAGAGAAGGGAGGGTGATACACTGACCTGTATTAATTCTCCCTCAGACATCTCCTCCTCGGTGGTTATTGTTGTTGCACCAAGGGTGGTAGATGACATGCTCGAAGGACTGCTGACTGAATGTTTCGTGGGCTGAGGAGGTGTCAGTTCCTTTTGACTAACCGCCGGTTCCTTTGGTTCACTGGGTTCTTCAACCCTGCGTTGAGAAACAGCAAAAAAAAAGCAACTTGATAGTTTTAGCTTGTGTAAGTATACACTAAATAGAAGTGAGCTACCTTTATCTTTTTTGAAAGGACACGATTAAGACCAAATACCAAACTGACTAAGAGCTTTTCCTAGTCTTTGAAGCTTGAAGTGATGACGAGTATCCCCTCTCCTCCTAGACGGGACCCTGATCTATCTCAAATAGCCTCTCTTGTCCTTTAAGTTCACCCATTTCATCTCCTTTGCGGAGAGAAGCACCGTGAGAGTGAATTATCTTGCCCCACAACTCAACACAGTGGCCCGGAGAGGTCTCGAACCCGGGCTCTTAGATCCGGAGTCGAGCGCGCTAACCATTAAGCAACAGCGTCTCAGAATTTATTGCAGGTGTAGACTTACATGCTTGGTCCCGGCTCGGGTTCAGGCTCCGGTGTTGGTGTTTTGACAACAACAGACGGCGGGGGCGTGGGAACTATGGTATCTTGCGATTCTCCTAGCTCTTGAACCGAAGCCTCAGGTGTAGATATACTGACCAAAGGGGAATGTACAGCAGGTGGAGTTGGGACTGGGGTAGTCACTGGAGTTTTGATCTCAGAGATCTATGATTTAAAAGGAAAACGAATAAATTCACTCGACTAGTGTCTGGCTGAAAAATACCAACAGTAATCATCTTAACTAACTAACCTGTTCACTAGACTGTTCCTTCTTCTCCATTTCTTCCTTAATCGATTCCACATCTTTTTCTTCCTCCTCCGCACTCTCCGATGGAATCGGCTCTTCGCTCGTTACTGAGGGTGTAGGGGAGCGTTCTGGAGTTACAACAACTGCCGACTCATGCACACTCTCCTCTGACTCTGGAGGTGTGTACTCGGGGGTGGGGGCGGGAGTTGGCAATGGTGTTCCTCTGGGGGAGGGTGTACGTGACGGGTGACCTTCCTCCGCAATTGGTTGCTAAAAAAATGACGAGAAAGTTGGCATTGAAAACTGCTCAATGGGTTCGTCAAACGACAAACAGCAAGAGAAGTAGATAAAGTATGGAATAAAAAGTATGGGAATAGAATTAGAATGAAAGGGAACGCAAAGCCACCTTGTTAAACATAAAATCCTCACGAGGTATGATGAGGCTGAAACAACCATACATGCCTACTAACTTGGTAAATTACGTGGGCGAATGTACACATTCAGTTGCTGCAACGTAGTTATTTTACTGAAAAATGACCAATGAAATAGTTCACTCACTCTCGAAGGTCGAGGACTAGCCCTTGGTTTTGGATGACCGAGAATCGTGGAAACATTCTCAGCGATTACTTCCCGAATCAAATTGGTGACAAGTTCCCTATCTACGGGAATTCCTGCGTCAATAAATAGCTGAATACCATCCTGACCTATCGCGGCAGCTGAAACAGCAAGCAGCAAAAAAAATTATATCATAGTAATGTTTACTGCGATTACTACAACCTTGTAAATAGAGAGAAACCCAACCCGTATCCCTGTGATCTAGTCAAATTCTTTCTGAAATACTCGGAGGTGGTTCTAACTACCAGTCTGATCTTCTCTCGGTAACGGACGAGAGAGAGCTTTAGACGAGAAGAAATTGGAACGAGAAATCAGCTAGAAAAGGTGAGTCGTAGTCCCAATCCAGCCCTTGTTCCTTCAATCATGAAAATGTCTTTTCCCTCCTAACTGGCTGGGGCAAATCACTTTTCTCTCACAGTGCCTCTAAATCAAACTGTCCAGGGGCCAACGAAATTCCTTGGGGAAAGGGGGGGGGGGGGAGGCGGGGAGTCCATGTTTGATACCATCTGGGATAGAGAAGCAACAGTCAGCTTTCATGCTATAGAGAGAGGGATAAACTCACGGGTGTAGGTCATGCTTCTGTAGTTCGTAGGGTGGATAACGCTATCCACTTGATACGTTTTGTTAACTCTTATCCGCTGGATAGCGATTCATCCAGTGGAGAGCACTATACGCCCTTTAAACAACTGGGGCCAAATATTGCGTGCGAAGACATCACCTAAGGTCTAACACTTCAGGAGCATTTATAGGTCGCCCCACAACTTGTAGACTGAGTATTTTTGAAGGCTCTTTTTCTTTGTTGTTGAGATTACTTCAGCTTAACGAAGCATAAATGGTACTCACCAAGCATATCATCATCTTCATCTTCTGTCTCCGAAACAATGCTACTTTCAGGGGTGGCCTGTGGCCTTATCAGGGTGGTAGGGTCGGGTACTGGTTGATTCATTTCACTTACAATACGCGCCAAGAGTTCCTGCTCAATCCTAACAAAAGAAGAAGTTTAATTGGTTAACAAGCCAAGTTCATCAACATTTCTGTAATACAACATGACGCGTTGTTTTGACACAAAACCTGGCGTAATCGAAATGGCCAATCAGATCAAAGAATAGCATTACAAGGAGTCAATGGGAACTTAAGCTGAATAATGAGAAACTTCTTGAAACGCAGGAATTCACGACTGCATAAGTTTGAATCTGATTGGTTCGAAAAGGGCCTAAAGAGTCCTCTGCGGTTGTAGAGTAAGAATGGTTTTGTTCACGAGTTCAGGACGAAAAGTCCTTTTTATCTCTAAAACGATCACACAGTCGCCTCAAGTTTGGTCAGGATCGGCAACTTTACCATTCCATAGCTCTCTCTTCCAGAGCTGCCTGTTGCCGAGTATCAGCTTCAAGAACCCCCCCTGTCTGCTGCACAGAAACAGGAGGATGTACTGGTGGAAACGGGGGGCCATTGTATGGTCCATCTTGTGCTTCTGTGAATCCTTCTAGTGTCAAGGGGTGCTGAGGTGTTGGAATTCGGTGGAAGTCATCATCTGCCTCATCAAGAGCCTGCGAATAGAAAGAGAAAAGGTTAACAGAGACGGAACTGTCCGAAATCGAACGGAATTAAACTCAAACCTGTTCATCATCCTTTTCCTGGTTCCCAGTTTCCGTGACGGCCAAAAAGTTCCTGAACTCCTGGTACTCAGAATCATCTGGACGGGAAAAAGGCTCTGGGATGTTCTAAGGGAGGACATCAGTGATCAGAAAATTTGTATCAATTCCGATGATATCATAGTTGAGTATGATTCGAAATAAACCATGGCAAGTTCTTTGTTTAAGATTTTAGCAATTAATCATCCATAAACGAAAATTGGATATGTTAGTGTACCTCAGTTTTAAAAATGTACTTAAAATACTTCCGAAAAACAAAATAAAAATTGAACTGATCGGTTGCTTACATGATACTGACATTGAAAGTAAATCTTATATGTCAACCACTTAATCCCAGGCATGTAAACTTACCGTGGCATACGGCAAACTCGACGAAGATGACGAAACCTCTGAAAAACTGTCGATATCCACTTTAGGTAACACCTACGGTTAAACAAATAACTCTGAAAGAATTTGCACATATTTTTTGTAAGAGCGCGAAACAAAAATGCAGCGGAAATGTTCTTAACCGCTTGCTGAGATTTCCCTCGCCTGTGGTTTTTTAAGTTTCGACTTTCCTCCATGGCTTAACATAATCTTTTTGGTGTTAGTCTACGGAAGGGCTTTTTGGTCCAACAGGACCTGTGTAAGGCTCTCCAATGGTGGAAGCGAACCTAATGGCGGGTGCCTGAAAAACGCCAGGGTCAATCGTTTGCGAGACAACCGCAGCTTTTCGCTCCCCCGCTCTTTCGCACGCCTTTGCTAATCAAGAGCCTGTGCCAAGTAGAATAATCCCCATAGAGAGAAACAGGATTTGAGCAAGATATGAAAGATACTCCTTAGAATCCATATCAGTTCACCAACCTGGACAGACAGAGGGTTTCGCTTCTTCTTTGCTGACGTCTTTTTGTGTTGTTTGTATTGATGGTCCATGTTCTCGTCCAGTTCCTTATCATACACAGTAATCACTGCCACATTTGGTTGAGCAGGCCTACTGGGTCTCACAGGAGTGGGGACAGGGGAATGGGCCTCAGATGTGTCAGTAGATAAGTTGCTATCTGGTAAGGGGCTCTCTGCCTTTGCTGCAAATTTCAAATAAATAATTTGCTTTAGACCTTTAAATTGTCAAACTTTGTGACTCTATGCGTCATTTCAGAAAGAAAAAGCTAATAACGTTGCAATAGTCGTCCATGCTATAGGAAGTGCTTTCAGAAAAAGGGAGAAGTAGCAAAAACAAGGTACCGACACTTTACACGTTCAAAGGGTTTTTTTTTTTCAAAATCAGGTAATGGTTCGATCACGTACAATAACAACTGTGCAAGCTTTGCTGCTATTGCTGCTAACTAAGAATATCAACCCAACCGACTCTCATGGGCGCGGCAACAAAGCCACACCTCTTACCAATTCATCTCTTGTAAGTGACACCCACGAATAGTTTATTGCCAGCTGGGAGACAATTTTGGCCAGTTAAAAAAAGTGGGACATTACCTTCTTCTTGAGTTGTGTCTTGTGGCTGTTGGGTGACAATGGGAGGTCGTAATGCTGGATCAGTCTTGGGTTTCCCCAGGGGTATAGCCATAGGTACTAATTGTCCCTCCAATGGCACGCCAACCCTTGACACCCCCTCTCCAACCTGTGACAAGTCCACCCTCGGGTGAAAATAATACTGCATGTCTTCTTTTTGTTTGTTTGGTTTCCCTTGAGAACCGAGCTCAGGTTTCCTGGCATCAGCTTTTTGCCCACTAGGTTCTGAAAATTCTCTCTGTGGAAAGAAACTCATATCCTGCAAAGCAGGTTTTCCAGGTAGCTTGCTGTCACCGGCCATGATCCCAGCCATTATTGCAGCTGTCTTAGGGTTGACAGGAGACTGGTAGTGCAGGTATGGTGCCTTAGACGTCGTCCTCTGTGGGTGGTGAGGTTGGCGGCCATATACACTTGAAAGGTACACTTCCTTCTGGGCTGGTGTCACTCTAGCAGACTGCTTGGAAGGGGCTTGGCTTTTAGTGGACTGCAAGGAAACATTTGAAGGGCTGCTAAGCTATAATTGTTAAAGCAGAGTTTTCCTATCTTGCACTTAATAGACCCACCGTAGCTTCTGGAGCTTATCCCAGTCTCCCTCACATGAAGCCACCCCTGGATGGGATACTAGGCCACTGAAGGCTACCACCCCTAGTTTAGTCATAATAGGTTTTCCTGTTAATTCTCTGCCCCCAACCCCTTTTGTTTATTCTCCTGGGCAGAAAGGGTCACTATGAGATTTACGTGTCTTGCCTAAGAACACAACACAATAACCGGGCCAAGTCTCATATAAGGACCTCTCAACCCATAGTCCATTCCCCTACCCATAAGGCAAGCCCATCTCAGTTAATTCCCCCCCACCCCCCTCTCCCTGGCCCATCCCCATTCAAGATTTTGTGTGAATAGAGTTTACTCCGCTTATTGCAAACTTTAACGAAAGAAAATGAATATCAAGCACTTAAATATATTTCAACCAACACAGAAAAAACCAGTTTGGTGCAAACAGGGCACAAGAATCTGTGTTCAATGACTACTTGCCTTGCCTCTCCTGGTAGAGGTCTTCTGTGGCAGATTTTCCTTCCCAGTACTTTTTCCACTTGGTTTATTCCCTGTCACAGTTGATCTTGTAGTTACTTTTGGTTCCACCCTTCTAGTCCCTGACAATGTTGTCTTTAGTGGTTGAGAGGTTTGCTTCTTCAAAGGAACTGAATTTTGTTTTTGCCCCAGAGTACCTCTATCCTCTAGATCAATTTCCCTCTAAAGAAAAAATGCTTACCTTTACCAAAAACTTGCTACTCAGGCACCTTCCCTTTCCCAATTAAATCTCAATTTCACAATAGCAACTTAACCAAAACATATTTTTGACACACTTTCTTACAAATAATAAGGGTTTCCAAAATGGCAGGAAATGTGTTATGAGGAATGCTGAGTAAAATGTTTTGAGGTCACGTTATAATCTTTGCTGGGCTACTAAATGCTCTGCGTAACAGAATTATAACACTAGATCAGGTTAAGATTCACATATTTAATGGTTCTTAACAGCATCAATGCAAAGTAAAAAATGGAATGATGAGCACAAGTAGATGAGTTGCATTGACAGGTCTCTGCAACCAAACACTTCAGATTTTTGAATGAATGTCCATTATACAAGAATGCAGCACACTTGATTTCCTTTAAAAAATAAATCAAGCCACTAATATAATGTTTTGTGGTTCCTTTGAAATAACAGGGTCTTTCTGTAACATGCAAAAATAAGAAATAATGAGGGAAATCCTTCAATAATCCTTTGACTCCCAGAAGTGATTAACATATTACTTCTGCCTATAATATTCATACATTATCCAGCAAAAAGGTAATAAGAATACTCAAACTTATTAGGTAAAAGCTGCTATCTTGATCTAACACCAAATTCTCCCAGCTACTTTACAAGGAAATGTGTAGCAGCTAGAGGGGAGAGTTAACAATCAGATCATGGGAGTTAAGGGGTCAACCCAGGAACTACCAGTGAAATTTACCTGCACCGCAGAGTTCATCTCTTTTATCTTTTTATCCACTTCTCTTCTTATTCTCAGCATTTCATCAAACTCTCTGCAAAAAATTAAGAATCATCCCACAATTGGCTTTGATCCTTTCACCCCTTAGTTTAACAAGCATCTAAATTCTCCTTACAATATCAGCCCTGAATCAAACATTAAGGTCATGAGAATAAAGGAAATGATCAACAACTACAGAAATAATTTCTCCTTGTCAGCACCTTAAAAAATGTGCACATAACAGTATGGGGAATATACATACTGATGTTAGGGTATAAAAGGATCAATCTTCAGTGACCTAAATTCATATGCAAGTTCTCAACTTCATCACATTGATGATAGAGCAAATACAGTTTGACAACACAAAGAGTCACATTGCTATTACAGAACTAAAATGCTAAGCATTTACTTGACATTGCATTACTTCAAAGCTGTTTTGCTCTTACCCATCAGATGAAGGAATGTTATCCACAAAATTATACAAATCATGTTCTTCTCTTTGTCTTATCAGAGTCTGTAAATTGTTGTCCAGATTTCGCCGTCGATATTGAACATCTTGGAGGAGGCGTTCTGCATCAGCTAAGTAGTGTGCTGACTTTGATGGCAGAAAGCCTGTGATGGAAATAAATGACCAATATTTATAGATATAAGCTAAATGTATATGGAAGAATTCCTTATAAAATGTTAGAAGAGGCAGTTTGGTAAATTGCTACATTGGAGAGGAAGAGGAGTTCTATTGAGGTCTTTCATTTTTACAAACACTTCATAATGACTAATTTTTATACAAATTGTAAAACAAATAGGACTCTAAAAGGCATGGCAAGGCTGAGGGTCTTCAGTTACAATAACATTCCCACTAAAAAATTAGCTTTCCTCAGCCATTAAAGGTGAGAATTTTCTGGGGAAACAGGTCACTTGATTTTCATTATATCTTTCTCTCACTCAGTTTCCTCCAACCATTAAGCCCCAGACACTTCAAATAAGCAGTCAGAAATCAAGCAAAGTGTAATGTAAGACACTCAAGAATTACCTGTTGGTCTTGATGTCACAGGTTTTCTTAGTGGGTGTGATTTATGAGTGGTTTCCTATCAAATGATACAATAGGATATTCAGTCTTAAAGCTGTACATTCATAGCCCCTCAATTTTTTCTGAGGCAGGGGAGAACCATGAGATAACAGCTGGTATGGTTTACATAACAGTCTCCATGAGATTTATGGTGAAATGTGACAAAATATTTTTGAGGCCTGAGCACTAGTTAGGCTTCAGTTAGTAGAAATCATGGAATATATAAAAAAGAAACATGTCGACTGATTGTTACTAATGATGAACAGAAGCTGTTACTCATAGAGAGTTTGCTTTGTCCAAGCACATAAAACTAAGATTTTCTGCACACCATGTAATGTTCACTTTATTGCTTGGATATGATTGCTACAAATTACAACAACAGCCACTCACGTGAAATTACATAAAACCATCCAAACATAGCCCCAGATTTACATAAAGTTATCCACATGTAATGTGTTAATCCCTCAAACAAATTTGTCAGCAACCATTATGCAGCAAATGACCAGCGAATTAATCTATATGATTTCACATATTCCTCGTCAAATCAATGTTATTTGACTTCTTAATTTTTTTAAAACTATCATATTATAATAAATTCTTACCAAATATTCATCTAGAGGTGAAGGACCATCACCAAGAGGTCCAACATGCAGCACACCAGAGTTTGTGTCACCCTATATGTATATGTTTTGAAATATCATTGGAGTTATTTCAACATGACCAAAAGTGGAACACACAAACAGTAACTAACTCCTCATTCTTTTCAGATAGTCTACATGTTACTTTCAATTTGTAGCCAGGCTTTTACTTTAAGACAACAGTAAGAAAGAAAACAATTCTTATGATATGCGTACAACTAGTAAATGTATACCTCTAACCCCTAACAATGATAAGCATCTAATCTCTCCCAACAGTATTACCCCTGAAACATTTATGTCATAAGAATGCAGTAAATGATCCTCAACTCAAGAAGCTCTTGATTGTTAGACAAATTCTCCTCATTAGCACCTCAGAAAATGTATAGAGAACAGAATGGAGAACTTGCAGACAGAGGAGTCAACTCAACTATTGCTATTTACCTTGACTAGCTGTTGTTTAGTCAGCTCTTGTTTAAGTCTCTCTGTCTCCTGCATCAATCGATATTTGACCAATATCATATTAGAAGATTGAATGACTAGTTATAGAATACTGATATAAAGACTGACTCAGAGCGGAAGTACAAACTGGAAACTGAAAAGAAGTTATGAGCTGTAGTTTGTAAATCAAAAGCAGTACTCAATGCTTTGAGGAGAAAGGAGTGAATTTGTTGATGTTTGACAACTTCTCCCTAGTGAATTATGGCCCAGATCACTGTGAGCAAGGAGGCTGAAATCCTCATTTGCTATCAATCTGCCCTCTTTTCAGTATGATGTCAAGATTGCTGTAGTGGGAACACACAATTGACTGAGGTCCAAGTCTACATAAGTTAAATGAGAGAGCAAGTTCTTCCTTAACTTACAGCCAGAATGTCCTTTAAATCAGTTTTAATTTTTCCAACATCACTTGACAACATGGCTGTCTCTGGTCTAGGTGGAAGAGAGTCACCACTAAATGAAAATAAAAGGAAAAAAGAAAAAAGGGAGAGAAGTCAACCACAAAAAAGACTAAAGCTCTTCAATCCAAATTTCAAAATCTATTTTAGAGATTCGATTCCTTAAAAATGAATTAAGATAAGTTCTCGCTGTGGTAAGGCTCTAACCACAAGTACTAGACATGCAAACCTTGTGGGGAATCCTTTGGTGCCCCCCCCTCCAAACAAATCATTTCCCTTGGCAGAATAATTACCAAAAAAAGAGGGGGGGAAGGCTATTGGGTGGAAGCAGAAGGCCAGAAGTGGTTGCTGAAGAGAAGCATGCCTTTCAAACATCTGATGGCTGACATGTATACATATACAAATATTTCATATCCCAAAGATCTAAGTTGTGAGATTAATTCTCTCTTATATTGATTTGCCACAATATACACCAAAAATTGGGCAACCTAAATTAAAAAAGTTGACAGCTATCAAGCAACATCTGGCTATTTCCAGAGGGTGACCACTGAAAAGGGTTTTTAACAGCTGTGTTGTACATAATCAACCAAATTCAGTCACATCCCTTTCACCTATGGTTAAAACTACTCAGGCATCAAACTTTCAAACACAAGCTTTAATGACCACAACTTTGTATTTTAAAATCAATGCGATACTTTTTGCACACAAACTTACATTCACAGGCAGTCCATCACTACATTTTTAAAATTGTTTTCAGGATTGCAATCCACTCTTGAAACTATGGATTTTGCAAGATGTCAAACAGTTTTTAAAAATGTACCTAAACTTTCCTGTGTACTGAAAGATCACAGAACAGCTAAGAGAATAGGGAAAAGAGTAGATGTGTCTATTTACAGGTTTTCTTTTTTGTCTGAAAAATCCCACCTTTGAAGAGAATTCTATTCACAAAGTCTCAAGTTTTAAGTTCCAATGATCATATTCTTAAATATTAACATTACAGAAATGACCAGCTACCCTTGAATAAACAAAAGCAACTTGCTAATAAGAAGCTACACATTTATACAAGAATTCTGGAAAATAATATCTATATGTTGCCTAGAGTATTCTTTTGACAGCGATAACTATTCTACCTGATAAGTGTCTCACACCTTTGGACTTAACCATGCACATTTTAAGGTAGCAAAATATTAGAAGGAATGCCAGTGCAATGTTGATGTTGCACAATTCTTAAATTAAAATACAGTAGCGCATCAGTCAAAACAAACAATTCTCTACCACATTTCATGATGGAAAAATTAACCTCATCTTGCCTTATGCAAATATTTTGCAAAATCAGAGAATTTTCCAAAATCCTGCACATTACATTCACAACTTTGAATTCTACACAGAAAGGTTCCTTTGACTAATGCAAAACCCCCAACTTCCACAAAGACACAGTGTCCTTGGCCTTAACTATATAGAACTCTAACATACAGCTGTTATTCTTGAACCTTCTACTATTTAGATGCAATTTGCAAATCTCCCTACAAATAATACATTTTCCTGTAAGCTTTAGACAAAAGAATCTGACATTTTGCTTAATAACACCCTCCAGATCACAAGTTTGTCTATTCCCATGGTCTGCTTGCTGGAATATGCATTGAAAACATAGGGAGAAGAGCAAGCTGTTTACTTCCAGACATTAGATGTGCTATGAAAAACTTCCTAAATTATCAGTTTACTATAAAAACACCATTTCACAAAATGTTTTATAAATTGTCAGGAAATCTTCTTGGAAGCAAATTAATAAAACTTCTCACATGAAAAATTTTGTGCAGGTAATTGAGGCAACTTTTACCATACATAATACACAAGAAACAAGTTCACAAGAGCCACACAAAAGTAATGATTCAGATTAGCCACTAAATTTGTTACTGCTATGGCAGAAAAGAAATTCCACCCTTTCTCTATGTTTCTTTTTCCTTTTTTACAGTGTATTCAGTTCCAAGAATGGTCGCAATTTCTCCTTGCATGAATGCCCAAGGCAAATCACTGCCTTGTAATGGGCATCTCTCTCCACTTGGACAGAAAACTTCTGAGCCAGCTCCTTGCTTCTTGATACTGTCACGTGAACAAGGGAAACAGAATTTATGGTGAGCAACAGATGGGCACTGCACAAAGTGGGTGTCTTCAAGCTTGTCACGACAAAGACTGCAAGTCAGAATATTCACTGTGGAGCTCCTTCCCTTCATGTCACCTTCTGCTGCATCTGGGCCTTTAGCTCCACCAGAGCTAGGTAAGGGTCTGGGTGATTGATGTGGGCGTGGTGACAACCGCTCACTGCCAGGTGAACCAGCCACAAGGGTATTTGGACCATTCCTTGAATCTTCACGTAGCACTGAGGTGGGTGGTAATTCAAATCGATTCATCATGGTGCCCATGGGAGATTTCACTTGTGTACGGGCATGTTCAGACACTGCCAGGCTTGGTGCACCCTTTGAGACTGCCAGTGACACCATCGGTGGAACTGAGGCAGATGGTATGGAACTGACTGGGGTCCCTGGGGGCAGTGGTGTCCCTGGTAAATGAACTGGTAGTTTGACACCATCAGCTGTTTGGTTTTGCACCCAAACACTATGTAAGGCATCATCCCGAGTCATGCGCCCATGCATGGCTCCAGCACGTTTTCCAGCTGCTACTTCAAATTCTTCTAAATCAATTGCACCTTTTCGCTTTCGCCCATACTGGGGGCCGGACCGGTTGAAGCTGAGATTCACATTGGGTAGAACTGGAAATTCTGCATCAAGCTGAGGTTTGGCGAGAAATTCGGGATTGACAGCTTCCTTGAACAATCGCACCGGTTCAGGAAGAAATTCTCCCAGTAAACGCCATTCTCCTTTGGAGCGATCTTTCTCGTACTCTAAATACTTGAACCCAGAGGAAAGTGGCTTTGCAATTTCCTTCAAAGATTCTGTGTACATCTGCTTGGCGACTCCAGATGCGCTTTGAAAAACGCAACCAGAGCCTCGAGGGTACTCGATGAAGATTTTGAGTTCGTAGTCAACCCCAGGCTTACAGCTAAGGTCGAAAGCAAACACGCGACCGACATAACCATGATCTTTCTTGAATCTGATATCAAATGGACAAGACCTGTTCAGAGTGGTTAGTGTTTCCCGTATAAGTTCCAACCGTGGCCCATCGACGACAAAATTCTGCTGAGGTCCGTTTGGGGTCAAGGGGGGATGATGTCTTTGTAACGCATTTCCGTTTGGCAGCGAATGCCTAGCGTCTTCCATGTTGAAACTAGACCCTCGTCTTTCCATTTCGCGAGAACCAATATTTCCTGGAGGTCGATTTGCTTTCGAGCCAGGTCCGTTGACAGCTTCGCCACTCCCGTGCCCATGAGAATTTTCCATGCCTTCCTCGCCATGCCTGGTAGCATTCTGATGTTTCCCAACTCCTTTCCTTTGCTCTGAATACTGCGCCGTATAGTTAGTACCGTTGGCGGGTGGCGGACTCGGAGTGGAAGATATAGATGAACCCGCTGAATTCAAGCGCTCAGTTTTCACTCCCCGATTTCTGTGCGCTAACTCGTTATTTTCCCATGTTCGTCTTAAAATTCTCGAATAATGTATCACATCCTCAATTCGATCAGGCCCCTCGTAATTACAACAACCACGACAAACAGGTTCGCTGAAATCTTGTAGAATTGCCCACGGTGAGTGCGGAAGATCGCATAAGAAACAGTGTTGTCGATGAAAGCGGGGGTTAGTCGTCATTTCGCGCACAACTGTTCACCAGAATCAAAATTTACGGTCGTTTTCCGCGAACACTCTTCAGTAGTAAACGAAACTACAGTCCTCTACCCAACAAACGTGAAATTTCCTGTCAGGTTTATCCAGTTCCTTCTTCCATCACGAGCGCTACCGAGAAATATGAAGATGACAGTGTGCCTTCACGATGTTGCAATTGAAACGTTATCCACGGCACGTGTGTTGGTTAAAAAAAAATCCTTACGGTAAATCTACTAAATCGAAGAGGATTCCTTCTCGCAAAATTCCCTACAGAATGACCCAGAACTCTTCTAGGCGAAACGAAGAAACGAGTTGAAACAATTGCCATCAAATAAATATGTGACGCGAAATTCGATCACCCCCCGAGCTCTCTAAAGTCTAAATTTAGGTTCGTTGTGAAATTAACATATCAGTGACCGAGCCGCGCACTAAGGTAATACGTCAAAACAATGAGTGAACTCACACACTTCCTGTGACGTCACTGCAGTCATGATGGACTAAATTCACAGGGCGTGTCGTGTCAGAGACGGATAAATTACGAAATACTTCCACACCAGAACTAATCCCGCGGGAGTAAAAAAATCGGAAAAGTTTATTTACTGTATAGACACGATCTCGAAATCGAATTATACACGAATTTTCAGCCCAAACAACTGCTCAATTTAGGTTCTAAAACGCCGACAACAAATTGAATATTCAATTTTTTTTGTCTGCGTAGCATGTGATCACCTGACCTACAGCTCATTTCCGCCGTGACTTGACAACGAATTTGAGAAGAAAAATATCTGTCCTAGCAGAGGAAAGACAATTAGCTCCTGGAAAAGAAAATTTTACGTTACGAAAATAAAATCCAGTGAGAGAGTGTCATGCGAAGTGTTATAAGCAACACAGGAATAAGACAAGGGAAGTGTTGTTTCAGCGTGTTCCGCGAAACAAAAAAGCACTTACGCATGTAAATTATGTATAGAATTCAATTGGATGACGTAAGTATTTCCACGGCTACCAACCCCAGGCAAGAGAGAAACGATTACAAAAAAACCACAAGCTCTTGGCTTAGTTTACATAAGCATTCTTTCCGGAAAATGAAAGGTCGTTATTATGCGCACCTTTGTATGGTTGAGCGCTTTGACGCCGGATACAATAAATTGCATTTGAAACAAATCCTGTTTAGCAATGAATAATTCTTTTGTCAGTGATGGCGTCACTTGATCTCTTGACAGAGATTGAGCAATATTGACTGTCATAAGGAAAGAATTTGAATCATCTATGGCGTGTTTACACTTTATTCTAGGTAATTTGAACATGCAAATTCAGATCAAATTCCCTTGAGGAAGCGTTTCGGACCAGACGGCATTACACACGAGTTTCGTGTTATAGCGCCGAAGTGGATTTTCGTTACGGTTCTTTTTCCACCACATCAAATACGCAATATTTCTCATTCAGAGTTTATTATTAAAGGCGTCCTAGTCGACAGTGTATTACACAACAGGTCATCGGCAATATTTATGGTTCATCTTTGTTTCAACTGAACCCACAAATGAATGAGCAAAGAGCAGAAATGAGCATGCGCAAAGAAAGGAATGTCAAATCGTGCCACGTTACGGTCTTTGTAAAGTAAAAATAATCGTATTCACGGAAAAAAAAACCTTCCGAGATTCCGGTTTTCGAAAATTAGAGATCTGTAACAACAAGGAAGCAATCAAGTTTTCTAATTTACTTCTGACAGTCAGTATTTAGGAAGACGGAATTTCACGGGAAAAGAAAAGAAAATTTCTCCCTAAGGACTGTGAATATGTAAGTCTATACAGAGCTTCTAATGTTACGCTCGACAACGCGCGAACACGATACTATGAAAGATAATATCTGGCTGACAAAACGAAAGATAGTTTTGTGCCCGTGTTTCCCACGAGAGCGGACATTGAACTTCCGATTTACCGAGAAGTCGTCACGCAAAACTGGCCCTAAGTGCCGACAGACGAAAGTTGGCAAATAAGCCATTGTTCTGGAAATATAATATGTTGTTCAAGGTAAACCTCATGCAAGTGCAGTAATGACCCTTTCGAGGCAGGCCAATCTTTCGGAAACAAAACAGGAATTCTGCCCTCAAAAATCTATCATGTGGTTTAGATGCAAACCTGAACTTAACTTAAATATGGACACCACATGACGATCAAGGATTTTTGGTAATAATAGTTTTTGTTATAAACATCATGCGATCAGACAAACGCGCGCGCACATGACGGAGTAATTTAATCATTTTGATTCCAACGCAAAGCTTTTACCCTTGACCCAAGGAACACAAGATAAATATTACATTCCGGAATTTTTCGACCAAAAAAATGTCAGGCGTTTTATTATTTTGGATACCGAGTGGACGTGGTTTCATTTTACTCCATAAGTGAGTTGAGCACATAGATATCGCTGAATGTACAAATGTATTGGCCCAAGACTGGAATGTCACATGTCTGTAAGGGTGCAATGTACGATCAACGCATGTGTCTTACAACACATGAGGAACATCTGCAGAAAAAACCTCCTGAGGTTTCTATAGTGTGACCAACACCCTGTTGTGTTGAGTAGCTAATCCGCTGTTCGGGGAAATGAGCCTGCGTGGACCGCACTAAAGAGGGCGGCAGAAGTCAAGCTCAGTAGACCCACAGGAAAAAAAAAACTAAACCTATAAATTTTTCTGTAGAGTCGTTGGCGACTATCCTCACTCCTCAGCTACTAATTACCTCTTTGAGGCGTCTAAATAACAAAATGTTCAAAATCAATTTTCCGCGTATCGAGGTAACTTTTTCAATAGAGATTAATAGCCGTTGCTTTAAGCCGATTTTACACTAAAATTAAAACCTGTTCGTAATCTGTGAGAGCCCGTAGGATAGGTGAGAAAATAAGTAAAATCAGAGTTATTATTGGCCTATGACGCTCCCCTGACGTCATGATTTAACCCTATCAAGTTGTTTCATTAAAATTCATAAATAAGCGTTACTCGGGGACTTCGAGGTTCGGTTTCTTACCGCACCGGAAATAAAGTGGCTCGACCAAACTAAGGCTACTGAATCTACAAACCGCCAACGCAAATAAAAATATGTATTCACAAGGATTTAAGAATTTAAGGATTCAGGAAGTGATAAATTCGACCTGCTAAAACGAACTCTTTTTCCTTCTTCAAAGGAAACTCTGACAGCTTTGCTTCTCTTGACGTTGGATTAAATCTGCATCTTGGCAACGGTTCAGTTCGTTTGACAGTGATTGGCTTGAAACTCAAGGACGCACTTCGAGAACGATGAAAAAAATAACTTAGCGAATTGATTATCTTCCCCAGATAAACCAAAATTAATAGGCACGATTTCAGAAACGAGGAACAAAACTAAACCAATAAAAAAGTCTGACGAATCCTCATTGAAAAACCAAAAAGAACGACCATGTGTTTGGTGGTTGTTTCGAGATGAGATGATACAAAATGATGACTTCACATTTAAGCGTATTTCCTCGAATTAATAGAAATTGATTTCACTTCCATGAAAACAGGAAAATTATGGAAAAAAGTGGAATCATTATTTTGTTTTAAGTTGACGGTTCAGTGACTTTGGAACCGCTAGAGGAATGTTCTAAGCTCTAATTAGTGTAATAATCTCGTCAATCGCATTTCACTAAGATAAAAATTTTACACTATCGTTTCGAACCAGCTTTAACAAAGAACTTCCTTCTGTATAAGCAATGAGAGGCTTAATCCAGGTGCGGTTTTTGAAGGAAAGTCAAGAACATGAGTTCTTTTTTTGGTCTGGGTCGACACATCTAGCGTTATGGAAACATGGCAGTGAGCAAGCGAAAAAAATGTGGTCGCTCGTTGGCGACCGGAAGAACAAAACAAACCAGTATACAGCCATACTTTGGATACTGATACGTGGTTGAGCGCACGACCAACAGAAACACGGAAAAACGTTAGAAGTATTGGCTGGCAATAGCAAGGATGACATAATAAACGCTAAAAACAAAAGCCGTGAACCTGTTTTAGCTATGATGACAAACTTCCGCGAGGCCAAGTGAACACGTTTTTTATGATGAATCAGGAAGCATTCAAACTGGAATGTTTGTGCGTGGTTTAGAGTGAGCACGAACATGAATTTTTTTTCCGACGTGATTATTAGCTGGCACTCCTTTCAGCGATAGGGGAAAAGGTTACTTCAAGAAGAAGGCAAAATATAACGGAAGTGAATATGGAAGCCCACTCGAATTAAATGGACGCACTCTCCGTAACCTCCACATAACAATGAAAAAACATTTATAAGGACGCCCCGACGGCGACGCAAAAGGAAATGTTGTTTAAAAAATGAATTCACATTTGCCCTCAGAGTTTAGCGCATGACTAGACATCTTAACCGACGGCGCCAAACTTCTTCTTTCAGGACAGCGTTCAGTTCGAAATCGAGGCAAAAATAATCTGCCATCGCGGTTTCCGTTTTCAGACCATTAAAACTTTGGCATTTTCTCGCTGTTTGTTTGCCAAAGGATGGCGAGAAAATGCACAAAGTTTAAAACGCAAATGCAGAGCTGTTTTTCTGCCATTAAATTCTTTTCGCATTGCTATCGTCTCGTTTTCTATTGTGCTTCTCTACAAGTCGTGGTTGCCACTCGCTTTCGCGAAAATGGGAATTCACTCATCTAGCTACCTTTTTAATTAATTCCGTCAAAAATAAAACCCACGTGCACAGAAAATTTCCTCATTCCATTATAATACAAAGGAGATACTTAACTGAATCTATTTCATTCTGTAAATTTGCAGACAGAGCCCTAAATCGCACCTTTACATGGATGCATGCGTAAAACTAAAAACACTGTTAAAAGGAAACTTCAAGGAAGGCGCTTTCGGAGACGAACAATCTTAAGTAAGAGACAATCTCCTGATGTACACCTTTCTACATCATTTCTATCAAGTCTAGAAAGACTGAAAGAACAATGCGGTTCCCTTAAAACCGATCCGCATATTTAAACTTGTCAAAATTCTCAGTTGGAATAGTATCTACCTGGCAGGCAGTGTGCGACTTTCCTTTCCAGGAACCTCAACTCTATACACCCCGTCATGAAAAGCGAGTTCGCTTAAAAGTCCTCTGCCTGGAAATAAAGGAAATAGCCATTAAAATACGGTTAATTTTTAGTAGTCGAGGGAAAAAAATTGGTATTTTAGCTCAAATTTGTTGAGAGTAATTAATTCTCTTGTGACAATCGACTTTTTTTTTATAGCAACGTCCACGCCTAAGCTATTATACCTGTACCAGTCTATGATATAGTAATAGTATTCCAACTCTCCCCCCCCCCTCCCCCCACAAATATCGTCATTCCTCCAAAATTTCATTTCTGGCGACCACTTTAACCCACAACACCCTAATATAGGTATATAGGTAATATAGGTATGCATATACTTTTTCTGTAAATTTCCCAAGGTGCTGACAAGGAGAATTCGTGTAACAATCAAGAGCTTGTTCAGTTGGTGATCATTTTCTTTCTTCTCGTGACCTCAATGTATGATCCAGGGGTGATATTGTAAGGAGAAATTAGATGCTAGTCAATCTTAGGGGTACAGAGTTAAAGTTTAGATTCGATTTCGCCTAAAACGTTTAGAGCTTTGAGCCCTCTTTACACTTCATCGTTGCAAAAAAGAAAATAGCTAACATGCATACCTTTATGTGTCAAATCTTTTTTATAAGACAGTAAACTAGGAGACACTTCTGGTTCGAAACGGACGCGGGCTTTTTTCTCTGCCTTCGTATTAACATCAGAACGAGGACCTTTAGCGCGGGACCTGGGCAGGTCATAGCGAGAGATAGGAACAGGCGGTCGTTTACGAGGTAGAGGAGTCTGGAGTGGGGAGTCTTCTGAGGTAAAAGATTCTTGAGGAGAGGTTTGTGTCTTGGTGTTTTTGACCACTTTATGTTTTTCTGTAAGAATCAATAATTGAAAAAACAAATACACAAAAAGTTTTCAACTATATGAAATGAAGTTTGTATGTGAAAGGGGCCTCATTGGTGGAGAAGGGGGTATCATCTGAGAGTAGATATTAATCAGTTTTTAGGAGGCAGTACCACCTAAGTCTTGCATTCTGCTTGAATTTGAATGACGAGATAATTCCTCTACATGGTGATGGCAATGGAAATGTTATTCCTTAACACCCCTCCCCCCCTCTCTGATAAAAACGGGAGATGTTTTTCGGTCTATGACAGCGACATACTAAGAAAAATAAGACGCAACTGTTTTCAGCCAAACCTCCATAAACTGGACACTGCAACACAAAACTAAGTAAACTTACCACTTCTTCTTCTAACTAGGAGAGCAGAAGTAAAGGCGCAGAGACCTCCAGTCAGGGCAAAGAGCTGCTAGAAGGGTTAGTGATTATTCAAGTTCTTTAAGAAAAACCTTTGTCTTTTATTTAACAAAGAAAGTGTCCTGGGTATTCTTGGCCCCTGAAAAGTTTCTACTTTTCTAAAACAGAGAAGCAAACATCATCACACAAAATGAAATCTTACCAAAGGCTGGAGTCAATGAATGACCTCTGGGCTGATATGAAGGTTCAGTGGTAGTGTGAGGGTGATAGTGACCAGCTACAGAGTGTGGTGGTTGGGTAAATTCATCCTGCCTTGCTATGCCAGATACACTGCAGTAAGTAGATGCAACATGAGCTGGATGGTGAGCAGCCACAGTGGCCGTACAACTCACAGGTAACATCCCACTGTCCATACTACTGGATGGTAGCACAGCTGCTGTTGCTTGTTGCATGCCAGTTGGATAGGAGGCTGGTGCTGACTGAATGGATAAAGAATAGATTCATTGGCTTGCAGTTTTCTGGTAATAATGATCACAAGATTTCTCCGGAGAAAGTTCCAACTGGTTGCTATGTTCCACAGAAAGCTCCAAAATTGTATCAAGCAAGTGATTGTGATTGCAAGTCAGCCAAGAAGCTCATCCCATTACTGTAAGATATATCATCTACACTGTATGCTACTACTGGCTCCTTTGCTCTCAAACTTAAGCAGGCATGGAGAAGTGGGAAAAAAAAACTGATAGGAGAATAGTGCTTATAGAGGCAGTCCATTTGTCTTCTTTCACCTCCTTTGCACTTTTAACTTACCCTATCCCTTCTTAGTTACACATACTGGGCAAGCCTTGCTGAAAGCTCAGAATTATGTCTCTGTTCAAAATCCAACCGTTGTGGAACTCTGTAAACTTACACATCATTGTACACAATAGCAGAAAACCTCAATTCTAAACTTTACATACTTGAGTCTCTAGCATCTTGGCTTGCAGATCTTCAAGCCTCTTCAGTCGTTCTTCAAGCTGTTGTTGTAGTTTCTGTTCCTTTTCCTTGTCCTGTAGCTCTTGTTGTCTGTTGTGATTCTGTTGCAGAACTTGTAAGTTGTTTACAAGAGCAGAAATCTGAGCTTCCAAGGTATGCTGCAACTAAGAACAGAGAGATAAAATGCTAAATGATACTGCTGTGCCAAAGTAAATCTTCTAATTTAGTTCTACAAATCAATAATGAGACATTTTTGAAATACAAACTGTAACTAATCACCTGTAGGAAAGGTCCAGTTGCTGCTGATGCAGCAGCAGCAGCAATTGCTGCTGCAGTAGCTACAGGATTTTCACTACTCACTGCACCTTGTGGGTTATTTGTCTCTCCAGCCTGGGACACCACAGTAGGTTGAACCAGTTTCTTTACTGGCCTTCTTTGGTCTTTTCTATTGAAGTGCAAGTACACACAGGATAAAATAAGAGGTGAATTTAAAAATAAGTTACTGAAATGATCCCTTCTTCCAACTAAAGACAGCAAAAGACAGCATGTCTATTCCTTACAAATTTGACTTTTCATCAGGGTGATAAATTAGGTGATATGTTTTAACCAGCATCCACTAAATGCAATATTTTGGTCTCATTGTCCAGTTAAGATTGACAGGGTCCAGCATAACAAGCACCACTTTGGGCAGGTGCAAGAAAACTTTAGAGATCTGTTGGGTTGTATTCAATATCCTCCCCAAAGAATAGTTTTCTTTAAGTATTTTACTCATAAATCAACCACTGTTTAATTTGTCATGTAGTAAATGACTGTTTAAATTTAAAATAATACAGTACATCCCCATTGCAATCTATACAAAAAGTTCACAGACCAGCCATTGTATCAATTACAAACTCTTCAAAAAAACTTAGGTTGGGAAACATCTGTTCAAACCTCTTCAAGAACTGTTCTTTTAAAGACTTTTCTTTGTCATTCAAAACAAATCGTTTGATCTTGACATCACCTGGAAGGAAAATTCCAAACCAAAATTGTATGAGTAAATATGAATAAATTAAAGGAAGAACAACAACAGTAAAAGTGTATTGTTAAATGGCTCTTGAAAGGAAATATATGATACCTACAATCTTTATATTTTCAAACTCACTTGCATTTTCTTCTGCAGGGTTGAAAATTGGGACTCCACTCTTTGGCTGTCCTTGGTACAAGCCTTTGGTGGGAATGCTCTTCAATTCAAATGAGAAATATCAATGATCAGTGTTCAGGATAAAGTGTCATGAAAGCACAACAAGTAAGCTGTTATGCAGTGTTCTCCTTTTCAGGCAGTAACCAATAACATTTACCACCTTTAGAACCTCTTATTATCGTTTAAATTGCTTGGAATTCTTGAAAATTCAACAGGTAAAAGGATTGCTTTACCAGTTTGAACATTTATGTTACCTGTCATACTTAAAATAAGGGAGAACACTGTTATGAGTACATTAGTTGGTACAATGCCTGCTTTTTAGTATAGCAGCAGGTTATTTTCTTTTTTTATTTTATATTTGCAAGCAAAATTGATCTGAAAAGGGTTATTTTGCTTGAACAAACTGTAATGCATCTTGCTTTAAACCAAGGTACCTTTGCATGCAGTCTTGGCAAGTTTTTGTCATGCCAGTATGATGATGTGACCTATGCCATTGTTGTGAGGTCACTTTAAGAGACCAACATGCTGCTATTGTGATTGCCATAACGTTTTAAAAGCAAGCTTCATCAAAATGTACCACTAGCAGACACAGAACTCTGGTCACATAATTTTCAAAGGTAATTTTGATTGTAACTCAAAGTTATTACCTTTCTTCCTTCATATGCTTTCTCTGCATGAGCTTCATCCTCAAGATGTCGCACTGTGACTTGAGGTGCTTGTTCTGTGATCAGAGTTCCATCTTTAGTTCGACAAGAATCCACTCCATTCACATTACTATTTACAGAATGTTCTCTAATGACAGGATCTGAAGGAATGTGACTGGAACGATGATCAGCTGAGTTTAACTCAACCCAGGCTGATGGACCATTTACATGTCTGACAACTTTTACAGGAGATGGTCTTGTAACAACATGCTCATCAACTGAATGTAAATAAGAGAGCACCATATAATTAAGACCTTGGCAACAACTCCACTTTCAAATTGTCTAAGCCAGAAGAAATGAAAAGTATTCTTCATATACAAGTTTGACCTGCACCACCTAAAGTAATATCTAAAACAGGTGAGGGGGACACTCACTCATGACAAGTGGCCCAAGGGGTGTCAGAGTGTATCCCAGTTTCAACAGCACAAAGCCACTTACAGCATTGCTTTTCCTATTGGATGGGGTGCCAGTCCATTGTAGGCTACCCCCCTAACAATTCCCTTGTACCCCTTTGCACTCCTCAGCGAAGAGAAGTATTGTGGGAGATATTAGAGTATCATCCAAGAACACAATACACTGACCTGGTAAGGTCTTGAACTCAGAATTAAAATTGGGGATTCTAGTGCACCTAACGTTTGGTGGATGACAAAACCCTGGAATACCTTCAACAGGATCATATGTTGTGGAATCCACTCGAGCATTAATTTACTGCTGACAATTTGCTACATCATCTGAAATGTTGCTCAGTTCTTAAATCCAAAGTGGCACTACCCACATACTTATGTCCAATACTCAACCTTACCTATGTCCATTTCCTGTAAGGTTTGTCTGGAATTGCCCGACGAAGAACTCCTTTCCATGGGAGACTTAATTTCACGGAGTAATTTTGAAGGCACTCTCACTCTCTGAGTTCCATTGAAAGTCAGATCAAGAAGTGAAGATGAAGACTGGTCTTGTAACTCCCCACTAACAGGGTCAACAGCTCTGTCATTCGTTGCAGAATTAGCCCTAGTAACAGGCGGATTCATGGCTGAAACAGGTTGAGTTGCATCTTGTACATGTCGTTTGCGTGGAGGTGTGTAGGTCCCCTGTGGCAATCCTCCTATTGTTTTAGCTTTTTTGTCCTTGTGGAAGTCTTGAACGCTCGACAACGCATTTACAGCAGCGCCTGTCAGTGAGAGTATCTGTCTCGAATGCTCCATTTTACAGAAAGTCATAAACAAACTCGTCTTTCCGTTGCATACTCCTCAGACTTGTCAATAGTTCAAAGCTAAAGTGAGACATCAATAAAATTTTCCTTCCTCTCTTCCATCCTCCAAATTATAAATTAAATCATTCATGAGAAATAGGTATTTTCCCAAGGTGATCACCTCCCGAAATGTTGTAAAATACCTCCTTTTACACCGAATGAGTAGACTTCAAATCCCCGCCATTTTTAAATTTGCAAAGATCTAGTGCCAGCGCTAAAAAATTCCTAGCACAGCGGTCTAGTAAAAATAAGGAGCGGCTGCTAAGGTTATAGTTGCGTCGTCAGCAATTTGTAAACAATCTTACCTCAATCGAACATGGAGGTCACAGCCGAACTTTCTCTTCTAGAAGAACTGGGCGAAATTATTGGAACTCTTACCACTTCTGGTAGTCCATCGTTGAACAGTGATCCCCTGAAGAAGCTAAAGAACATATGTAAGAAATCTGATGTTTACGTCAAACACGCTTACCACTTGATTCTGACACAGCTGAAGAAGAACCACGCAGAAATACGACTTTCATCATTTCAGATCATCAATGAGCTCTTTTTTCGTTCCCATGCTTTCAGAGAAATGTTGCTGATTGATTTCCAGATCTTCTTGGAACTTACATTAGAAACAGACTACAAGCAACTTTTGCCACCACCTGCATCTGCCGCAAAAATTTTGAAGGAGAAAGCCTTGGAGGCCATAGATAGCTGGCATCGGAAATTTGGATCTCATTACAAGAAACTAGATTTAGGTTACAGCTATTTAAAAAGGGTTAAAAACGTTGAGTTAAGTGATCACTTAGCTCGAAGTCAAGCTGAAAGTCGCCAAGTAGAGGATAGGGAAAGACGGAAAAGGAATATCATTAATGGACAGATTATTCGTGTTGAAAATGAGATGTCGGAGATGATCAGCGAAATGGAATTGTGTGCTACTGAAATAGAGAATTGTTTTAAGCTTTTGTTACCTCACCCAGATGAATATGAGGTTCACTGCGCCAAGGAATCTGCCTTATCTGAGCTTGAACAGATTGCTGATACAGTTGTTAACAAAAGTCAGGATGGTACAGAGGTCACCAAGAATTTAATTGGAAACCAAACACCAGACAATATGGAAGAAGACAAAATCACTGACAAAAGTCAGGAAAATGATCCTAAAGTGGATACCGATGAGGAGCTGGTGACTGATCATGGACTTGGAACAAGGTCATATCAGCTGACCATCAGATTAGACAAGACTGGACCAGAAATAAGAGAAACATCTGACAACAGCATTGTGTTAAACACAGCTCGGGAGTTTTACAAAGAATTGACTCATAAACACTTACCCATGATCAACAAGTGGATTTCTGTGTTGAACAAAGGTGAAGGAACACAACAGAAAATTCAAGAACTTATTGATCTTAAGGAGACTTTAGATAATGCAAAAACTAAATTCCTTGAGTTGAAAATAACACCTCTTCCTGACACCAAAAATAGTCAAAGTGCTTCAACAGAGAGTAGCAGTGATGAAGAAGATGACATTGAAGATTTTGAAGATGTTCCAGAAAGGGAGGACATTGAATTTCTGGTTTCTCCGGGCCAAACAGCTGGAAAGGGTTCAAAACCACCAACTAGCACTCACAAGACATTCACTGGTAAATAATTGACATTAGATATGTTTTGTAAAGAAACCAAAACATTTATTGATTGTGTTGATGTCTATTCTTGTGATAACAATACCCCAGGATAGCTTTTTTTTCAACAGCTCTGTGGAATCCAACCACTGTTCTTTTCTTTAAGGGCTCTACTGGAGGTTTGGCTAAAACACATGGGTTGCTGAGTGTAATTATCTCTTCTTTTTCTACAGAATCAAGTTCCAAAATATCTCAAAAGAATGAAGCTAGCTTATTGAAGAAGTTTGGTGCTAATCTTCGGGAACTGGGTGATCCCACCTCTCGTGCCACTGCTTTGTTTAAAGCAAGGGACAAACTATCAAACACTGATTCTTTGTCAGTTCCTGATAAAGGTTCTAAGGAACCAGTAGATGAAAGGAAACAGAGGTTACTTGAAAAAGCACCAGTTGTGCCATTTGACATGGATCTCTATTTCTGGGAAGACCCAACTGCTGAGTCGCACAAGGTTGTCAAAATGTATCTTGATAACAACTGGGCATCTAAGGAGCATGAAGGTGAATATCTTGTTGGTGATGAGAAAGAGGCCAGACCAACACGAATGGTCACATTTGCAGGTAGCTTTGAACCTGTCAAGTGGTCTTGCCGTGCACCTTTACCAAGTGGTAAACTTTGTCCCAGACACGATAGAGTGAAATGTCCACTTCATGGCAAAATTATACCACGGGATGAAACTGGTAGCCCTGTGATTCATGACAACACTGCATCTGATGCCACCTTTGAAACTTCAGAAAGAAAAAGCACCAGTGTTAATGCTGAAGAAGATAAAGGTTCACCTGCAGTGGACTGGAAAGAGATTCAACTCGAGGTCGAAGCAGCCACTGGCTTGGACTTGGGAGGCAAAAAGAAACGAAAACGTAAAAGTCACTCGAAAGCAAATGGCAAAAAGGAGTCTGGTCTGACTGATATTAAAAAGCAAAAGAATACAGTAAGAAATCGTTTAGGAAAGATTGTGTTGAATAAGAAAGCTATGCGACGTGTGGCAGATCAAATGGATGCTATTGCCACAAAAAGATGTGAGGACAAATTTGCTAATCAATTTAATTATTCCTTGAGAAAGTAGTGTTACTTGTCTCATTTTGCAAAAGAGCTTTTCCATTGATGCTGATGATTTTGACACTCAAAGCATAAAATTTCAATTTTTTTTAATTTGTCCTGACTATCAAAGGTTTCAGATAAAGAATAGTTGATGATGCATGAAGGACCTTTTTGTTTCACTCAGCTTAGAGATGACTGAAGAATTGTTTTGTCATCAATCAAAAATTGTGCTCTACAAAAATGATTTTGATCAGTTATATCATACAATATATAAATATTTACTAACACTGTTGTTAGGGGATGATCAGATAATGTAACAGTGACAGTATGAAAGAAGGAAAAGTAGTTAAGTGTCAACCCTTTAACTCCCATGAGTGACCAAGACAGAATTTCTTCTTACAATATCAATACAATATCAACTAGATTAGAGATGAGAATAAAGAAAAATATCAGTCAAGGGATTATAAGTTGATCCAAAACCAAATTCTGCAAACTAACATCACAAGAACTGTATGGCAGATAGTAAGGAGAATTACTAATGAGATCTTGGGAGTTAAAGGGTTAACCTTGTTCAACAAGTTCACTCAAAATGTGAAGAAAAAATACTTAAAATTATCTGCCTAGGGTGAGGAAATATTTCCTTCACCTTTTATATCAATAGATAATTTATCACAAAGATTGCATTATTAAGTGGAATAACTATAAATAAAACATAACTTGAAAAGGATTTAATGAACATTGAGTTAATTTTTTAATCAGAGAGTTCTGCTGTGGAATTAGTCTAATTCAAGCACTTGTTTCTGGGGCAATCACCCGGAAGAAATGTCCGACCACTAACTCAATCCTTGGGATGACAGGGAGGAACTGAGTATGACATATCCCATCAACCCTTTAAAGCATTAATCAATATGGCGGACCTCCATTAGGTAAAGGCACACTGAGATTTAGTATTTTCGAGCCTGTTTGCCAGCCGCTGATAAAAATAGTGTGCGAACCAAAGTATTTGGGATCTTTTGCGAATACTTAAAAACCAAACTAGCCATATAGATCGAAAGTTGACCACAATGCAGTCCGGCCCAACTCCAGGTCAACAACAGGCGATGGAAGTAAAACAGGTATAAACCAAAATAACTTTTTATTCGACTCGTTGATTTTATGATTCTTCAGAATATGGCTAACTTTGGTTTACTGGTCTTTTGCCCTGAAATTATTTCGATTTCTCTGGGCTTACTGGTAATGATATACATATTGCTTCAAACTTTTCTTTTCTTTTCTCTTTCTCAAGAGGGCCACTGGTTTGTTAGTATTTTTATACTATTTTAGTACTACTCTCTTTAAATAAAGTCTTTACTTACTTACTTAGAAATTATTTGCCAAAGTAGTCGAAAAAAATCAGATATCTTTTCAACTTTATTTCAATACGAATGTGTCTGGAAGTAATTCTCGTGTTAGTTTCAGGGTAAATTCAGAAATTGTGAACTAAGAAAGGCGTATTTATTTAGATGAAGCCATTCCTTCTGATTTGTGATAATTTTTAACCTCCTATATAATGTCTGCTAAACGTGATTTGTTGTGTCGTTGTTGTGGTTGTTTGTTAAACTATTTCGTGGTACATTAATGGTGTACATTTTATGATTGCGTCTCTCTGAACGTGATGTCTTTTTTTGCAGTTTCAAAACTTTTTGCAGTACTACAACAAATTGACAGAGTTGTGCTTCACAGATTGCATTCATGACTTCACCAACAGAAAGATTTCAACAAATGAGGTAAAATAAGATCACCTTCTACCTTTGTGGTAAATTCTTGGACATTTAACAAAAGCTTCTGAAGCTACTCATTGGATGAGCACTTCTACAAGTTAGTGTCTAAGGAAATATATGTCAAGATCTTTCAGCAGCCCCCTTTGTAGGAGAAAGGCTGGCTATACATACTCAAGTGGGCCAAATTAGGGAGGGCTCCCCATCCATGGGGTGAGAAGGTACACAAGTGGGCTGAGATATAAGACCGAACAGTCAATCTAAATTTCTTATATCTTTTTTTCTTTTTCATTTTTGTCGCTCAGAATAATTGTGCCATACATTGTAGTGAGAAGTTTTTGAAAGTTATGCAGAGAATCGGAGTCAGAATACAAGAAGTTCAAGTGATGCAAAATGAGGGTATCCTTGGTGCTCCTGACCCTCCTAAATAATACTTGAACATTCAGTGAGCTGGACTCTCAGCTACAGACTTAAGTCTTGATTAATACAGAATAGATATGATATTTTATAATTGAATCAAGAGATTTCACCTGGTTGGATTTGCTTGCGCATGGAAGCTTATGGTGCAATCATGTGCTTAGCCTGTTAAACTGAAGACAGCCTTTTGTTGAAAGTGAAATGAACACTCACTTGAGCCACGTTATTGGACAGATAATGAATAAAAGTGACCTTTTACTCTTTGCTTGTCAAAACATTTATTTATTTGTTGAGAAATATTCACTGATCTCGTCACAAATATTTATGTTGCTGACCAAGCCTATAATTTCTATATATTAATATAAATTTTGTGTCTCCAAAATTCAAAAAATTATTTTAAAACAATATTTTTTTTCCACAAATTATTGAAAAAATAATGCTTTTCTCTGACTATACATAATAAAAATTTTAAGTTCCCTGAGACACACAAAGAGCTATATGAAAACTAAAAAAAAATATTTTACAATCTAATTATTGATAAAATTACAGTGAGCACATACAATATTTCTGAGCATAATATGTATGCAGTCTCCTCAGCAGATGTTGTTTGGACTCCCCATGATGGGACTGGTAATTGCCACAATCTTGACCCAGTAATTCTTGTTACTGTCTGCCTTACAATTCTTAAAGGGGGTAAGTTTCTAAAGAAACTGTGGTGCTGCATCAGTGGGAGAGTATAACAGGTAATTTAGTGTTAACAACTGAGTTGAAAACGTAAATTGGCCACTGTAAAGGGTTAAAAAGCTAAATGTTAAAGCTAATGTTAGTTCTGAGAAGTTAACATTGGATAAACTTAAGTCTCCTAATTGATATTTTTCTTTATTCTCATCACTTGTCTGCTTGATATTGCATTGATTTGGAAGGAGAAATTCTCTCTTGGTGACTCGTGTTAATCAAAGGATAAATTAGTTCACATTTGCAGCTGTTTTTGGAATGTCATGCAATGTCAAAACATTGCCACAACCTTGACCCAAAAGAATTGCTGCAGGCGAAGGAGGCTACATTAAGCATGGTAATTTTGTGTTATCCTCTGAGTTGATAACATAAATTGGCCACTGCAAAGAGTTGAAAAGCTAACGTTTCATGAGTTAGCCCTTTGTCCATTGCTCTGTCAAAGGGTTAACACTCAAAACATCAGCTTTTTAAACTTTTTAATGTGGCCAATTTATGGTATCAACTCAGTTGATGATACTAAATTACCCTTATATACTCTCCCACAGATGCAGCACCACAGTTTCTTTAGAAACTTACCCCCTTTTCATATCAAGCATGTACAGTTACAAGCTAGAGCTATAATTTTAGTAGTCAAGCTGCTAGCCAGGACAACACTTTCTTTCCTTGGAGGGAGGGACAGATTGACTATAAGATTCATCAGTTTGATATTTTTGCGAAAAGTCCACCATATAACGTGAGTCATAAGACATCAGGCTTGAAGATTGTAACACTGTTCCTCGCAAGGCTATACAATCATTCAAATTAGGTGTTTTGCTTTCACCAGACACACTTAAAATGGCTTGCACCAGTAGCTGCATTGCTTCATCTGAAATGAAATTTCATTAACAACATTTTACATTTTACTTCAACTTTTAAGTCTGGTGCCTGTCGTTAAATGACAGAAGGAAGGAAATGTCAATTACCCTATATTTTTGTGGACCTTTGGCAAAAATAGTGTGGTAGACACTTCCTTGTGCCAATGCAGGCAATTCCTGCCCTTCTAATGCAAAATTATGCTTCTTAATGTCAGAATAAGGGACAATCAAATAGTACTCATTTCTGAAAGGATACTCAACTCAAACAGAATGGGGCAACTTTTGCCCCTTAAAGCACTTAAATGAAAATGCATTCTCCAAATCTCAATTACCCCACTTTGTACAGGAGAGACTATCATCTACTGAAAATTTGGCAAACTTGTTTATTATGTTTTTAAATAATACTTTATACAATTAGCAATACTAAACTAAAATAAACACTAACCAATATTTTGGTCCTCTTTTGCTGATGTTGGAAACCTTATGGCCAAGATTCAAAGGAAAAATATGTGTAAAGAATTGATGTCACAATAAACTCATTTAAGAATCATTCAAAATTATAAATCCTGAACACTGCTAACTATTTTTAGTGTACTAATTAATACAGTACTGTTATATGTATCTTTCTTTCTGGGAAATGAAATGTAAAGTTAATCGCTCGTTAATCGTTAATCCTAATCGCTCTGACAAAGGGCTAACGCTCGAAACGTCAGCTTTTTACCCTTTATGGTGGCTAATTTACGTTTTCAACCCAGTTGTTAACACTAAATTACCTGCTAAACTTACTAGTCAGTTGGATATCAAATAAATTATGCCCCTTTGTTAATCTTTACGAAGACGAACTACAGTGTTTTTGTTTTGAAATTTAGCAACAATAGAATTATGAATCAAAACTGACAAGGAAGTATACCACCTCTGAATAGAAATTATCTCAGACAATCAAAATTAGCTGGTGGCCCAAAATTTATTTGATCTCCAATCTTCCAATTATAATAATTCACAAGATTTACTACATACAGGATATTTTCAAGTATAATATTTGCTACAATTACATCATGTATATACCGGGTAATTATAATCCTTACCAGCCAATGAATCCATGTTCTTGACAAAATTGATTCAATCTTTCCTCATCATAAGGATGTTCTTTCAAGTCACACTGCAATAAATTTAAAAGAAAACCGTTATTCTTGCTATTCCTCTCCACTTTTAATTAAAGATGTAATCTAAATACTCTCATCTTTGAAACATTTTTCTTTATTCTCATCATGTATCTGCATGATATTGTATAGATAAAGTAAGGAGAAATTCAGTCTTGATCAATCATGGGAGTTAAAGAGTTAAACAAATTAAATCAAATGAATAACAGGGGATCAAAACCAGAACTTTTGACATCATTCTTGGAAAGGTAATTTGAAGTTTACTTCCATCATCAATAACACCTATTGATACTATTCAATATATGATGTTTTGATAAGATTAAAGAGAAAATCATACTAACAAAATGAACATACTTCATTGTGCACAGTGAAAAAACTACATGCAGAATTAAATAATATGGCTTAACTTGATCTACTTAAGAGTCATCATCAGCTATAAAATTGAACAATCTGCCTTTGAATTAATACAACAATGTGATTTATACAAAAATTCCTAAATCACCACTATTTAAAGGTGGTTTCTTTATTACTTGCACAGCATGTGCCTTACTTTATTTGCTAGTAAGAGAACTGGAATTGGTTTTTCATTAGTCAGCATAACTTTTTGGTTTACATCCCAGTGCCACTGAAATGAAAGAAAAAAAAAGCATACAAAATAATTAACATTAAAATCTCAAAATAACTGTGATGTTTTAAAATTAATGGTTAAAAGAACAGACATCACTCCAATATTGAATTATAAATAAATTCATAAATTTACTGATATACCCAATGTGATAATTCAAACAAAAACATTTATGTACCTTAAGAACTGCATCAAATGTTGGTGGTCTGTTGAAACAAAATGAAAAACTTGGAATTTTTTCAATACTTTACTTTTTAAAAGTGTTTACAATTAGAATTAATTAAACTATTTCAATGAAACCAGGCTTTGTTTAACATTTCAAAACTGAGATAAATTTATTTGTAGATAAAAGCAACAGTTTACCTTGTCAAGTCAAATACAATTATGGCAGCAATTCTGCAAAGAGAACACTTGGGTTGTAATTGCGCATGGCTGATAAATTCATATCGAGTATTCCATTAATATTTCTAAATATTTCATATAGTTATTGGAGCAACTACACAATACAGGGCTACTGGGGTCCCACTTGTCAGCATTCTTTGTAGGAAAAAAGGATGTATTGTATAGCACAAAAGGATGTATTATGATCCAATGAGAGGTAAAAAAAAAAAAAAAAATTGAGGAAAAATTTGAGACAGCATGAAGCCCTGCCATAAACATAAAGTCAACTTAAATTCAAGATATAGACAATCAAAACAAGTCTTACGCATATTTATAATACACCCTTGTCATGTGACCAAATCTCTCATGGCCAGCAACATCCCTGAAAACATGATAACATAAATAAATTACACCAAAGAATCTGCAAGCGAGTTTACAAAGCTTATTCTTAAAGTTTCTTTATTTTGACTATCAAAAGACCTGTTTGAGACCTTGTCAATGCTAAAACATTCAGAGAACTTAATTTTTCAAGTGATCCTTGGCTAGACAATAGAAAGTAGCTAAACTGAAATTACATGATAATTTCTTGTTCTAGTCAAAGGGTAGTTAAAAATCTCCTGAAATTTAACTTTATTTCTTTCTGCTGGATATTTCTCTTCTCAGTCAAGGACAACTGTGATTCCAGAAAGCAAAAGTTACTAATAACTAGCTTTCTCCATAAACACCATCTACTTACCAAAGCTGAAGATTAATCTTTGTCATTTCATCCCAGTAGAGAACTTTCAAAGCAAAATCAACTCCTATTGTAAGCTTGTAGTTTGGTGTGAAGGACCCTGGCATAAAAAATCAACAAGAGGTGAGCTCAAATATAAGTAAAACTCATTTGAGCTCACAGATGTCACCAAATTATACAACAGATTTCACAAATAGATTCATTTTTGCTATGTGTCTGTCCAGTAATACATCACAGAAGACATCAAAATGCAGTAAGAGTAAAAAAGCAAAATGTTGTTAACCCTTTCACTCCCAAGATCTCATTAGTAATTCTCCTTACTGTCTGCTATACAGTTCTTGTAATGTTAGTTTGGAGAATTTGGTATTGGATCAACTTATAATCCCCTAATTTATATTTTTCTTTATTCTCATCACTTGTCTGCTTCATATTGTATTGATATTGTTAGGAGAAATTCAGTCTTGGTCACTCATAGGAGTTAAAGGATTAACAGCAAGTTGTCATCTATATATCTGTTTTCCAGTATCACATGATAAGCTTAATTATATACTATTTCTGATTGGATCTGACTGATGATCTATTGGAGGGCAGATACAAAAATGATGTCATCATTAACAGCTCAGCATTCTGCTTTTTTAGCAGATGAAACAAATGGATTCCATTTGGCATAAGTCTACAGTAGTAGTTCGTGGAAGGTATAAAAATGCAATAAAAATATCAGTGACACACTCAGCTGCACCTTGTGTGCCACTTTAATTGTTCTTATAAATTTTGATGTCATTGGTGGGTGATTTATTACTGAACAGATACGAGGCAAAATGTAACCTATTTGTTTATCATGTATTCTTGAAATACCTCTTGCCTTAGTTTGTCAATTAGAAAAAACAACTTGAGGTTGATGGGGTTGAAAACCTCGATCTCTCAAGAGTCTTATCCTGATAATTATTAAAATTGAAATAATTATTGAATTAATAATGATCAATAAATCATGAACCAATTTTTCAAAAATCATGTGATTACCAGTGAAATGTAATATGAAAAGTGACTTTTTTTCAACATTTTATTTTCAAACAAAAAGTTAGATCGAATAACCTACAAACACGACATATTTATATGCACCATCGATAAAACCGCAATTTTTTTATTTCGAGGGTTGCCGGTTTGTTGGCAGAATTGTAGCTAAAAACACACACACTTGAAAAAGGAACAATCATTAGCAACATTCTTAATCCCTCAATTGATAAATCAACGAAAATTACTGATATCGCATTCAAGTCACTTGATATTGTGTAGATGGAAATCACGAATTAGGAAAACTGACTCCGTGATCAACTGACTCTCGTGACAAACAACCCGGTAAATTACAAATAGCCTCGTTTTCACAAACCTTCAGTGTATCTCCGGATAATGGACGTCTTTGGTGATAAACCATGAGGGAAACAAAGGAATTATGATTAGGCAATCAAAATATAAACAACAATATCCAAGAACAATACCGAAAGTGGGCAAAAACCACAGCACACGGAAGTCCTCAAGAGCTGAACGACCATCATCCTCGCTTACCTTCCCTGGTGAAAAAAGACAAAGAGAACAACGATCAGCAGGAGATATATTCAAATTAAAGAGGATCGTTAAAAGACCCACCAACTCCATATTCTCCAATGACAAGTACTTTGTAAAGGTGTTCTTTCGCGTCCATTATAATTTACATTTTCCGCAGCTGATGCGAGCCGGGACTGGTTCCCAGGTGATGAAGAGTCATTTTCCCCAGTGGTGTCCCCACAGTCAATCTGTTGCCATAAATAGCAGCTTGCGTTGCATACGGCTTCGAAAGTGAAGAGGAAATCATTCTTTTTCGTTTTTGAAAGTTCCTGAACCGGGAAACTTATTCTAAAGTGGACCTGAATTGGAGTAGACATCAAAGTTGACCTGGGCCTGGAACAGAGCGTTTTTTTTTCCTTTTTCGCGCACAGGTGCGAAAAAGGTTATTTCTAACTAAATTGACACACTGAACTTGGGAAAAGGACTCCTTGTAATCTGTACAATTTAAGCTAAGAGTTTCAGGCAGACGAAGTTGTCCATGCCCTTCACTTAACTACATTTATTTCCGTTCGCAAACGGCAAGAATTATTGAAAGTTTCGGCTTTCTACTTCGAAAGATAGTTGCATTTATAAATGAAAAGAAGACGATTTTTCCGATCTGTTTTTTCTGTTGGAGCTCAGTCAAGGGTTGCAAATATAATTTTATTTCAGGGTATTCGTGTTTACAATGTTGGAAGTAACTGGAGCTACTTTCAAATTGGCTGTAGCTTTAATCCTGTCGGGCCATCCCCGTTCATGGTTAGAGATAAATTTTAATTGCATTACCGCCAATTTACGCGTATTACGAATTACCGTTAAGGGGATTGCACATGACCCAATAAATACCAGGAACATACGTCAGTCTCACAAATTTTGCAGCGTTTTATCAGTTACTTTAAATCTATCCGCCGTTAGCACAAAGGAACATTCAGCTTTTCTAATTTCCGGGGTACAGATCAATCAAGATTGAGAGGTTTTCTAGTCTTACAAAAATAACATTAATATTCATTACATTTTAACTCGCCATATATGCAAATACAGCTGTTTTAACACTGTGAATAAATAATTTAATGTTACGCTTCCACGAGTAAACTCCAGTAGTTTGTACTCCAGCTTTCAATGACGTTCTTGCGTAAGTAGGTAAGTCTGATTTAAGTGTTTTGCAAACTTTGATAAGCAATACTCCATATCAGGACAAAAATATCATGCGAAGACCAGGTTAATTGCAATGTTATAGATTCGTTGGGCAAGTTTCGACGCCAACTATTATTCAAAATTTTGCAAACGTTGTCTTCTTTATGTAACATTTTGTACACAGTTCGTGTTCTGAGCCAATTTTCTGTTATCAACCTTGTGAAAATATAACGCCTTAATCCGACGAGCTGTGCATATTCACAGTGAACTTTGCACCCACTACAGGACTATCATTTTGTCGATGTGGAAGATAATACGATAGATCACAACAATTCAATATTATGTTTTCGAAAGCCAGTTGACTATGCAACGTTTCTCCTCGTCACCAACAACATTATGTTTGATTGATTTCGGCTTGATGAACGGAAGTTTAAAATGCATGGGTGAAAAACTCGTTCAAAACAAGCTGATCAGAGGCATGTCCTCAGAGGTTCATAACAATCAACTATAGTATAGTTTGATTTTCATATCGGCAAGAAGTTGACGGTAAAGAATTGGTTCGCTCACTTCCGCTGACTCATTCTCAAATATAAAATCGAAAAAAAAGGTAAGACTTGGACTGATGAATAATTTGAGTAAAAGTCTTACCATCAGAGACATATCTAGTTAATTTCTATGAAATTTGAGCTCTCGTGAAAACGAAAATACTAAAGTAAATACTGTAGAAATCCAACGCCAATTACGTAATCGCAAAATGATGAGTTCTTTCGCAAATTTCAAAAAGAATTGTTACAAATGTTAATAACAATAATAAAAGCTCATAAAAGATGATTATCAACTGAGGGTATATAATTCTCCTTTCTGCAAAACAACTTTAAAAGTTATTGAGAACGCGTTCAGGTGAATGCGTTCTGAATGGTGGAAGAAGAAACTGTTCATTAAGCAGATTAAGTCACGGCAACAGATAACAAGTGGTTGTTAAGGCAGTTGTATCTACAGAATCAGGAAACTAATGATTTCTATTCTTTTAGAACATCATGAAGATACTAACTGGTATTCTCCATGTTAGTCCAGCATACACGAAAGAAAAACGCGAAAAAAAAACACGCGCGTTCGTCTAAAGGGAGCTCAGTAATCAATAGTTGCATTGTTGTTAACTGATAAGAAAAAAATCCCATGAATGACATCTTTTCGATCTTCCCAAGCCGGATCGCATTATTGAGGAAGGCATTTTTTCACCGTTATCTCCTGACAATTCGAAGCTATATTCGTTGAAAGGTTTTTTTATCCCTCTGTTTTGTGAGCATGTTGCTTCAGCGCCCAAAAGTAGTACACTTATGACGATAAGTACCTGGTCTTTTCTTCGCTTTTCTTTTACATTTTATATCTTTTTATGAATTTGTCTGCATTTTTGCTTCATTCGCTTATTTGTCCGTGTATTTGTTTGTTTTTTTTACTTGTTTGTTTTTTTTTTTTTTTGGTCAGTTTGTCATCTTGTTTGCGGTTACATTCACTTGCGCCTTTTTGTGTGATTGCTAGTCATCTGCTTTAACCCGAAGTTAGTCTGATTGTTTGATTCGTTCGTTGACATGCGTTAGTTGGCTGTCAAATTCTGATTAATTTTTCGTATTAGTATCGTTGCATATGATCTGATATGCGGCATGAGTGATATTGGTGAAACTAAACATATATCTTTCAAGTGCATTTTTAATTATTTCTTTCCAGCTTACAAGATGGAGAAACCAGTCATAATAATTTCTCAAGTTGCGATCATTCTGACAGCCTTAGTTTCTTTTATAGCAGGTAAATAACATTGTTATGATTCATTCACAGGTTGCCTATAACTGTGTCTGTTAAAGCAAAGTGATTTTTAAGATAATCACTAGCAACCTCTGTTTAGAAAGTTGCATCAGAGTTACTGATTTCCAATTGAGTTACAATGGTTCTAATTTCCCCATCTCTTTGACTGGTCCAAAAAAACAATCTCGCTCAACCCTGGGCAAAACTAAAACCAATTGCCACTGCCACCCGCGTTTTCTCAAACTTCGGGCAGTTGGCTCAATGCTTTTATTCTGACCTGTTTGGGTTGTCCTTGAGATGTTTTCTTCGTTCTGCATGATCAGACAATCAATCCAAAAAGCGCTGCACACGTCTGACTCAGGCGCAAGGTCTATAAGACAGCACATGAGAGGCTCCTGCGGGTTTCATTACACGGTAGCGAAATCATAAGAACAAGCGACATCAAGTTTACGTGAGAGTCATTCGCCAACCTGATTTAAATCTACTCATCAGGGAAACCAACATGTTCACCTTTTAATCTTTAGTAACTTAAGTGAAAATGTTTGCATTTAAAGTCAAAGCTCAGATAACTTTCTTTCCTTTACTAGGCCAATTTTGACCACAAATACCCCTCTTTTTTCTTTCTCAATAGCACAGTCCACGTCTTTCAGCCCAACGCCATCCATTCAACAAACATTTGCTGTTTCAAATCAGACTGAGATGCTTAACGCTTCAATGACAACAATGACAACAGTTCAACATCAAATAACATCCGTTCATGTTCAACCTTCATCAACGGAAGTCAGTCGTCCAAACAGCAAAATAATGAGTACTCCTCCCAGCTCTACAGCAAGTAAGTATATAAATTCTAATTCTAACAAAGTAGCACAGGAAACATCACAACCACAAAGCAAGCTTGCAAGGATGAATGTTCAAGTATCTTAAACAACGCAAACATATCAATATATTGATACACACCAAAAACTAAGGGGGTGGGGATCTGCGTTTTCATGGCTGCCTCAAGTGCGTTGCTAAGGGCTTCTAAGACACGTGACCTCCACCCCAACCTCCCCACCCCGTCCTTTTGAGAATCTTGTAACCGTCTCTTCTTGCCCAAATCCATCCGTTTTAAGAATATTCCAATCTTTCTCATCAACTTTCTTTCATAGCTAGCTCACCTTGTGTTCCATTTCTGAGTTTTCATACAGTTTGAAGAGTTTACCGCTTTGTTCAGCCTCTCCGTTCTTTTTCGATGCCCGATAAAATAACTTTGAGATTCTTTAAACGGTGTTGCAATAATTTTTCCTTAACACGCAGTCACATATGCGTCTAGAAATCTCCCCCACCCCAACTAATCAGACGAAACACTTACATTAACCACAATTTAGTCCTGTTTGAGACAAAAACGAACATTTAAAATAAGTTGCCATTGGCTCTCTCTCGGGTATTTACCTTTGTCCTGATTGGCCGTCAAAATCCTTTATCAAACTGCCCTTTAACTGCAATTTTTGTATCATTTTAATTAAAACAGAAGTCAACGAAGAAGACAAAATAGAAGAGGATGAGGATAAAAAGAAAGAGACGGCGATTATAGCGGCCAGTTGCGGAGGAGCAGCCGTCGTGTTTATTGGTTTAACGTTAGTAATATGGAATCACAGAAAAGAGGGCAACACATAACTAAATGAAGTACTACTGAAACCTGAGATCCTCTGAGTAGCGAGTAGCCAAGCAATATAAACACAAATTATTTTCCTGATCAATAGTTGCACTTAAAGCTTAGCGAAGTAGTTGCCTAAGCCAAGGTAAATCTCGCGTCAAATTGACGCAAATTCGAAACACGAACTGGGTGCTTTCAGGGAAATCTTGATGGTCGTCATTTTATTTCTAGATTGTTTTTGTTTTTGTTGTTTTTGTTAATAGTAGTTTAGGCTAATACCAGTTCCCACATAAATTGAGAGAAAAATATCATTTTTGTAGCATTCAAAAACTGTGATCATAACTACAGTAGCTACCCCATACATGATCAGTCAGATTGACTGATCTTCTTCGTAGGCTTCTGCTTAGAATTTTCAGGGGTTTTTTTTTGTTTGTTTCGCTTTTGTAAAGCTTTATTGTCAACCACTCTCAGTGACTTTTAAAATGTATCAGGAGGATAAAAACTACTTAACTTGTTTCTAAATTCAAAGAATATTTCTAATTTGTTTTCATAATGCATCAATCTGCGATCAGCGTCAAATTTAGTTGACGCACATGTGTAAAGAGTTCTATTTGTATAGCATAACACTCGTGTTTCTACCACTGTCTAAATCAACGACAAAAGGCAAATAAATATTTTAACAAGGAAGGGGGTGAATATGTTGACCTGAGAAGAGCAAAAAAGATAAAATTGAAGTAATAGGGGGTTGAAAAGGTCAATGTATCAATAATTTTCATGCCAAAAATTTGGCTCAAAACTGTAATAAATAAAATTGAAAACTGTTGACACTCAATTAAATATGTACCATCTTACCTGCCTATTGATTAAAAACTATCATTTGTGTATTTTTTCTTCTTTTTCATAATTCAATAGTTCTCTGCATTATCCAAAACTAATGCTTAAATCAAAACTTCGCAAGATATCACAATTTGACGGAATCTGGCAGAAAATAAATTACCCCATTTTCTAGCTTAGTTTTGGCTCTCTGTTCACCATAGACAGGTCGTGTTATTTTTCTCACACTTGTCTTACAATTGTTACTTGTTTACATTAACATTGCACCACTCATGATCACTCACTGTGTGAGTAGCTAAGGTTCACTTGATTATGGCAGATGAGATACTGGTAATCCACTGAAAATTAAGTAGCAAGGATACTGGTAAATTACATGTACACCTTACTGACACAGTAACCAGTGTTTACATTTCAGTAGCCAGTCTAAGATGGTTCATCACAGTAATTGAACTGAGTGGAATACAATTTGATCAAAAATCATAAGCATGATTTGAAATCACAAGTTAGTATGATTTCAGACCAAAATTGCACCACACAAAGTTCAATTACCACTTTATTACCAGTACATCCTATGTAATAAATACAATTGCTCCATTCAAGTTTTTTTACTCTGAACAAATATTTTATTGATTCAGTATAGTGAGGTGGTTTATAAAAACTGCGAAAGTTGTCTCTCATTCTCCTGCAATTTGATTGATATCTATTAACAAGCATTGAAATTTGATTGGTTGTTGTGTTTTAGTAAAGCTGTCTCATTAGCTTGCAAGGTAACATTATAAAGGTGTGTCTAAACAGAGCAGGAAGATTTCATCCCTTTTCCCTCCTGGCTTCCTTTCACTTATGGTTTTGTTGAGAAAGAAGACAAAATCCATTCTACTAAGCCTACAATTCAAATTCAAACAGTTCCTTTGTTCCCTTTCCAACTTTTTGAAAGCTCCTCTTTATAGAAATCAGCTGCTTCTCGTTAAACTTATATTTCTCATTATTGAAGATTTCTTTTTCCAGAGTGTCAAAGATTGCCCTTGTTTCAACATCCACATGAGAGAGACACCAAGCAAATTGCTGTATATCTCTTTCATAAAAATCAGACAATTCATTGGCTAAAAGGGAAGAACATAAAAGCTGGTAAAACTTTTTGCTTCCTTTGTTTGCCTCAACAAATCCTTGAAAGAGCAAAAGTTTTTCCTCCTTAGAAAACACACTTAAGCCGCGTCGAGATACTTCAGCTTCTATTGAGTCAAACAGCTCACTATCTGACTTCTCTGTTCTTGCCAGACACCACGCAACCTGACATAAATGAGTACTGGCAATTTGTTTTACACTCCTGACACACAACTCGCCTTCAATTTCACTGATTAATTTGTCATCATATCTCTGAGCTGAAAAGAATGAAAGCAAGATCAATACAAGTTCATGTGTGTGGAGAGTTTGAACACCTCGGTCAAACAACTCTTCCTTCACAACATCAAATATGGCTCCTTCTGAAAAATGTCTCGTACTGAAAGTCCACACAATATCCAAGAGTTCAGCATTGCATAAACATCGTGCACCCTTGGAGACAAGTTTACCATCCAATGATTGGAAAAATTTCTTCCTTCCTTTCTCAGCTTTCCCAAATGCCCATAGAATTTTAAAAAAATCAGTTTTGTTTAATTCAGTCATGTCTCGGCTTATTATTTCTGCCTCAACTTTGTCAAACAGTTTATCAGCATCCTGTTCCTTCCTTGCAAATGACCAGACAAACTCTGCTATAGGCTGACTGTTCATTGAATTTATATCTCGTGACAGAAATTCTTCCAAAAAAGCCTCAAATAACTGTACAGAACCATTACTGGTTTCAGCAAATGAATATAATATCCCAGATAAATGAGGATTCTCAAGATCACAAATTTTAACATCACCATTTAAAATGGCTTGTTCAAACTTTGGAAATATTGGACTTTTTGTCATTTTGAGGTTTGCACATCCATTTAAAATCTGAAAGATGTTTTCATAGGTAAAAACTGACATGCCACAAGCCAGAATCTTTTTCTCACAGAGTTGGAGCAGCTTTTTATGCTTTTCTCCATTAATTCCCAGACTCCACATCAAAATGGCAAGATTCTGAGGAAGGCATCTGTATAGTTTCTCCAAAATGCTATCCATTAATTCAGTGTATGCATTGCTTTTTTCTTGTTTCAGAACTTTCTTCTGTTCTTCATCTTTTTCTGTGATCTTGGCAATGTTGTAGAGTATAGCAATGCGATTCACAATATCAGTCATATATTTAACCTCCATGAAAAATTCAAGTTGCTTGTCAACTGTTTCCAGCGTGTCAATTTTTCTCTCAATTATCATTTTCACTTTGGTTGGACGAAGGGATTTTAAATCTGTTGAATATTCCATGGATGGACGGAACACTAAAACACTTTTTGTGTTCCCTGTCACTTTCCCAACTCTTCTTGATCCACATGAAGCACTGAACATGACACTGGAATCTTGGAATACATTTGAGGAAAACTTGCGAATCAGAAGTGGAAACACATGCATGGGTCGAAAAATTCTAGAGAAACCCAACATCATCATTTTCCTTGCCTCATAAAATCGTCAGCCTCCCTCAATACTCTTACTCTAAAAAAAAGAAAGCACAAATTATCAAACAAATGACTTAATAATTACGAAGCAATTAATTATGATAAGAAATACACAGCCAGCTTTTCTGAGCTCTGTAAATCAAATGTAGTCAATCGGAGATCATATCAACATGGCTCGCTCTTGAGGGTTTCGAGATACCTTGCAAGAAGTTTGTTTGTTTATTTTCCATAAATGTTTACCTCAAGATGACTCTGATATTATTCCATTCCTTTCATGGCGAAAGCTGGAATGGTAAAATAAAGGGCCTCGTACTTAAGGCATATCAGCTATGATGCAACCGCCATCTTGAATGTATGCTTAGTGACCGCTCACTCTGGAATCTTCTACTCAGTTCCCTTGGTCCCCACTTGGCTCCCATACCTTTGACGTCACGCTCCAAATCATGACTTTTGCACTTGTATTTTTTAAAAAAACGATATGAGTTGTGTTAGGGCAAATTTTTCCCTTTGTTTCCGTTTTCTCACTTACTTGTCATCGTGTACTTTTTTTTCTTCTTTTCGCTCTTCGGTATTTTGTTAATTACGCTCCTTTGTTACGTGCTGTATGTAAATTTAGTTCTATAGTTTGTTGTCTCCAACCACCAACGCCAGTTATCCTCAGCATTTGGTAAGCAGTTTCATTCTCACCGTTTTCTTTAATTTCGTTTTGCTGTGGCCTCAAGGTAGTTTTTCTGTGTTGTAATTATTATTTTTACGCTCTTGTTTAGGAATTTACTTTTTTTTCTAACGTTATAGGAAAAACATTTGCCGAGGCATCGCGTTGTGTTTTCTTCGAATTGGCCCTTGCCTGTTCAAGTCGCACTGTTTCCCTTGATAAGTTCAATTCAGGGAAAAAAAAAACCGCGGGGGGGGGGGGGGCGGGTGCCCTCTTGCTTCCCTATCCACCCCTCCTCCCGCCCATTGGTAACTTTGTGAGACGGGTCGCAGGAACAAAATTTCGGCTTATCAATTAGAATTTAATACAAAAATAAAAATTTACCCCTACCCTTTCTTCAATTCCCGATGTCACTCGGGACTACAAATGTAAATACTTTTTCCGGTGATAATTTTTTTGAGATGAGCTCGAACAGACTACTGCAAAACGCACTGAATCGGACATCGAAGGTAAGCGAAATTGGTCATTCATAAACACGTTTTTTATAATCGTTGTACTGGGAATGTTGCCATATCGAAGATCATTCTATCGTGATTTCCCCTCTAATCAAAATCGTAAAAACCTCTCTCCTCCCCCCCCCCCTCCTCCTCCGAAGCAAGTAATCCTCTGTCCAAAAATGCGAGTCATTTCCTGCTCATGTACAAAATCCTTGACATGATGACTTGTATCCTCAGAGGTTAATCAAACAGAAATAAACAGTAAATTTAGGAACATAATTTGCCCCACAAGTCTCGGAATTGCTAAGACTGAAAATTTGGTCCGCAAAATAAACCAAATTTATTCATCCGTATTAATTTTGATAATCGTAACGTGACATTAAATCTGTTAGTCTGCATAAGATAGGTTACGAGATGTCTGGTATCAATCTTTTGTCTTCCAAGAAAACCTTAGTAAAAAGAAAAAAAACTAAAAGTTTCGCATGTGTGTGTTTTGTTTAATGGCTAATGAGGTATCCACAGATCGATAAAGAGTGAGGAAGGATCATTTTTGGACGGTTGCTCACCTTTGATGGCCGCTCTTATGGTCATCTTAATGAATGAGACTGTTACTCGAACGAGATGCAGACATTGAGGCTAAAATAGCGCTGAGAATTGATGATGAAGTTTTCGAGGGTTGTTCGTCGCACCCAAAGACGATGAACTTGATGTTGTGAAACTGCGTCACCACAGCTGATTTTCGTGGAAAGAACGGATGATTTGCATTGCGTGGAATAATAGTTGTCGCGTTACATTCGTAACAATTCTAACAGAGTAGAGCTTCTAATCTTTTCATCAAACAGAAACTGTCTGAACATTTATGAGCATAATTTGCCTGAAAAGTTCTGGATTAGATTAGACGGACAACTTGGTACAAAAAACAATCCAAAGAAAGAATCAAATCATCAGTTTGATTATGGTAATTAACGCGAGACCATATAATAGACAAGTCTATAGAGGAGAGGTTATATGAGGTTTACAAATTGCTGTTTGTTATTTCTGTGATATTTTCACATCTTTTTTTAAGCAGACCGATTAGAAACTACAGGTTTCGAAAGTGTGTTTGGTAAAATGGCTGATGAACTAACCGCTACTGATAGTGTAACCAAAGTTTATCAGGCTGCTCGTGACGGTTCTTCCGATCTGACAGATCTTTTAAATTAAACCGGCTGAACCATGAAGAAAGGAAACTTGCTTCGGAAACAAAAAATGAAGATGACGACAACACTGCCACTCCTCTCATCATCGCTGCTC